TTTGCTCTGCCTTGATACGTGTTTCATATTAATAAAGCACACCGTATGGACCACCCGTGCCAAACCAGTTGAATATGGGTCGTGTTCATGAGATATGTTACTACTGTTACCAGTGTGTGCACCCTCGTAATCACGCGGTATCTTGATAAGTACTGTACCGCCGACCCTTACTTCTGGTGAGAGAGTTTATCAGCAGCATCGAGATACTCAAGGCTCACAGAAGAGCGCCATGAGGCTTCATGTACCGTGCTTCGTGGGATGTTATGTGTATGTCTTTTACGACTATCGTGTAATGTATTCTCATGATCATATTGGTCCAAGATTCCAATCTATTGGTACATTAAATTCCATGTGCCTTCACACCAGACGCGTTATGACCGTTGATGATAGTGAGCACCAATGATGACTTTTCGTTGATGTTTTAACTTGTACTGTCCATACGTACCAAATGGAAATGATTGATAAAGCTTAAGTCCTAAGGGACGACTATCGCCCTGTCAGGGATAAACGTTTAAGTAAATCCAGGAATAATATTTCACGACTCGGGCTCAGACAAGCTTGTCCTTGACATTAACACTGTCAAGAACATTGACTACTATATATATCGACTGTCATATAAACCTTCCTTGCCCGAATGTAAGTTACCGGTCTACCCTGTAAACACCCTCAATTTAAAGTACATTTATAGTAAACGCAAGATTCTCAAGGTTCCTCCTCATTGTCATCAATGTCAATGTTCTCGCCATTTCCCAACTGCTGAATAAAGTGATCAATCTTGGCTTTGTGTATGCGGTGGTGTTCCTGCCATCCCTTCCAAGGATGATGGGGATGCTGTAAGAACACCAGGTGAGCCAACTTAATATAATACCGAACAGTGATGACTGACTATACGACCAAACGCCTGGAAAATTTTGTCTGACGTCCCTTCCGGCTTGGTGAAAAAGTACTTCGCAAGAAGGATGTCATCTCCACGGCTGTAACGCATCTTCTTCTCCGGTGGTTGAGGTAGAGGTTCATCCTCTTCTGTGCGGTTGAGTTCATGCTTGTGACGTCGCCAGAACTTCATCCATGATGCGCGCGAGTGATGCGGAGCCTTGGAAGTGATGAGTAGTCAAGAAAATAAAACGGTATATTTTGAGTCGGCTACCTTGGTGGCAACATCCTTCCAAAACGCGACCATATCAAATCGCTCTTGGGACCTAGATACATCATGAAACCACCGCGGAAAACTCTTTTTGGGGAACTTACTTCCGGTACTCCATGAAGCGCACCAGGAACGCAACATCCTCGTCCGTGAAAGCCACCCCCTTTCCTGTTGTGCTCCTGAAGAGAGCACGAGGTGGCGTCGGAGACCGATTGCGTGGACGACCAGCATCTTGTTGTAGCCGAGCCTGTGCAGCCGCGATGATGCCAGGACCCGTAGTTCCGAGTGGCGGTAGTTGCTCTTCCTCTTCGGGCTCAACTTCGCCTTCAGGGCGGGGCGTACTGTTGTCGCCTGTGTCCATTGAGTAACCACCCAACCGGATCTGATGTTTATTGCAATATCGGCGCCAAGAGTAAAACCTGCGACACTCATCAAATCAATGTCATCGTCTTGCTTGAAACAGGCTCACGTATGATGGGGCGCCTACCATGCACGGCAGTATCAGACAAATTGAACAGCACCAAAATGTAAGCAGCTTACTTTGACCGCAATCCTCTCACATATTTCTCTCAAACTGAAGATAATTTAGTTCTGGCTGCGATCTAACTGCAAGTACTCACCTCAAGACGAGACCTTGTTCTTGACAGTAATCAATGTATCGCTTGAGGTATAATACATCATCAGAGGTAAACAGGTTTCCTCCATATGTGCTCTTAATCACGCGCGTTGGAGGAGTCGGTGAATGTGCTGGGGGATTTCGGCGATTCAGTACAAGAGCGGAAGGTGAGGCGGCGGGGGCGCCTAACAATGAATAATAAAGTTACAATGGTATATCATGCAGGAATAGATGAAATGAAACCTACAGTATTACGAGTGCGCTTACGACCACGAGGCTTCTCAGCAAGAGTACTATCGGCGGGAACCGAAGACGGACCAGCGGTCGGCGGTCCGGCCTCTGCCATGTAAGGTGCAGTCTGATCATAAGGATGCTCATACTGATATTGATCATATGAATGGAAACCGTGACCAACACGGATGACAACTTACCGAAGCAGGGTCGTAAGGATAGTCGTTGGCTGGGGGAGCCCATTCAGGACGGTCATCGCCGTATCTATAATCATAACCTGCCGCACTCGGTCCAGCTACCATATGGGGCGGGGGCTGATTGAAGGGCGTCACCCAAGGCTCATCCCGATATGGATGTGTTTGTCGGGCAAGCATTGCAGCAGTCTGAGGTGAGGTAATGTGCGTTTGTTGTGGTGCGATGGCATTTGGCGCTTGCCATGATTGTGGCGGGGCAGCTGTTGGTGGCTGCATACCTCGAGGCGGTGCGTGCATTGGATGACCGTACACAGGATAAGCGTAGGATGTTTGAGGCGGATGGACCATGGGATCCCCGGGGGGCATGGGAGGCATTGCTTGCGGATGGGGAGCCATGGACTGCATTGGAGTCGGCTGAGATGTGGAGGGGCGCGTCTGATCAGTCTGGGATGGGACAATGGTAGGTGGCGTGACTCTGGTAAGGCCATTCAACACAGGGAAGACCAATCGGTAAAAAGAAAAACAAACTTCTCCGTTCCAGTGACCTTACAACCGGCCCAGTTGTTCTGGAACGTTTGAAGAGCGCCAGCACGGACGCACTCGTGAATCCAGCGATAATGGAGAACAATTTTACCCTTTTTACCAGCGTACTGACGGTACAAGTTTTGGCCTGATTCCTTATGTGGATCGACTAAGATGCAGTTGCATGAATTGTGGCGGACATGACAAGGATGTATACTCACCAAGAATGTATGGCGTCCCACTGTACCCTGGTGATGATGTGCCGCCGTGTTTCTGCCGAAGATAGGATTTAGTAACACATCGTCGACGGTTCAAATACACATGATCCAATCCGTACGATAAGTAACTAAAGGATGGCCTACCGTTACGAGTTCGACGAGCGCGTCTCTATCTTCCACTTCCTTCTCGATGTACACATTGAGGGGAGTTCCCATCATAGGCTCGAGAAAGAGGTCGCCACCGGGGCCATCAGCGGTGGGCGATGCATCCTGGCCAGAGCGTAAGGATATACTTTGTTCATGCTGATTGCGTCTGGTGGAACGCGCTGGTGCCATGGGTCTCAGCCAGGACTCCTTGATGTAATGATAGAAGTGGTGGTTGGGGTCAAGTTTCTGAGGCGGAGTGGCAGGAGGCTACCGGCCGGCGGAGATCAAAATGCACCGGAACCCACCGGTCCAGTCACATTGCACATCTTAGTATAGGCTATCTTATCTAGCGCGCAAGATAGAGAATTCTCCCTCGGTGCTTAGCGAGTGACGTTAACAACGTTCTGAACGATTCATGGCAGTTGCTCAACCTCTGGAATACCTTTCTCAGGCGCAGATCGACAAGGTTGGTAACCGTGCACCTGAATCTTCCGTCATCCCTGATATATGTTATGTCCGTCAGTTCTATAGGGATGGGTAGGTCAGACATATAAGAGACCTGCTGCTCTCACTGACCGGCCTGCACAGATATTTAGTTGTACCTGGCTTTCTCTCGCAAGACCAGACGAATTCTCTTTTGTTCCGGGCAAAAGAACTCCTTGATGAATTTACACCAGAGGACCATCCCATGGTAAGTACACTGGCACCATCTAAATCACAAACATTCAGGACTCTTGACTTGTGGCAGACCAAATTCACAACGTCGGATAAGAACCACGTTGGTGACGACTACTTTCTGAATTCAGGCGACAAGATCCGATATTTCCTTGATGACGATGCTGTTGATAGTAGTGGGAAACTTACCAGAGATAAAGCAAGGGCAGTAAATAAGATCGGTCACGGTTCGTTGCCCATCCACACAACTATTCATATCCATCTTACTCAAGTTAGCTCTTCATGAATTGGATCCCGTTTTCCGGAACGTTACTCTGGAAAATGACCGGCTGAAGGCTCTAGCGCGCGACCTGCGATTCCACCATGATCCAGTTGGTACGGATCATATTCAGTCATCATGCACCTACTGGGGACTGATATAAACCTGCTAGCACTGCAATCAATGGTTATATTCAAACAGTCACAGACAGGTGGCGCAGGTGAGTAACTGACATCAGGCGGTAGCATCATTTCAAGTAGCTAACGCACCAGCTTTGAAGTGCCCGAACACAACGATTCGTAAGTGGCGAGTTACCGGTGTTGAATCCAAGTCTAAGATTGGTCATTTGACTATTCAGCACGTTTCTTGTGAGTATCAGTCTTTCCCACTGTTTACATGCTATATCCATAATACATCATATATAGTACACGTCACCCCCAAGTGCTCTTGGGTTTTGGATAGCTCTTGAGAAGTGCACGCCCATGAACGGTGCTCTGTCGTTCTTGCCTGGATCCCATCTAACAACTCCGATCACGAAGAGATTTATACGTTTACCAGGGGGTGGTACCGGTTTCGAGCAGCTTGCCACCCCTTCGCCCCCTTCGTCCGACACAAGTGAGAAACCGAAGGAGACTGCATCAGAAGGTTCATCGCAAGGAAACTATGTGCTAGAATCTTGCGAGTCAGGTAGATGGTCACGCGTGCGTTAGATGTCCATGGCTGAACATTAGATGCTAGGTGATCTCGTCCTCATCCACGGCAGCGTCCTTCATAAGTCGGAGCGTAATACTAGTGCTCACACAAGATTTGCATATACTTTCCACATGATTGACTCGTCCCCTTACGTCAAATACGACGAGAAGAACTGGCTTCAACCTACTGATGCCATGCCTTTCTCCAGAATCTTGGACGTACCAAATGAAATTACTCTTTCCACCACTGTACATTAACCGGATTCATTTAGAAGATCGTAGTGCATGTGAAATTCAGTCGCTAATATGTTTTTCGCATTGACCGAATATTCATCCACACGCTATGCTGTAAGAGTAAGGTTACAATACTTGAACTTTTGCCCTAGACAACAGTGTCTCGGGCTTCAAGTTGTACAGCTCATCTATGAGGGCTGGGAGGAATGTTCCAGATCCATGAACGTCGCTTCTTTCTGCTGCACACTCGGCTGCCACCGTTAGAGCCAGAACACTACGATCATTAGTCAACGTTGTACGAAATTATTTGATCAGATTGTGACTTACCCGCCAACAGCGCCTATCAACATGTTTCCCCTGACGAGCTTCGCGAGCTCAGGCCCAGGGCTTGTTCCAGGGGCAGCGGCCATAAGTGAGGCACCAGCACAAAACGTAGCAACGCAGGTGCCAACAAGGCATCCAGACCCTGTGATGTCACCGAGCATCTTATTGCCGTTCTCCAATTTCACTACAGTGACGCCATCGGATACCCAATCTGTCGGCCCCGTCATGACAGCTACGCAACCTTATGGCGGATGCTTTTTAGATGCATGTACTCGCGATACCCACGGAAAACTTACGCTCTTTCTTGGCTATCTCACGAATAAAAGACGCTGGATCTGCAAACCCAGAGCCAACACTATCAACCCCTTTAGCCTGCACCTGCAGATAAATAATATAAATTTGCAAGATCCACACAGAAGTAGGATATGTGCCACAGACTTCGTTTGAGTTAGCGAGAGAAGCCATCTCGCCAGCGTTTCCTTTAATAACGCTAGCCTGCCATGCATTCAGGAGTTCTGAAGCTGTCGTTTTCCTGAACTGAGTAGCGCCTACTCCAACCGGATCGAAGACGACGGGTTTTTGTGCTTCATTTGCGTATTGCCCTGCAGAAATCATGCCACCTTTGTTCGTGATGGTGCCAAAGTTTATGAGTAAACCACCCGGAATGCGACTAAGATCATGCATCTCTTCAGACGCGGTAGCCATAATCGGACTTGCACCCAAGGCTAAGGTAGCATTCGCAGATTGGTTCGTGACCACGACATTTGTGATCTGTGTGTGTGACAGTCAGTGAACAGGCAACAGAATCACGTATGAGAGTATCTACTTGATGGATGAGTGGACTCTTGTCTCGTATCAGCCGCATAAGTTCGACAACACCGTTCTTGATGGTCCCCACATCGTACACTTGGGTCACTCGACTCTGAACATCGAAATGGTGAATCCATGCATCGAGGATATTCCTTAACTTTTGAGCAGCGGAACGGGGTGCTGAGGATGCCACAATATCGGAGACCACAGCAATACCATCCAACCTGTGTCCAGAGATTGACACAGAACCATGTAAAGTTCTCAGAGCGTTAGTGGAATTTAGCCCCCCTGGGGAACAGGTCTTTAGACATCACAATGGATGTAGTGTATGCATTTCTGCATACCGATTGCAACAGCCTTGATGTTTGTGCCATCCAGAGCCTGGAGCAGTGAGCCAACCCCTCTGACGCCAACGACAGGGCTATCCAGCTTCTTAGTTGTCGTACTCCAGACGGCACCGATGCCAATATAATCAACTTCGTCCTCTATTGCTTTCTTCACGTGGTCTGGATCGTTGCAAGATACACCAATCACAGTACCCACGGGGAGTAAAGTTTTTGCGACATGAACTGGCATGTCTGTTTGCCCCAGATGCACACCATCGGCTTGTATGGCGAGCGCGATGTCAATACGGTCATTGATGATGAGAGGAACCTTGTATTTTGCACAGAGGATCTTCGACTCTCGTGCAATTTCCAAGAACTGGAGCAAATCGTCTGAAAGGGCAATGAAGAAACGAACGACTACTTCTCACTTCTAGTGTATCAGATCTCTTTTCTCGTATCTGAACGACGGTTACACCGCCTTGCAAGGCCTAGAAGAGTTAGCATAAACAGAGGTGCCAATCAGCACGTGCCGTTTATGCTCCCGAAGGAGAATGAATCAATGATGCCCAGACCTCTTCCAAGGATTGTAGATATTCCTAAAAACGAGGGAGAGGCTTTAATGACGCTTGAAATCATGGGTATCTCTGACCTTTCCTGGTGGCAGTAGCTCCCGGCCTGTGACCAAGTAAAGTGAAAAGTCAATTGTCATTATTTGATGATAACGATAGTCCGAGTGGTTACAGAGAAAGAGAGAGAATGTCGTCACAGCAGCTCACGGCATGTTCCTGATAAGTGCCAAGAAAGGAAGTGTGAGTACATGCGATTGTGGGCTCACATATACTTTTTACCTTATGTAATATAAGTGCACCCGTCTTGCAGGGACTCGCTTATACCGTTCATGATGCATCATGATTCATGATTCAAACACAACTTATTTGCGCTCTGTGCCTTCAGGTATGCACTTCAACAAATAAATCCTGCCAATTTTCTGGGGCCAACAAATAGGCTTATTGGAAATACGATTGGCAGAACAGAAGCTGTACTTCCCACTGATCTTCCAAAGCAGGTAATTCGGATAGGAAGACCCTCTCTGCCCCACTCAGGCTAGCTGCCCAATTTTTTCTGTCAGAGGTTAGCGCTTCACTTCGCTTGGATACTGCGGATTTCGTTAGTGCATGCACACATGTGAATTCTCGCTTGCTCCACGTTAATATCAAGTTGAAGCATCACGACATCACATATTCCTTGCTCCCTCTTCCCATCTTCTGGCTCCCCTGAAGTGGTGCTTGAAGATAAAAAAGTATGTTCGCTCAAGAACCCCTCACATCTCGATTATACCACCTCGTCATGGATCCTGCTACACTCTGGTGGACCTTTTCCAGTCTTGCAGCCACACTTATGATTTTTCGACTGTCCACCGTGCCATCACACTTGCGCCATCTCCCTCGTGTACCTATTTTCCCTCTTCTGATCAGTTATCTCTCAGGTGAGGTCGAGGATGTGCGTATCAAGCGCCTCATTCTGCCATACGCAAACGAGAGAGGTGAAGGACTTGTTCTCGTGTGGGCGCTAGGCCGATGGATGGTTCACATCATTGATCACAAGGTATATATCTCGTGTTATCACTAAGCTCTTATTTATCCTCATCCAGCTTGCGATTGAAATGTTGGATAGCCCTTTGTTATACCCGAAAGAGTTACCTTCCGATGGTCTCTTGTTATGGCGCTTCATCGGGAGCTCAAACATCCTCATGACAAATGGTGACCGGTGGAAGAAACATTCTAGAGTCATCCGGGATGCGTTCAATCTCTCTATCCCTGTCGACCAGTTCACACACCTATCCAAGAATCTTTTTGACGTCATTAACCCGCCCTCGGATAAGAATGACACCCATACTGTCGACTTTGCCGACCTCGCGCAGCGTTTTGCTCTCGATGCAGTTGGGTCTTCAGTCCTTGGACATGACTTTGATGCCATTCACACCGAGTCTTTGTTCGTCAAAGAGTACAATGGCATCATGCGAGATATTGCCAATCCCTTTTACCTGCTTATGCCCTTCCTCGAGAAGGTCTTACCTCGGAGGAAAGTCATCAAGCGCATGGACGACTTGGTCGACAAGTTTCAAATGCTGCTTCAAGCAAAACGCACCGACCCTGGAGATGACATGATGACTTTCATGCTTAAAGAACCTACAATGTCCGAGGACGAGCTTCGTGATAATATGGTCGTCCTCTTCATAGCTGGCCATGTAAGTCAAATGCGCTGCATCCGATAGCATACATTAATCACAGCACATATGTTAGGATACTTCTGCGGGAGGTCTCTCCACTCTGATTTACTTCTTTGCAATTCATCCAGAAATTCAAGCCGCTGCGCGCGAAGAAACTCTTCACATTCTTGGACCTACTTCTGATCCCAGTGTCGATACTCTCTCCGCTGCGTCATTGCCTTATCTCAACGCCTGCATCCGCGAAGCTCTTCGTATCAACACTCCAATCTCATACATCGTCCCTCGTATCACTGCGGAAGATGCCACCCTTGGAAAGTACTACATTCCATCCAATACTTCACTCATTTACAACATCTACGCCCTCCATCACCGCAATGACGTCTGGGGTGACCCTAACGTTTTCAGGCCTAGCCGCTTCCTCGAGAAGACCCAGGGGAGCTCAAGTCTCAAGGATTCTTGGGTTGCTTTCGCCTCTGGACCTCGGCAGTGCCCTGCTCGTAACTTTGCGCTCTACGAGCAGCGTGCACTAACCGTGATGTTATTACGGGAGTACGAGTGGACATTGCCGGCAGATTCAATCCATCAGGATGGTTTGAAGAACGCCTTCTCCCCTTTTGCCCTAACGCTCCCCCACGACCTTCATATCACTTTCACAAAGCGCAAATAGTAAAGGATGACGCTCCTCATGATCATTTATGTCATAAGTTTTTTTTTTACATCAGTCATTAGTTTCGCCGCATGTCGCCTAAGGTACTTGTTCAAGATTAGGGATAACGTTTGATTATAACTGCATTCAATTCAATACAACCTGATGCAGACTGTTTGAATGATTTAGTTTGTTGTCGTAATACTCTTTTCGTAGTCATTTTTCGGATATTACATATGTAGCTATGTTCCATCGATTCATCCACTGTTGAGTCAACGGTATGTAAAGAATTGAGTGTTTAGTATAAATATTGCCGGGGCCCAGTAGTCTAGCTAAAAATGATACAGATACTCAGATACGTATAATAAGTGTTGTTCAATAAACGAGATACTACGTCCTTGCATATGCGACCCGCGCATCAAACGATAAGCCCACTCCTTCGTGCTTTGGCTTCCTTCCTTTTTCTGGCCCATTCCTGTTCTTTCGGAGGAGGATCAATGGCTCTCCAGTCCCCCCACATGCCCGTCTTGAAGATGGCTCTGATATTCGGAACGAGCAGCAGAGCAACGGCCAGCCAGTCACTGAGCATATGGAATATGTAGAACGTTGCCTTTTCTAAAGGAGTGTTACCTGATCCCGGTGACATCGATGTAAGGGAGGTTGTCCGGTGATACATGAATAATAGTCGGAAAATCGCAGAGGATGCCTGTACATTGGGGGAAACTTATTATGTAAACGAACAGAGCGGAAAACGCGGATCCTTACGTTGCAAGCGAGGATGGCAAGAAGTAGGGTAACGTGAACCGGCTCCACTTTGGGTAGCTTTCGGGCGCGAACGACCAGGGTTGCCACGAAAAGTATGAGGAAGAGAGCGATGGCGGAACTTATATATCTAGACAGAGATATTTATGTAAGATGAAGCTTCGCGGGTAAAGATCTGATGCACCTGGTGATCATCACCTCGTTGGCTGTGCTCTCATTATCCATTCCACCACGGTAATGCGCATTACCAATTATACCTGGGATAGTAGCAGCGAGGAAGCCCAGATTCAACATATCGGTAACCCAGCGATAGAAACCCCGTTTTTTCGGGTCGTCATGTATGTCATCCGAAAGATGAAGCGAAGCACTGTGAAACGGGGAAAGAGGATGCATAGAGGATGACATCGAAGCAGCGACGGGTGAATCTTGCGGATCTATAAAATTTGCTTGGCCCTTGGTAGAGTTTACATACATGCAGCGCAGAAGAGCCACGACGTCGTGTGCTATGGAGATATATGATAAAGCGATCGAGACTTGCATATAAGTCGTCAATGCCGGGGATATCCTTTCCACTGAGCTGCAGGATTGCCAGGCTCGTAGGGAGAAGATTATGGTTCTGGGGAGGTAACATGAGGCAACTTGCGTAAAGGCAGGAGGGAGCTGTTTTTACCTTTCTATGGCTGTGATGATTGCGTTAATGCTCACGATGACTCGCGAATGCTTGTTATATAGCCGCACAACGAAGATGGGTATGAGCGAGAAATATAGTGAGGAGAAAAGGATTGATGTCCAAAAGTCAGAAGTCATTGGAACACCACCAACTGGTGATGGGAACGGATTGTCGCTTGACATCACCCATTGCAAGCTCGGGGGACGGGTCGAGCTTTGGAAAAAAGTAGAGGTCACAAACAGGCCAAAAAGAATGACAACAGAAAGGATAGCCATTCTGAACCTGCGCATTCAAGAGAAGAATCGGGGCATCCAGCTTGAATATACATACTTGAAGCTGCGCAGCATGTGGATGTCGCGAGTCTGAAAGGCCTGCTTCAACGAGGCCAAGATGCAGTGAACTTGTACACCTGCCAAATTGGGATGGCATCAGAAGAATTGGAAATTAGTGGGTCGGTCTAGGCACCCCCGGCAGACTCGGCAAATTCCAGCGGCCACTAGATAAACATTTTGAATTGGCTGACTATATGCTGCTGATGTAACTGAGGTATCCGTGAATGTGACTGGTCAAAAATGCCATCTGGGCAAATCAAACATACGCAGAACCATTGGCTTCGTAATTTGCTTGTAGCATCCCCCAAATCTGCCTCGAGGAAAGATATCCCGACTCTTTGCTGGCAGTTGCCACCTCGCTACTTCTATGACCGCCTATTGCCACCGAAGGTGGTGTCAATAGCATCCTCCATTTAGACACCACTCGAACCATGTCTGAGCTTTCCAGAATTTCCAAATAACCCAACTATGCTGCTCGTTCCCGTTCCCACCCACACCTTCTCCTTGGAGATATTCAGTGAGATGTAATGAGGACAAAGCTAGTGTAGCTCAGGCTGTATAATATCATATTCAAGAGGCTGGTACGACGGAGCAAGGTACTGAGATCGAGAAATAGCATGGTGATCGTATACTGGATAGTGGCCCGGGTAGAATTAAGCGCCTGGCAGTGGCGGGAGCGGGGTGACCGGCGAGATGCTGGAGTGGCCCTGCACATCTTCAAATTCCACGAGTATCGCCACCTGTACCCAAACTTTTATCCAGACCGGCCATTTTAGAGATGCCCTCGGAAATTACACAAGTCGCAGAAAATCTTAATCGGACTGTCAGACCTTGGTCCAAAGTACTGGACGGGTGCCATCGAGAGCAGTTGGGATGAACGATAGCTTGAACAACGTTAAGTTCTTTTCAGAGTATTCGGCCAAGAATCCTGACAGTCACCAAATCTAGGATGGTGACGGGTCACGCGCACGAATCAGGACGTCTCCTCTACAACCCTCATGCGGGAAGCTCGGGTCTTCCCGATACTTTGATATCTCAGGCTAATGGTTTTGACAATGACATACGACTACCATTTCTTACCTGGTGTACATAAACCCCTACCTTACTAGCGCATTCCCACAGCAATTCAACGGACCCACACGACAATGAGGAAATTCTGAAAGGCGCGATATGATCGCTCACATGACCTTGTCGGACGTGAAAGCTTATGACTCAGAACAATCTTATCCTTCTCCAACCCTGATAAAATAACGATGTCTCTGTCGTACTCGTCCGGCCTCGGCGACAATACGTGGCTATGGGTCAGTACACAAATATCAACACAAACAATTCTCTGATTTTCACGTCCACACAGATGTAATTGTCCCTCCATGCAAAAAAATGGAATTATGTATCATTTTTGTTTTGAAATCGACTATTCTTTTGTTTTGTTTTCAACTTCAACCCATCTTTGTGAATGCACTGGCACTCTCGCGGAATGATATATAAGGATTCTGTATCCTCTACGCGCCGACCAAGGCTTCAATAGCACGACCACGTGACTCAACCGATGCGAAGAGCTACTCTTGGCATCCGAGCCTGAGTTCAGTTACGTGGATACATCCCCTTTACTCTTTATCGATCCCCGTACCTTCACCGATATCTTTGACTTCATCACATGCTCTCCGTACCCATTCTGGACTAGTCTGCCACTCGAAAACGTATATATACTATTCACCTGCCTTGTTTATAACAGTCACTGAAAGGTCCATAGCCACTGGAATTTGCCTCTACGGTCCCCTCGTACCATCATGACAACCAATCCGCGTATCATTTTCAATGAAATACCTCATGGCCTGCCAAATCCTAAAACATGTTTGATCGTCGACAATACACTGTCTATTGATCTTGACAATGTACCACTTCAAGGAGGTATCCTCGTCAAGGCACTTGCCTTCAGTCTTGACCCCTATATGCGCAATCGCATGCGACCCGTTGACATTCAAGGAGACATTGATGCATTCCCCCTTGGCGAAACGTAAGCCAACTTGAAAATATTAGAATTCGACGGATACTGGACGGTTTCACAGAATCAATGGTTTCAGCGTTGCTGTGGTCTTGCGAAGTGAGACGCCCTTGATTCAAGCCGGACAACACGTATATGGATTCATGAGTGCGTATACCCCTAATAAGTTTTGCGGCACCTATTCTTGATTATGTTATTGTAGACTATCAACGCTACAGCGTCATCCCGTCAATAGACGCTGCTGTGCTGGGTCTGAAGGGTTTGAGTCTACAAGTCCTTGACAACAAGTACAACCTCCCATGGCGATATTATGTTGGAATCCTTGGAATGAGTGGGCAGACAGCATATTATGGACTCAAGGACATTAGCAACCCCAAGCCGGGTGAAACACTTTATATATCTGCAGCGTGTGGTGCTGTAGGCCAGTATGTGTCATCCTATCCTCTGTTGTTGTTTTATTTGAACATTTTGTAGCCTTGTGGTTCAGCTTGCCAAGGCCCAAGGACTGAAAGTCATCGCATCTTGTGGTAGCGACCAGAAGGTCTCGTTGGTGAAGTCACTCGGGGCCGATCATGTCTTCAACTACAAAACTGCGGATACCGCTGCAGAGCTCAATGCACATGGCCCGATTGACATATACTTTGACCTTGTCGGTGGTCCGACACTCGAAGCTGCCATAGATAATTTAGCCTGCAACGCCAGAATCATCATCTGCGGGATGATCAGTCAATACAACTCGGGCGCGGACAAGGCATATGGCGTTCGAGTGAGCACGTTTCCTCTTGGATATTTTAACCCCTAACAACGAAAATAGAACCTGTGGTTATTGAACAGGTACCGAGCGAGGTAAGTTGTTTTAATGAATGCACTTCTTACCCACGGTTCTCAATTTCCATTCACAACGCAGGATGCAGGGTTTGGTTGTGATCGACTGGGCAGATAAATATCTGGATGAATTCCACGATACTGTCCCACGAGATTTGGCCGCTGGAAAACTGAAATATCTGGAACATGTGTATCATGGTATGGACAAGATCGGTGAGGCACTTGTTGATTTACTAGTTGGAAATAATATCGGAAAATCTGTGCTGGTTCTCGAAGATGATGTACTATAGTGATGTGCGTGGTACCCGACGATCTTGTAAACTGTATCCCTCATTGTTTAACAACTGCATAATATGATATTCACAAATTTCATACATGCAACTTGAAGGTTGAGTAGAGGCAGCATTTTGATTGCATGATTCGTTACAGGACAAACTATCGGATATTATAAGTACACGTTTGAATGAGCATAACGGGCGAGTCCATCCGAATGGTAAGTAGCATATGGGATCAAATATTACATCGCTCTTTCATATCGGTCGCTCAGAATGTTTCTTAAAAACATCCACAGTTCACGAACTACCTCCTCGAACGCCTGTCACGGTAGTGTCCAAATATTCCACATGCTGCGGTGCAGGAGCCTAGAAGCAGCGCAACTAGCGCGCCAAGCGCAAGCCAGTTCGCATTTCCCCAATTTGCATTGATTCCCTCGCTTCTCAAGCGATCTCTGACGGTACCGAATAAAGACATGCTGATGATCCATGCAACCAAAGTGCACAGTGTCGCAAGTCCAGCGAGTAAAGTCATAAAGACGGTGCCGGCCCTATGATATCCTGCACCACATACTCCGAAGAGGAACGCAAGACCGGAAAGGCCAGCGGCAATTGGGTAAAGGATGAGAACGAAGGTGAGACTGTGAAGAATTCCTGTGTTGATGTCTCCTGGTAGAGGGAAATAGTAGCCAACTTGAACTTTGGAGCCTGTATAACCGAATACACCAAAGGCGTATTGGTTAGCATTGAGAAAGGATATGCTGTTCCACGTTGGTGATGATACAGAAACCTGTCAAACACTGTCAAAATCATGATAACGATGATAAGATTAGATGTAGGAACATACAAAAATGAGGAGAAGCATTGCCGAAAAGCAGAAAAAGAGACCGGGAAGCGCGCCTGATGCTGCCATTGTGATGGTCTAACGGAGAGAAGATGAATAGACCTTTATGTGCGGGGAAAGCGACCTTTATTGGCTTTCAAGCTCAGCTGCGCGCGCTGCGGGTCACACTGGCAGATGCATGACGTTGACCAGTGCAAACAGGAAATATGATGTCATCCCTCCATATCATTCAACGTGCACGTGAGCAAACTTGCACAGCATTAAATTATCGGAGACAACATTTTCCGAGCTAGCTGCTACTACACCTACTATAGCTAGACTCCGCACGTCCGCGCCAATAAATATTGTCACAGCCCCACAGTTCCTCAAGCTCTTACTCCTCCGTGCCTTGGAGCGGGCGATGCGAACTAGAGTATTTCGACACTCTAGGAATCAACAATATAAGGGCTATCATGATGACCTCCGCACGTATCGGAGGCCATGGTGATCATGATCGTATGCGTAATTCCGTTGAAATTAATTGATTGACTATTTACATCAAGTTCAGATTGCTTGAGATGCCAGCTTGATGTTAAGCAGCTTGGACTAAACCATAGTTGGTCGGGTATCGGGTGCAGTGCGCTTTGAAGGTACGCCGAGCTGTCTTGTCAAGTGAGACAGTTGAAGGAGGAAGACACTTGTTCTTTTTAGCGTCTCTATACACATCCTGGCGTCCCATGTATCCGAGTCAACGTGCTGATCGTCATTTTCAGTTATTTCTATCGCGTATCCATTGCTCACAAGCTATGAGCTCTCGAGAAATAATGAGCAGGGCGCGCCACGCATTCATTGAGCTGGCCTGTGGCAACTGTGCTAGACCATCGGTTGGTCGTTGCATATTCTGCCTTTGTGACACAAATTGGGCGACGTCAATGCCATTGATGTGATTATAAGTGGGCAATGAAAGCATCCACTAGAGCATCCACACTTGTATCGTTTTCGATTTTGTGGTTGTGGATAGATGACATGGTGCGTCCACAGTAGTGCAACCTATATATATTGAATTGCAGACATTCTCCACCGCCAGACAGACTACTACCTCATATTCTTTGCAATTTTGCATCCCTTTCCCCCATATCGATCATGAATCCGTTCAAGAAAATGTTCCAAAAGTGAGTCGACCGTTTTCAGGTTCTACTTATCGTCATTATTGTAATCAATACCCCTCAGGTCCAACGACGACAAGACGGCATCGCTTAAGCACTCCAAATCAATGCCATACCTCCTTTCTTTGGAAGGGAGGACGCGTGAGCATCGTGTTGATCCTAAACCCGTATACCGTGGCAAGACCCCCCTTAAAAAGTCCGACATCGTATACATCGAGCAAGCTCCAGGGATACTCGAGATTTATCATGGCAAACTGTCGCAACATACATACTACCATGAACCGACTCGCACGGACTTGAACACACGTGGGGACTTGCTGGCCAAGTTTCCCCATTCCCCTGAACCGGTCGAGGGGCTCCCTCGCAGCGGTTTCAGAACAGTTTCTTTGAACTCAAAGGCTATTGGGCTCCAAGTGCCTGTCCACAATTTCCGTACAAGTAGCCAGCATACCTGCCCCTCCATTCCCCGCAGAACGCAGAGGCCTGTGGCCACCGTTGATCAAGCTTCGGCAGATGTACTGCACATTCCTGACGGAAATACTTGCAGTGACAGACTAGCAGAACGTATTCCCGCCAAGTCGAGCACTGGTCGCTCATACACCCCTGTTCCTACCACCCACTCTCCACGTCCAGTACTCTCACGCTCTCCACACAGCTCACGCGTACACATTCCTCACGTCCCATCCCATATCGCCATACCAGTGCCTGCTGCGCCAGACCATAGACATCCTTCCGGTCCTCACAGAGACTACCATGAATTTTATGGGCAGCAGGACCCAGAGGTCATCCTTGGAATGATCAGTAAATATCCTATAGCGCCTCTTCGCAGCGAACGTACCCCAGAGCACCTGCGCCCGATTCGTTTCGATATCGTCGATCCGCGCTACTTCCAGGAGGAATTTATGGAGAACATAGAGACGGCCGTTGCCCAAGGTCGTCCCCTCGATGTACGCGTGGGTGGCCATTGCCGCCGCATCATTGACGCGGTCCGACCCAATGTGTATCATTCCGGAGACTAGCAGGGATCTTGTACATCGATGATCTTGCGAAGACGGAGGTAGTTTGCGCAGAAAGAGATTTGGTGCTGTTCTACTTCGTATATGTTATGTGTGTTCGTATGTATATGATTTATGGAAATAAAAATTATGCACCATTCGAGGGAGATCATCGTCTAATTAACGCACATACGCTTTTACTTAGATAGTGATTTTCAAGTGCAGTCGGTCTATCACATCCGGCAGAAACACCAAAGAAGTATTCTTGTCATTCTTGTATCACCAGATACGCTTCACCATCGTAAAGCGAGTCAACTCTTCAAGGGGCACCCGCTTCTTGTCACCACCGCCGCCTTGTCCATTACCGCCACGCATGCGCCCCTCACCCATCTCACCTACTCGTACGGCGTCGTCTCTCCAATCGTCCACCATCTTCTTGAGCTGCTTATTATAATCGCGCTCCTCCTTACCTTCCCCTATAGGATCTCGCCCAAAGTCGTTGATAATGTCCGCAGCAGCGCGGGCCTCCATGCCTGCTCGACGACACGTCGCATATGAGATAAGATTCACACCAAGAAGAACTTTTAAAGCGAGAAAACTAGGCAGAGTAAGCTTTCACGAAACTATGACAACAAAAGAAATCCTACCATAACCAAAATGCCACTCCCATCACGGCCCACTTGAGTAAATGTACGACCTCGGCATTTGACATATCCATGAGAGTATCCCAGCCCCATTCATCTTCAAAGCGAAGAGAAAAGACGAGAGTTAGTGACTGCAGACCAACTAGAATAACGACAACTGCAAGCGGAAGGGAGGCAAAGCCAAGTCGGCGGGCCACTAATGGTGATTGGTCAACATAGCTATGCTGCATTCGGTCAATGAGTGCAATTATGAGTCAAAGCCAAACGCCAGACCTTTCGAGCACCCAGGCGCCCTATAGCACTCCCACTGGCCAAATCACGACAGAGCACATCCGTATATCGCTCATATACAGATGGCCGTATGTGATTAAACTTAGAGATGAATGCGTGTTTCAGCCAGTCCACGAGGATCTCAGATGCCATTACAGTCACAACGGGCTGATCGAGCTTCGTGAGCGGGGTTGGGTGCAGTATCTCAATAACCTACGTAGGATATTGTCCATAGAATATTATTGCCCATGAACCAGCCAAAGCTCATTGGAAGGGCAAATCCACCTGTAAAGTCGAACTCGGATCCACTCAGCTCGATCAGATTGCGGAATGCAACAATGAGAAGCATGAGTGAGAGTGTAAACCGTTCCACGATATCCGCGCAAGTGATCTGAAAGAGGTTGTCTTTCTCAAATTTCTTGAAGACACTTCCTTTGATCTCGACGAACTGATTCGAGACGAGAAGAGTTAGGAGTGCGTGGTCATATGAATTGACGGCCACATTAAGAGATAGCAACTGGTAAATCATCACTAATGAGTGGCAAACTAAAACAATGTTAATGGCGCGATATACTAAAGGCCTGTTGACAAAGACTGACCCATGTAGAGAGTAGCTAGCCCAAAAAACACGAACGGGCGAAGCGTGTTAGACGTAACCGGTACTCGACGAGAAAGTACCTCGAGCGTTGAACGGGAAAATAGGCAGTCAAGGATATCCTGCCCTATCGATGCGCACAAGCGGTCAGCGATCTAAGACGGAAAAAGTTTAGTCATGTGCACCGGTTGAACCGAGGTTTAAACGAACGTACCTCTAATGCATTAAATATTACATATAGTTTGATAGTGTCTTGTCCGCGTATGGAGTGATAGATCTTACTGGCATCCGTGAGCGGAATCAACACCATGATAGAGACCACAAGTAGCATCATTCGAATGATGTCGGCTTTCTGTGATGGTGGGAGAGGCAATTTGGAGACTTTGAAGAAATTCAGGAAACATCGGATGGTCGCCAGTGCAAACCTGATGGGTAGTATCGTAAAAGTATAGAGGAATGAGTCTAAACAAAGTATGAAGCCAAAACCAATAATCTGCGCCTTATGAGCACCGCATATCACTCACATGAATCTATACGCACCTTTTCCATTGCCAGAGGAATATTCAGGAAATTGCTCACCCTCTCCCACTTCAACTCCTGGTGCGAGTCAAAGTCAGTCGCGAGAAGCTCTTCCCATAGGTAGTCCCATAAAGAAAATAAAGGCTGTTCTTTCGGTAGCTCTTGACTCCGGGCTATCGGAGGTGGAGAGGCAGGCGGAGACGGCAATATAGGAGTTGTAGGGAGTGATGCATATGTCAATGGATGGACTTCGAGTTCGGGTTCAAGCATCCTCTCGCATTCAAGGTCCTGGTCACCGAGTGGTGCATTTATCGTGTTCTCTCCCTTTACGTCTGAACCGCGAATAACATCATCATCGAAGTCGACGGATGAGGACCTTCTGCGGCGACCTCGCGAAACTGGTGTGGAAAGTGGTGAAAACTGCGCATTCCATGTCGCACCAATGGATGCGGAAGAGAAGCGTCTTCTTGAGCGTCGCGGAGAGGTAGCCATATGCCGCAAATATTATTCTAATTATTTGAATTGAAGTGAAGACTACGAGCTGAAGTTCATAGTAGTGAGAGGGCAAAGGTTCAGAATCACGTTAGCTATGCTATCAATACGTCTTGATATGGACTTATGTCATCGGATTACCATGATGTGGTCTTTTTGGAATCATTTCTTCAAAAACAGATATCACACAAGCATGCAAAGCACACCAGAAATATTATCTTCCACGATGAAGGGGAAATCTTGCGTGGACCGTCCTGAGGCTTACGCCGATCGATCTCAGGATAAGCCTGGTGGTGGTACGTCTAGCAAATCTAAGTCTGACTGTTTGACTATTTTCTAACACAGGTACCATAGTCCCTCCCATCCCTTCTGAACTCATACATCACATACTCAAATACCTGGGAAATAAAGACCTGGTGAACACGGCAATCGTGTCCCAAAGCTTCCGGTTCATTTCTCAGCGCGTGATCTACAGGAACGTCGAACCCGCCGAGGACATGATCATACCATGCCTCAGATGTTTTGCGTCGTACCCACATCTTGCATCCTGTGCTCGTACTCTCATCTTGGCTGATGCTACTCGACATTATGACGTTTTCTTCAATTACTTCAACCTGCTGCGTCGTGCCTTGCTAAACGCGTCTTCACTCACCGATCTTACAATCCTCCTCGACGGCCCTTACGCAAAATATTTGCATGGATGTTCATTTCGACTTCGTTCTCTCACTACAACACTCGACTGGGACAAGGACTTCATCAAATTAATTACAGAGCAGACGGAACTGCGCAATGCCATGTTCGGCGGAAAATTCGTGAAAGACATGGTTCTGCCTAGCGACACTCTCACAAAGCTTACAAGGGTCTCTGCATCTCCTCTGGTACTGGCTGCAGTAGTTCCCAATCGAAAAATCAAGGAAGTGGAACTCTGTTTGCTACATCAAGCGCTTTTCAAAGACGATATCCTCAATACTGCATCAAACATACTTTCCTATTCTACCGGCCCATTGACCGCACTGCAGGTCATCACCCGTCTAAGCGACACAACGAGTGCACTTGCAGCATTCAAAGCGATCGCAAAGAACCTACCAAAACTGAATTCGTTTGCCTTTTACTCAAGTGATGGAGTTGTCTCGCAGGTGCGCCATCTTCTACTCAGATACAACATTTGCTCCAAGCATCTACAGGAACTTCTGGAAGCCTTTCCAGAATTCCTCTCCGGCTTCGAATGCCTCAGGTCGTTGACACTGATGTCACGAAATAAAGCCGATGCACTACACGACAAAACTTTGACGGCTACCCTCGCGTCAAGGTGGCACGCATCATGTCCCTCTTTGCAAAGCATCTCACTCGCGGGATCTATATGGCTGCATAACACTCGGCATGGTTGGGTGACGTTGGCAGATCTTGAGCGTCTCCTGCGAGAACGTAAGTGGCTGCTTCTGTCCCGTCAGAAGTACTGGACAGGTGCGGATCCAGGAACGATTTCGCTGGAAGAGGTGAAGAACAACATAGATGAGGTCGATGAAGACACGGAGCAGGGAAATCAGATGGAGCGGCAGATGATCGTGCTTCGTGATAGTATCCTCCAGTTTGGTGGTCCTTGATAGGCGAGATCTCTTATGCTACGTATACGTTCTGACGGGACATGCTGAGGTTGTAGGATAATAAATCAAGTCCAAGTGAGGTATGCCTTTTATTGTACTAAGTTGGACAAAATGTCGATATCTGTAATGTCGTCTCCTCTAATTCATCGCGTTCACTTGCATGCAGACTAAAGAGTACACGGGATGCCAACACACTGTGGAGGACAAGTTGTGGTCTGTTATGATGCATCAGTTTTTTTTCATTGAACCATCCTGAATGAATTGCCACGCACAAGTCCAGCATCTCGTTGTATGATTTCTGCCCAAAATTAGCAAAAATCGTCAAATGAGCGCATACAATATGCAACTTACTGGCACCACAACCGTGATCACCGTATTGACCGCAGAAACGACTGGAAGAAGTGCTTTAACACGGGACATGTTAAATGGAACAAAAGGTCACCGCACAGATCATGGGAGCCATATACCACACTCCACCCTGGAAGACTACTCTCACCAGTCGACTGTTACAGTCTCTGTAGTCCCTATATCTCTTGAACACCATTAAGGAAAATAGCACTAAGTGAATGGGAATGAAAAGTTGTGCTCGATGGAATGGAAACGAGATATCATTACATATTTCGTAGGCCACGAGAAAGCCATATTGAATGGCACTGCTGCTACTCGCTTCAAAAGTGCAGTTGCTTGTGGGGGGAGCTTGAAAAGCACATTTGTCGTCTACAAGGAAAGAAAAGGAATGCAAACCCACCTGAAGGGTTTGCGGGCACCGCTAGTAGATCACCGACAAAATCTGTGAGACCGACACCACACCCAATGCAAATCTACATTGCGATATCAACAGACGGCGGGTATGAGCATGCATGACCAGACAAACGTACTGCTGCCAAGACTAGTAACACTGCCAAGAGCTTGTTGTTCTTTCTCCAGAACGCATATGTACGAATGATCAAAAGACCTATATAAGAAAGAGGTAGATTCCAGGCCCAGAAAACACTATGGAGCGAACCTTCAGATGATACAATAGTTATGATGTGAATTGCTGCAGTAAAATTCAGTGACAAGATGTTGAATGTTCAGGATATCGATCACCATTTGAAGTCCTGCTGAAGTACAAGCACTGCATTCGTCGTCCTTCAGTTCATACAGCAACCACATAAACAAAACACATTGACATTCTCGTTCGCTCGTGTAGCAAGGATCCCTGGTCACTTGTCAATGTCACGTACCAGGGGATACGGGCAGCTGCTTACCATATGAAGTCATGCCAGCTGCTGCAAAGGCCATGTAGCGTGAAATTACAAAAAGAATACGAGTTATGTTCCAGCGCCTGTTCCATGTCCATCGAATCTTGCAACATTTGTCAAGAGATGTTCGAACTCTATGAAGAAATACTCACCTCAAGTTCGAGCGTTAAGAAATAGTCAAAAATCTACGGAGTATAGTAAGAGGGGATATCGACCATGACTTGTAGACCTACCAATACTCCTAGACCGGCCACTGCATAAATGATTCAGAATGAGAATGGTGTAAACCCCTGTATAAGTCCACGTACCATTGCAATACTATAGTAATTGCAGTCAATAGACTTGATCTAGAAATATATTCGGGAATTCTTACCTTCGACGTCTGAATGCCTATATTCTCTGTGGGTGCGACCATCGCACGCTCGTGCTATGTAGTAAGAGTTACAGGACTCGTTCTTTTATACGCTTACATGATTTGAATTTGATCCAACCCATAACTTTCATTTGCTGTGCGTAATTTCAATAAACTGCACAGCTGCAGAGGTGATCAAAACAAATCATGGAACGTGAAACTGATCAGTGGCACTATTTGGTTACGCGTGTCACAACTTATGTCACGAAAAGTCACACTTGTATACAGACGATCTCCACCCGATTTGTTTGGCTTCACTCGAAACACTAGTATCATACTCAAAGAAGGGTTTCATCCGTGTAACAAACTGATGAGCACCATGGATAATTCACGTGGATAGCCGAAAGTGTACGTTCATATCATATTGACATTGATTTGTTTCTAACATAAATGTTCATCATTGATAGTTCACGTTGTAGTCCATGTGGATAGCCGAAACTGCCTGTCCAGCCGTGTCCCAATTCAAGAACGACACTCAAACTGCGCAAACAGGGAACATGGCAACAGGCAAAGGTCATCATACCATCATAACACGACGAGTAGCCCCAAAGTAGCCCAGTCTCATGACTTGCTTCGCAGACGCAGTGTTCTTCATTATGATGAAAGGTGAGCTTGCCACGCACTTGCAGAATTTTGGTTGGTTCCTCTCATCGGTTTGGCACTTGAAGCTTGATCTCGCCACCTGCCTGTGCTTCCCAATCAGATGTACCTCCTCTGTAACCAAGAACGTTATCAAAAGATACCGCATAACAAAGATCGGAATAGCAGGAGTATGACCATATGTCTCTATCTGGCTTCCTTCTGTCGTTGAAGTGTATACCTTGACATGGCAACATCATGATGCCGCAGCTCGTGCATTATGCCTCGGTGATATAACAACACACATGCAATCATATGTCATGAATGGTATATTTTAGAATCGAGTTCTAAATGCGTGGCTTCGTTCACGAGCGTGATAGCATTTCGCCATCCAGAACTGTGCGAGAAAGCGTGAGATCCAATAGTCGCGTAAGATGGTTTGAAAAGAAATTGTTTGCGATTTCGAGCGGTCATTGCAAAGAAAATGTGATACATGGAATATGTACAGTGGTTTTCGAGATTGTCGAGCAGTTGGACTTCGACGAATCGACGATGTAGACATTGTAGAGTATTCATGCATTTCTCGCCAATCCCTTTAAATTGACCGAGAGGTTGCGTTGTATGGCGCAGTCGATGGAGTTTATTTTGAGATTCAGTCGACGGGGGGCAGTGCGGTAAGCCTATCGTTAAGTACAGCCTGCAGGTGAATCCGATCCGAGGCCATCGATGTCCGTGAGGACGGACGGTCCTGAAATTCCAAATATGATACTTATGTTACATAAAAATAAATTTTAATTTTCTAAAAAAAGGTATGAATTTACCGTCCAAAAACCAAGACCATTGAGATACTTCAGCTCGGTCACGTTCGATGGTGTCGCAGTAGGTAAGTACTGTCCTAGAACCAGACTGTCATTGGTCAGGTTCAAACCACATTCAGACACTGAGCATCAGGATCCCGAGTATCAGTCATTGCGTCCAGCACGTTATCCGAATTGCACGGACATGTTTCAGTCGGTGTTTCGTCGAGCAACTGTTGGCGAACTGTTTCCAGGCCTAAGGGTGTGTTTGAGAACCTTGTCGTATTGTTTGTTGGGTGGCCTGGGACTCACGTAAGTGCAGCTTTTCAAGTTGCAGGTCCTAGCTGAAAAGTTGTTAACGAATGTATGCATGTGACGAATTTCTCGATCTTTTCAAACCGCTCTAACTTCGACATCCTAAAGCTATGCTACATGGTTCAGCCAAGCTTGGCAAGGATCACTGCCGAATACTGCCAGGCTTTTTCAATGGCGACGAGATGAGTCGTCTGCATTTTTGACCAGTTCTTGTGACCATCTCGAAAGATAGGCCTGTAGAGGCATAATAAATCACTGCCAAAAAAATCCTCTTCTTCGACTATTTTTGTGGGTTTCGCTCGCCTACATAGTCAAGATCTGTGGTGGTCACCTGACCATGTCCATTGTCCTCCCCGACCAGTAAGGAACAAGAGTCGATCGGGTACAAGGTGCTATACACCTGCCTGAATATGTCTACGTGGGTGATCTATTCACTCGATGACACAAAATTTGCGACGGGCGGCGCACACTATAAGGACGCAGCAAAATTCTGGAATGCAAAGATAACCAAGCTGCTTGCCTTCAAACACGACGCTCCGATGCATATCGCTTGCTCGATCTTATACCCTTTTCACATCTTGTGTATGTCTTCTCCTTCTATGATTATCGGATCTCTCCAGATTACGAGCCGCTTACACAGAAGTCGATGTAGTTTGAGCGAGAAGCAATATATATATAGAGAGAGCGATAGGAGATACATCACCGAGACGCATAATCGACGATGATTTACTACATCCCCGCGGTTATAAGGATGGTTGCATCATATATGGTTTACTGTCCCACTGCTTGAATCATTCCTGCGGTTCATGGTCACTTTGCTATGCTCGCCGGCATTTCTCTTTCTTTTGTCGCTGTCACGGCACTTAAGGCGATTCATCAAGAAGCGACAGCATAGCCCTTCTCTTCCTCCTGGCTTAGTGCCACTCCCACTGTTGGAGAACGTCTTGCCTGTTGACTCTCAGGAGCCTTGGCTGACTTATACCGAATGGAGTGCTGCGTATGGTACGTGAACAGATAGTATAGGGATGTACTGCAAATTATTTTATCAAGGGATTTGGTCTTCGTGCGAATTCTAGACCAGGAAATCGTCGGTGTTGATTCTGAGCACATTGCAGAAGCCTTATTGGACAAGTGTTTTACTCCGCACACTCGAGCCGTGCGTTCTTTCAGTATTCTTATATTCAACCACTTTAAGGTTCTTGCAGATATGGCTTTTCGGTCAACTTTGGATTCAGCGGTGATGGCAATGAATGGCGCCTTTGCTGACGACTCTTCCACCCAACGTTCCGTCCCGAGCCTGCAGTAAAATTTTGCCCAATGCAGGTCAGGCGGGCTCATGAGACGTCGTCAACCTAGCTGATGACCCTCAACATTGTCATGACCACTTCGCAACGTCAGCAAATGGTTTTTACAAATTGAACCATTATTTACCTGTTCGCAGATTCTTGTCTATCTGCTGTGATGTCAGCGGTATATGACTACGATATCGGCATTTTTATAAGCAACGTTATGCTTCCGACATACACTAATATCACACAGCTTCATATCAGACTGTAAGCGGATAGCTCCACCACGTTATTTGCTGCCTATTCTTGTGACAGATCGAGGCAACTTTGATGGTTTTTGTTTTGGCTATGGTATTATGTCTAGATGTCAAGAAACGCGCACAATCGAAAATCGACTCAGTGGTTGGAAAAGATCGGTTGCCAACGTTCGAGGACAGAGCATCACTACCTTACCTTGATGCAGTTTTGCGAGAGACTTTCCGATGGCAGCCCATTTCACCCCTTGGTATTCTTTTCCGCCGGTGATCTGGCCTGTACTGAAACCGATTTCATAGGTATACCACATGCTACCTCGAGTGATGACACATACGATGGCTATTTCATTCCAAAAGGTTCGCTGTTTCTGTCCTATCAACACAACGATCACTTATAATATCGTACATAAGGCGCGATCATCATGTACAATACATGGTCCAATATGTTTCTCACAGCTTTCGTGACACTGACTTGATTGTAGGGGTATTACATAGAATGAAAAGCGGCACCCCAACGCATCTCGTTTCATACCAAAGAGGTTCATCGACGTTGATGGCGCGTTAACAAACGATGATCCCGCACAATACATTTTCGGCTTTGGCCGGCGTGTATGTCCAGGTTCGTTAAGTATCTTGATCTTTGAAAAGATTCGCTCACATATGGACTGATCAGGGCGGTATACTGCTGATACCTTCGTGTGGTCTGCCCATTGTGACTATGTTGGCCACATTGGATATCTCTTCTGTTAAAGATCACCAGGGCAAACTGATCAGCTTTACTCACGGGACTGGTTCAGTGACTTTCTTCATGTCATTCTTTCCTCTCGTCAGTAACAGTTGCGTTGTTTCAGCTATCCTGCGATCTTTTGGGCTTCCGAGTCGGTCACCCGGCATGTCTAGCTGTTGTGTCGAGAGTCCCGCAACGTTTCGGTGACGGCGTGCCAGAATATGGCGCACTGCATCATCTGTATTTCATACTTCATGTCCATGACATGCCCCGGTTCCCAATTGAACGACTGCCAGCAGCAACCGTATCATCCTCAGGTACGTACCTCGTGCAACATCAGCGCCTTACTCATAGGCTATAGCTCCAGAAAATGGGAGATGTTTTGCATTGTACCAGCATCTTGCTTCTCGTGTTGCGATGCACTCCACGACAAAACTTTGACAGCTACCCTCGCGCCAAGGTGGCACTGGAACAGGCACAGACTGTGAGGACAAACCTCTATAGCGGGAGACTACGGTTCGAGGACCGGCTACGACAACACAATATAGGACTACCGACTACTGGCCAAGATTCTTGCTACTGCGCCAGGACCCCTGGCGCTCCCGGGGTCTGGTACGCATTATGTCCCTCTTTGCAAAGCGTCACACTTGCAGGGTCTATATGACTGCATAACACGCGGCATGGTTGGCAGATCCTGAGCGTCTCCTGCAAGCACATCGGGGGCTCCTGTCACATCAGAAGTACTGGACAGATGCGGATCCATCAACGATTTCGCTGGAAGAGGTGAAGAGCAGTCTAGACGAAGAAAACGAGGATGCAGGGCAGGGAAATCAGATGGAACGACAGATGATAATGCTTCATGACAGTCTCCTGCAGTTTGGTTGCCCTTGATAGGCGAGATCTGTGTTATACTGCGTATATGTTCTTACTGGGCATACGGCCACTGTGACTGTAGGATAATCAACCAAGTCCAAGTGAGATATGCCTTTTATTGTACTAAAGTGGACGAAATGTCGACATCTGTAATGTTGTCCCATCCATTTCCTCGTTTTCCTCATCACATTCACGCAGGCTGAACAGCACACGGGACGCCAACATACTGTGGAGGACAAGTTGTGGTCTGTTATAAAGCATCAGTTTTTTGTTCATTGAACCGTCCTGAATGAATTGCCACGCACAAGTCCAGCATCTCGTTATATGATTGCTGCCAAAAATTAGCGAAATTTGTCAAATGAGTAGATGCACCATGCAACCTACCGGCACCAGAACTGTAATTAGTGCATTGCCCACAGAAACAGCTGGAAAAAACGCTTCAGCACAAGACATGTTAAATTGAACAAAAAAGTCACCGCACCGATGATGGGAGTCAGATACCACACTCCGCCCTGGAAGACTGCTCCCACCAGACGACTGTTAGAATCTCTGTAGTCCTTATATCTTTTGAACACCATTAAAGACAACAGCACTAGGTGAATGGGATTGAAAAGGTGCTGCGATGGAATGGAAACGAGTCATCCTTACATATTTCGTAGGCCGCGAGAAAGCCATATTGAATGGCACTGCTCCGACCCGCTTGAAAAGTGCAGTTGCTTGTGGGGGGAGCTTGAAAAGCGCATTTTTCGTCTACAATAAGGAAAGAAAATGATGCAAACCCACCTGAAGGGTTTACGGGCACCGCTAGTAGGCCACCGACAAAATCTGTGAGACCGACACCACACCCAATGCAAATCTACATTGCGATATCAACAGACGATGAGTGTGAGCATGCATGACCAGACCAACGTACTGCTGCCAAGACCAGTAAGACTGCCAAAAGCTTTTTGCTCTGTTTCCAGAACGCATATGTACGAATGATCAGAAGACCTATGAGAGATAGATACAAGGCTCAGAAGGCATCGACACTACAGGAATGGAGCGAACCTTCAGCAGCTATAATACTGATGATATGAATTGCTGTAGTGAAATCAGTGACAAGACGCTGACTGTTCAGTATATCGATCACCATTTGAAGCCCTGCTGAAGTCCGAGCACTGTATTCGTCGTCCTTCAGTTCATACGACAACCACGTAAACAAAACACACTAACATTCTCGTTCGCTCGTGTAGCAAGGACAGCTAGTCACTCGTCAATGATGTACCAGGAGATACGGATAGTCACTCACCGTATGAAGTCATGACAGCTGCTACAAAGGCCATGTAACGTGAAATTACAAAAAGAATACGAGTGACGTTCCAGCGTCTGTTCCATGTCCATCGGATCTTGTGACATTCGTCAAGAGATGTTCGAACTCGACAAAGAAATGCTCACTTCAGGTTCGAGCGTTAAGAAATAGTCAAAAATCTAGGAAGCATAAGAGAGGATATCGTCCATGGCTTGTAGACCTACCAAAAGTCCCAGACCGGCCACTGCACATATTCAGGATGAGAATGGTGTAAACGCCTGCATGAAGTCCACGTACCATTGCAATACTAGAGCAGTTGCAGTCAATAAACTTGATCTGGCAAATAGATTCGGGAATTCTTACCTTCGCCGTCTGAATACCTGTATTCTCTAGGGGCGCGACCATTGCACGCTCGTACTAGATAAGGTTCCAGAACTCGTTCTTATATGCTTACATGATTTAAATTTGAATCTGTTTGTAAATTTTCATTCGCTGTGCAAGATTATCTATAATAAACTGCGCAGGTGATTCAATCAAAACCAGGTCCCATCCCCATCACAAAGCTGATGGTGGCATTGGACTTGCCCATAAGGGTGAAATTGGAATCCAGCATCAGAAGAGCATGTGCGGGTCGAATGTTGAAATCTCTTTCAACGGTGACACTTTGCTCTGCTCTTTGACGGTTACTATATGTGAGACGTCAATATATTACAAAACAAGCTGTGAGCTTACGGGAGCTGATTTGGTCATATGCTCAGTCCATTTCAACTTATATATACCATCATCTCACGCCTTTCAGGGCCATGGCACAGCAGAAAAATGGCAGTTTCAATTACTTGCTATGAGTACGGATATCGGAAGCTTAATCGCTGCAGAGGACACTATGTTCGATTTCAGCGGAGGGCTGAATGTTAGACATCTTCACGTACCATTCAGGAGGACAGCAGATTGTGCGCACAACGAGCGAACACTACTCACTGCCACCAGACCAGTACATTCATATCACATCAACATTGGTTTACGACACTCGCAAGTTTCGCCTGTGTAAATATTGATGATAATTCGTCCGTGCGGATACCCGAAAGTGTACATGCCGCATGTCCTACATAATTCAAACACAGCAGCCAAACTGAGCAAAAGGGGAACGCACCTGCAGAATTTTGGGTAGTCTGCTCATTGGTTTGGCACTCACTTGATCTTGCCACGTCGCTTGTGCTTCCTATTCACCAGACGGGCATTTGTGGCCGCATGACAAAAATAGGAATAGCGGGGGTAAAACAACATAATTCTGCCTGCTGTCGAAGTGTGTACCGTGATATTGCAACATCGTGACGCCACAGCTCAAGCGCTCATGTAACATGCCTCTATAATATAAACACATACAATCGTATGCCATGAACGGTGTATTTCAGACTTGAGTTCCTTTGAACGCGTGCTCTCGTTCGTAAGCGCGATAGCATTTCGCCATGCTAAGGAGTCGACTGATGCAGATACGGTGACTACGGATCATACGAGCTGATGAGGGAGGTACTGAAATCTAGTGGCACAACGGGCGTTAAGACACGTATGGATCTGTGGTCCTACCGCGAGTGAAAGCAGGAATAGGATAAAGTACGATGGTTATGTTGTAACCTGCGGGGACAAGAGGAGTTCATCGAAAACATTTATAAGTGATGGGGGAGGTTTGGATAGTATATTGTCGGTACTGTGGGCCGAGAGCATTGCTGAATGTCATGATTCGCGGCGGCGCCACTCACGACCATCGTCTAGAGGAATGCCTGCATTTCCTGCGCGGGCGTAATGGCAACGGCGTTCATGGTAAGCTGTGGGGAGTTTGGTGAATCCTAGAATTTTTTTGGTGAGTTTCAGGGTGCCTAGGTGTCCGCGAAGGGTCCTTCAAGTTGGTGTATGCAATGTCGGGGCCTTCGTGGTGGGGTTCCGGAGTCCTGGTGGTCGAGGGTCAGGCGATTTGTCAGCCAATGTCTGCGATTTTGTCTAGATAGTAGGTGCTCTAGTTTACTGTGCTCTGGCATCCGGCTGTGCTGTAACTGATGGTGACTGGCTGCAAATGATGTCGACATGCATGCAACATTTTGGCATGGTTTTCTTTTTGATTTCCAAATTCACCCTTGTGCCAGCAATCGAATAGTTCCGGTACACTGCATTTGCAGTTTAATGCATATTTCGCCAATTTCACGACACAGATAAGTAGGACTTACTAAGTATGGTTCTGACTGAATCACCCGTGCAGTCTCCCACTGTGTTCGAAACTCAGATCATGGAAATGGTCGCTCCCACTGCAGTTAACACAGAAATTCAGACGAAAGAAATCCCCAAATATATTTTACAAATGAATTTTATTGACTGAAACTACCGCTAGTATTGCAATGGTACGTGAACTTCGTGCACGAGTTTACACTATTCTCATCCTGAATATGTACAGTGGCCGATCTGGGTTTTTTTGGTAGGCCTACAAGTCATGGACGATATCTCGCATGTTTTGTATGTTTTTGACTATTTCTTAACGCTCGAACCTGAGGTGAGTATTTCTCTATCGAGTTCGAAACATCTCTTGATAATTTTGCAAGGCTCGATGGACATGGAACAAGCGCCATTACTTGTATTCTTTTTGTAAGTTCACGCTACATGGCTTTTGTAGCAGCTGGCATGACTTCATACGGTGAGTGACTACCCGTATCTCCTGGTACGTGACATTGTCCAAGTGCCGGGTAACGTAGCTCGTCAGAGTTTTCCGGTACCACGAGGGTTAGCACAGTTTTTCCCTTTCGTTCCTTTTTTGACCTACCGTGGACGTCGAGTTCAGCACACCTCACGTATCCTCACTTGCTGTCTTTTTATGCTACGTATTCTGATGGACCATACCATGACTATGGGATAAAATCAATCAAATGAAGTATGCCTTCAATCCTCCTGAGCTGGACGAAATGTCGACAATTGTAATGTCGCTAAATCCAATTCATGCTGGTCACTTTCACGCAGACTAAACAGCACACGAGATGCCAACATACTATGGAAGACAACTTGTGGTCTGCCACAATGCATCAGTGATTTTATTAGACCACGTTAAACGAATTGCCACGCACAAGTCCATAATCTCGCTATATGATATCTTGCCCAAATTAACAAAATTTGTCAAATGAGCACATACAATATGCAACTTACTGGCACCGCAGACGTGATCACTATATTGACCACAGAAACGACTGCAAGAAGCGCTTCAGCACGGGACATGTTAAATTGAAAAAAGGTCACCGCACAGATTATGGCAGTCATATACCGCACTCCGCCCTGGAAGATGGCTGTCACTAGACGACCGTTGCAATCACTGTAGTATTCATATCTCTTGAACACCATTAAAGACAACAGCACTAGGTGAATGGGATTGAAAAGTTGTGCCGCAATGGAATGGACGAGATATCCTTACATAGTTCGTAGGCCACAAGAAAGCCATATTGAATGGCACTGGCCCGAGTCGTTTCAAAATTGCAGTTGCTTGTGGGGGGAGCTTGAAAAGTACATCTGCCGTCTACAACAGGGAAAGAAAAAATAATGCAAACCCACCTGAAGGGTTTACGGGCACCGTTAATAGGCCACCGACAAAATCTGTGAGACCGACACCACACGCAATGCAAATCTACATTGCGATATTAACAGACGATGAGTGAGCATGCATGACCAGACCAACGTACTGCGGCCAAGACCAGTAAGACTGCCAAAAGCTTCTTGCTCTGTTTCCAGAACGCATATGTACGAATGATCAGAAGACCTATGAGAGATGGATGTAAGACCCAGAAGACACTACAAGAATGGAGCGAACCTTCAGCAGCTAAAATACTGATGATATGAGTTACTGTAGTGAAATCAGTGACAAGACGTTGAATATTCAGGATATCGATCACCATTTGAAGCCCTGCTGAAGTTCGAGCACTGCATCCGTCGTCCTTCAGTTCATACGACAACCACGTAAACAAGACACACCAACATTCTCGTTCGCTCGTGTAGCAAGGACAGCTAGTCACTCGTCAATGTCATGTACCAGGAGATACAGGTAGTTTCTCACCGTATGAAGTAGGACAGCTGCTACAAAGGCCATATAGCGTGAGATTACGAAAAGAACACGAGCGACGTTCCAGCGCCTGTTCCATGTCCATCGAATCTTGTAACATTTGTCAAGAGATGTTCGAACTTGACAAAGAAATACTCACTTCAGGTTCGAGCGTTAGAAAATAGTCAAAAATCTAGAAAGCATAAGAGGGGTTATTGTCCGTGATTTGTATATAGACCTACCAAAACTCCTAGACTGGCCACTGCATGTATTCAGGATGACAATGGTGTAAATGCCTGCATGAAGTCCGCGTACCATTACAATACTAGAGCAGTTGCAGTCAATAAACTTCATCTGGCAACTATATTCGGAAATCCTTACCTTCGCCATCTGGATACCTGTATTCTCCAGGGACGCGACCATTGCACGCTCGTACTAGATAAGGTTCCAGAACTCGCTCTTATATCTGAATTTGCATGATTTCGAAACTGTGCATTCGCCATGTCACCGCGCGAGATCAAATTAGACTGTGCATGGTGATGGAGTCAAAACCAGTAGCAGGTCCTATCCGTGTCGCGAAACTAGCAATGGATTTCCAATGTAGCATAAGCAGTTGCTCGCTGGCAAAAGGGTGCATTTGAAACTCGGAGAGGCAGTGCTCGGAGGGATGATATCATCACATAGCAATTATATCTGAGTCCGAACTGCCCGGTAGCTTCTGTGTTTTCGGAGAACGATGCACGTGCTTAGCCTCCAGATTGCTATAAAAATAAAAAGATTGAGAAAACAAGGTCGATATAACCCGCTACCCCCTCTGAAGGCTTCCGAGGGATGTGAGTGTCCATATCAAGTAATTTCGCAACTACCTCACAGGTAGTATGTAGGTCGCCACGCAACCACGAGAGTATAACCCATCAGCATGGTATGCCATGATCAACACTGCTTCTTTGCTCGCATACGTGCATTAGTATGTCGGAAGTGCTCGTTGGTGGAGATAATCACTGCCACTAGTGTCTTGGCACAGATATTCTTCTGAACAGCACCGCGCAGTCCGTCATGCATCATGCGCTTGACCATCATTTGATAGCCGCATCGGTGGCCCAACGTGAAATTTGAGAACTTGCAGGACGATTTCGGTAGTTGTCTCAGAGCGATTCTGTGAGAGATCTGAGATGCGGACGAAAGGTGTATACAGTGTATGTCACTCAAAAGCGGCAACTACCGACATCAAAACTTGTAATTCTATCTACACCTTCAGAAATACCTCGTTCGTCTCAAAAACCTAACAAATGTGCTATGTTAGAGTAGTATAGTAAGTCTATCAGAATACTTTTTCAAAAAACTTAAGTTTCAAAATTTTCGCTAGCCAAAAGTGAATTTCGAGCGGAGCGTGTCGGAGTTTCCTATTTGGGTATGCGGCATCTGACGGCCGACTCCGCAATTAGTCGACGAGAACACCCAAGTTCATCATCAATGTAGGACCGCACCGACGATGCGACTTGTATTTCTTCACGGCAAATTCAGCTTGACGTGCATTAAGACCTTTCCTGGGATACTGTGAGAAGGAACTATGAAGCTGGTTGAGTTACACACCTGTAAGCATCCATATATCTCCAAGATTTTCGATAAAAGGCACGTATTGTCTTGATGGGGTATGCATCAAGAAGCTCTGGTACAATGCGCTTCGCGGTGAGGAATGTTCCATCAGCCGCACTGCGGAAACCTGCGAGAATTTCGTCACATCACAATGAGTCAGCGCTGACAATGCGGCCACACACGAGTTTTAACCCATCCCCAGTACATTTCAATGGGATTCAGCTCACAGTGAAACTTTGGAAGAAACCAACACTTGTGTCCAGCTGCTTCGATGATGAGCTGTATGTATGGTTTTTCGGCTTTAAAATCTTGCTGATTTGCGAGCATTTTCCGCATGCAACAGTTGACACCCAGAGATTCACGCGCTATGTGCGCATGCAACTCGTCAGGCTCGTCTCCACCCTGCGCTGCTGCCAGTGCCTCACGACGAAGTGTTTCCTGTGCTTCTCGTGACAATTTGCATGTCTGACACTCTCCAACAGCTTTCCCTCACTGTCTCTTCAGCCTCGACCACAATCTCCATAGCTGCTTCATCATCCGACTCGCTTTCATTATCTGATACCTCTCCTATATTGCCGTCTATGAGACTGAATGACAATGCTCCATTAAAGTCGGACTCGGAGTCTGCTTCACTTTCGGCATCTGAGACAGGCACATAATCTGGGTCCAGAAAGACTTCAAAAACATCTTCTATCAGCCCATTGTCAAAGCACCTCGATGATGAAGCATACTGCTGCTTCGCTTGCTTCTGTCTTTTGGTAGGAGGAGGCATTCAACAGCAAAAGTGAACAATTACGTAATCAGGCGAAATTTCGGAAATTTAGATTTACACTCCTTTTGTCTAAGTTTCCTATCAAAATTTCAATCTAAGCACATATGGATCAAAATTGCGGCCTGGGGAGAGTTGCTGTCCCTTAGTGACATACACTGTATAGATTGGACAACGGACGAAGATATATATACACACGTTCGATCCGATGACTCGGAGTAGAAATAACAAGTGATGAGTAACCTGTCATCACTTCAGCTCCCACAGCAAGGTACGAGCAAAAACGGTGACCTCACTCAGCGCATGGACCTTACATAATAAGTCCATTGTCTTTTTCTTGTAAATGAGGTACTTACAGAGCGTTGTAACTGGACTCCGTCTGGTATTGGTAGTATATATATTAGTTCAGTATGTCCTGTTGAGCAATAATAATACCACTTACACCTATGGCCTCAGTGGGAGACGAAAAATCGGCAGGGGTCCTGTAAAAACTGAGATTGCGATGATGAAAAAGAGAGAAGACAACATGATTGTAATAGTAAGAAGATAAGTTGACTTGTACTTAGTAGAACTCAGATACAATGATGATGACATGTCACACCGTCACACGCTGCGCGAGAGTGCTATGATGCAATGCACAGTGTGTGCGCGATACGATGCGAAACTTCGAAAGATCGGAAGAAACGATGAAATTGTGATGTAACGATCTAAGGTACGACGCAAAAACGATACGAACGACACAACAAACAACGCAAAGCAATGTGCACGTGACTACAATTTGTTTTTCATAATTATTTCACCCTATCGACGACCTTACAAACAGAAAATAAACAGATCCCATTGTACCACGCCATAGTGGGTTTTCACTGGGAGTGAGGCTTGGGCTGGCCAGAAAATGTTAGTTTTTCCTTCCTTTCCTTTTTCGACCTGTCGATTCAGCACACCTCACGTATCCTCACTCGTTGTCCTGTCGTTCCTTCCACTCTCTTTTACCAGGCATCACGGACTTTGGTCGCTTCAAATCACGTTGTCGTTAGTTAGGCAAACTCTCTTGTATGTTACGTCTGCATTCTGATGGACCAGCCATATCATGACTATGCGATATAATCAATCAAATGAAGTGGGCCTTTGGTCCTGCTGGGCTGGACGAAATGTCGACATTTGTAACGTCGCCCAATCCAATTCATCCTGGTCACTTTCACGCAGACTAAACAGCACACGAGATGCCAACATACTGTGGAGGACAAGTTGTGGTCTGTCACAATACATCAATGATCTTATTTCTTAGACCACGTTAAACGAATTGCCACGCACAAGTCCAGCATCTCGTTGTATGATTGCTGCCAAAAATTAGCAAAATTTGTCAAACGAGTAGATGCACCATGCAACATACCGGCACCAGAATTGTAATTAGTGTATTGGCCACAGAAACAGCTGGGAGAAGCGCTTCAGCACAAGACATTAAATTGAACAAAAAGTCACCGCACAGATAATGGGAGTCAGATACCACACTCCGCCCTGGAAGACTGCTCCCACCAGACGACTGTTAGAATCTCTGTAGTCCTTATATCTCTTGAACACCATCAAAAACAACAGCACTAGGCGAATGAGAATGAAAAGGTGCTGCGATAGAATGGAAACGAGTCATCCTTACATATTTCGTAGGCCGCGAGAAAGCCATATTGAATGGCACTGCTCCGACCCGCTTGAAAAGTGCAGTTGCTTGTGGGGGGAGCTTGAAAAGCGCATTTTTCGTCTACAATAAGGAAAGAAAATGATGCAAACCCACCTGAGGGGTTTACGGGCACCGCTAGTAGGCCACCGACAAAATCTGTGAGACCGACACCACACCCAATGCAAATCTACATTGCGATATCAACAGACGATGAGTGTGAGCATGCATGACCAGACCAACGTACTGCGGCCAAGACCAGTAAGACTGCCAAAAGCTTTTTGCTCTGTTTCCAGAACGCATATGTACGAATGATCAGAAGACCTATGAGAGATGGATGTAAGGCCCAGAGGACACTACAAGAATGGAGCGAACCTTCAGCAGCTATAATACTGATGATATGAATTGCTGTAATGAAATCAATGACAAACCGCTGAATGTTCAGTGTATCGATCACCATTTGAAGCCCTGCTGAAGTTCGAGCACTGTATTCGTCGTCCTTCAGTTCATACGACAACCACGTAAACAAAACACACTAACATTCTCGTTCGCTCGTGTAGCAAGGATAGCTAGTCACTCGTCAATGTCATGTACCAGGAGATACAGGTAGTTTCTCACCGTATGAAGTCAGGACAGCTGCTACAAAGGCCATATAGCGTGAGATTACGAAAAGAACACGAGCGACGTTCCAGCGCCTGTTCCATGTCCATCGAATCTTGTGACATTCGTCAAGAGATGTTCGAACTTTATGGAGAAATGCTCACTTCAGGTTCGAGCGTTAGAAAATAGTCAAAAATCTAGGAAGCATAAGAGGGGTTATTGTCCGTGATTTGTATATAGACCTACCAAAACTCCTAGACTGGCCACTGCACATATTCAGGATGACAATGGTGTAAACCCCTGTATGTATGAAGTCCACATACCATTGCAATACTAGAGCAGTTACAGTCAATTAACCTCATCTGGAAAACAGATTCGGGAATTCTTACCTTCGCCGTCTGGATTCCTATATTCTCTATGGGCGCGACCATTGCACACTCGTACTAGGTAAGGTTCCAGAATTCGCTCTTATATATTTCCAAGATCTGAATTTGCATGATTTCGGAACTGTGCATTCGCCGTGTCACCGTGCGAGATCAAATTAGACTGCACATGATGATTCAGTCAAAACCAATAGCAGGTCCTATCCGTGTCGCGAAACTGGTAATGGATTTCCAATGTAGCAAATGCAGAGTACCGGGATTGCCCCATAAGCAGCTGTTCGCTGGCAAAAGGGTGAATTTGAAACTCAAGGAAGAAAACCATGCCATTCGTGTCGAAATGAATATACTCTGCTCCACTCCTTGGCGGTTACAGTTTGATGCAAATGGAAGGACTGCAACACCCGTACACTATACGGAACAACTGTGAGTTGATTTCCTACACCAAATGCTAAGCATCATGATCTCTGCGCGGTTCAACTCATGTTTGATCATCATCTCATCGTGGGCGCCTCCAAAAAAAATTGACAGCAGAAAACAGTGCCACGGACAAGGAGATGGTAATCTTGCTTGCTGAAGACACTATTCGATCTCAGCGCTCAGAGGGGTGATATCATCACATACCAATTATATCTAATTCCATCCAAGAAGAGCATCTTGAACTGCCCGGTAGCTTCGGTGTTTCTGGAAACAGCCAGAGATATCAGAACGCACGTGCCTAGCCTCCAGATTGCTATAGAAAGATTGAGAAAACAAGATTGCATACCATTCTGGTGGTCAATGAGCTATGATCCGTCACCCCCTCTGAAAGCTTCCTCGGGCCTCGGTGCAAGCAATGTAGGGATGATCTAGATGACAAGGGTCAAGTGTGAGTGTCCATATCGAGTAATTTCACGACCACCTTATAGGTAGTATGTAGGTTGCAACGCACAAAATAGACCACGAGAGTAATATCCATCGAGATTGTATGCCACGATCAACACGGCTTCTTTGCTCGCGTATGTGCATTAGTATGTCGGAAATGCTTGTTGGAGGAGATGATCACTGCGCCAATGTGCCACTAGTGTCATGGCACAGATATTCTCCTGAACAGCACCGCGCAGTCCAGCATCATGCATCATGCACTTGATCATCATTTAATTGCGGCCCCGGTGGCCCGACGCGAAATTTGAGAACTTGCGAAAAATTAAGAGGACGATTTCGGTAGTTGTCTCACAGCGATTCTGTGAGAGATCTGAGAGGCGGACGAAGGGCGCACACAGATTGGACAACGGACGAAGACACGCGCATAATCCGAAAACTCAGTAGAAAATAACAAGTAGTCTACACGTGTTCAACGTGGCATACGCGTTTCGCGTAGCTTAGTCATCATTCTATGTCTTTTCCACTTCTCCTTCGGAGGTCATTTTCGACAAGTATCCGATGCTCCTACAGGACCAAGAATATCCTGAGGATATCGTCGCAGAGGCCCTCACGAAACAGTTAACAAGACGCGGTCGTTCCGAGGATATTCAAAGCATCAAGAACATCAAGCCCGAAGCTGAACCCCAAATTGCCTCGACTCCGAAAGCTGTCGGCAAGCGCAAGCCACGCAAAGCTAACATACCACTCCCGGTCAACAGAATAGATCTTCCCCCGCGTTCAACATGGCGAAACTACTTTCCCACCAGCGGCATGGCATTCAAAAGTCGTATTTCCATCGCTAACCCCGAGACGGCAGCACTAGTTGCAGATTCATTTGTTCCAAGTGGTTCGAAGGATAAGGTTATTGTAGAAGCGTATCCAGGTGAGGATACCAATACTTCAACTCCAATCTTTTGGTGCTTACAGAGCCCACAAAGGTCCTGGTGCATTAACTCGCGCTTTGATGCAGTTGCCGAAAGAACGGATCCGAAAAATCATCGTGCTTGAGGACGTAGAACAGTACCTCAACTTCCTGAATGTGGGAAATGAGCCTTACAGAGTTTGATCATGCTAATAGTCTTCAACAGCCGCTGCAGGAAGCGGACCCTAGAGTACAAGTTTTGCCAATGAACGGTTTCTCGTGGGATACGTATCATCAGCTAGACGTCCAAGGCTTCCTGGATGACGTGGAGAATATTCCATGGAATGAGTCAAATCCATATCTACACTTTATCTCGCACCTTCCTATGGATGTCCTGGGCGAGCAGCTCTTAGCACAACTATTACGCTGCGCACCAGAACAATCCTGGCTGTTCAAATACGGTCGCATTTCAATGAGTTATCTAATGCACGACTGGGTATGGGATGTAGGTGATCTTATTCCACAGACTAACTATCCCTATCTGACACAAGTGATAGCGTATTTCCGCATCTCCTGAGCATCAGGCCCGGTGCAAGCTGAGCGTCATCGCACAAGCCGTTTCTGAGTTTAATCACACCATTGACCCACAGTTGTTGGTACCATATAATAGCCATTTCTATCCTGATGCTACGAACCCTGCATATTCTTTAAAGACTGAAAACAGGCGCAGAGGTACACCATTCATAGCGGGTACATTCAGACCATTAGAGCATCAGGTACTTGTCAGTTTTACTGCATATTTAAATTACTGACGTCATGCGCAGATCATTCAGCCAGGTATGCTGGACAAATGGGATTACTGCCTACGGAAACTCTTTGTCCTGAAGTCGACCCCTCTCAAGGACGCTGTTGGGTATGATCAGAGTTCACTTTGAATCGTGAAAAAAAACCATCGACCTTCCTTTAGTCATCTAGCACCTGGATCAGATGCTTTGAAGTCCTACCTCGCGGGCGATGACGTTCCACCTGATCAGAGGACTGACATGATGAAGAGCATCAGGAAAATGAGTGTAGAAGACTGGGCTGCTGTTGTCGGCGCCTTTGACCGGTGGCCCTTCGCACCTGAGGTGGATTCCTGTATCTTGACCTTGGCACTGGCTAATACGTAATTTCACTGCAGGAACTCTTGATCACGGACTCTTTCAGCAGAGACGACCGTATATAGCGTTGAGCATGATATTGCTCTTCTCCTGGATACATCAGTCGACGAGGGGTCATGCTGGCGGGACTGTATCTTATTCCTAAGAACACGTCATGTGCCACGGTGCGCAGATATCCTTACAGCATTCCCATGTATCCCAGACGTTCTCCTTACTTTTTTCCATGTCACAGAAGGAGCCAATCTGGCAATTCGATATATTTGCCCTTCATGCATGTTCATACCGCCCGACCTGTCAACACAATAGTAGTATGGATCCTTGACTGGATGACAAGCGAATATCTACATCTCAAAAAATATATACCTTTGTGACCTGTGGTGGATTTGTTGAGACATGGTTTATCAATCAGAGTGACTAAATTTGGGTCGATGTAAGCACGCTGGCTTACCTGAGTTCTCATAATCAGTACATATACCGTCGCTGATACTGAAAGCTTAGCTTTCAGTATTTCACCTTTTGGTGTAACGATTATGCGTGGCGGCGGTCTGACCATGTTACAGTCGAGCACTGACGACGCAAGTTAAAACCTTCAAAGCAGGATTATGGACGTTGAAACTTAAACTTAAAGTTTGAATCTGACAGTACTGCGTACTTACAAGCTAATATACGTATCACAAGGCAAAAAGACGTGCATAAGCCAAGATTGAAATATTCATAATGAGGTGCGGGCGATAACCTATTTCTTCTCCTCTGATAGAGCCCACATATAGTAAACACCTAGACTTCGATATGGCACCCAAGATGCGGTTAAATCTTCCATTTCTTTCGGAGTAAGGAACGCCCCTCTTCGGAGAGCCTTGATGAGAAATTGTCCACATGAAAATCTAGGTGACGTACTTGATCTTCTTTCCTTCTAGCCTTAATTTTAAATTCGCGACGCTCAGACCTTCGGGAAGGGGTTCTGTGTTCATCGCATCTGCCTCGAGAGTCTTCTCAATCGAGGGAGTGAACGGTTCAGGAAACGCAGAAGTCGATTCAATTGAAGCGGGAGCCTGCAATTGTGATTCAGGTGATGTCGGTAACACCTCATTATCCAGTTCTACATTTCCTGTCAGTTGAGAACTAGGGGTTGTTTTCGGTGCAGGCGTTGCAGGCGGTGGTCCCATCGCGCTAGTACTTGCCGGTTTTGTTTTATCATCGTCGAGTTTGCTACTGCTCAGTTTATGCGGTGAAAGGGTAAACGTGTGCTTAGACGAATGACGGGAGAGAAACCAGCGCAACATTCCCCGCTGGATACCGAGGTCACCCACTGGGAGAATGTTTGGACGACGGAGGGAGAAGATTGCGAACATATCAACTGTGCTAGAATTATGAGATATTCTTTAATAAAAAGCAACATGATTCTCACCAGTCCACTTAGTGACAAGAAGTGAGATGTTAATGAAGCACAACTATTATGATTCAAACTACATACCCGTCCGATCCCTCGCACTTCTATAAGCATTGCAGCAAGGGTTTCATCATCTGCAGCAAGCAGTTTTTTTGTTGAAAGCCTTTCATCTGCAAATCGCGCAGCAAGGTCTTGTACTAGCAGGAAATTATAATTTAGTCTCAGTGGATGAGAATTCCCAGCAAGATGACACTGACCGTACTCCGCTTTGCGTGTACTGAGACCAGCGGACTTGAGTGTTAGGATATCCGTATTGGCAACTTGATAAGGGGTAGGGAAGAAAGATGTTGGAGATTTTGATGCACTTCGTAATGACACCATTAACACCACGCAATGACTAATGCAGGCAGGTGTAGCATGCTTTGGCATGTATTTAGACTCACGAATAATCTGCTACTTTTTCGGGTAATGACGGGTCATACAACCGAGTAAACCTGTGGGTGATCGATCGCGCTGCCAGCCATGAAATTTGTTGGGCACTGTAAAGTGTACACTCAGTTTAGTGCCCTCACTTGTGCAGGAGATATTTCTCACAGAATTGATTCTACAAGCGCCCTATAGATACATTAGCATTCTATGCTATTCAGCCGAAAGTACCACGCTCACCGGAACGGATGGACCTGCTCAAGGAACTCAAAAGGCTTACATTTAAGTTTTGTGAATATATCCTCAAAGCGGTGGTCAGCGCGAATGAGATGCGCTTTAGCCTCCTCAAACGAGAATGTTAAAACTGCGGGAACCAAGTTCGTCTCCTCGGACTCGTTCTGCAGGGGAGGCGGCGGAGGCGGTATGAATCCATCCGGTGTGAGCAGTGTCACAGCACTTTTATCGGCCTCAGAAGACTTTGTTTTCTTAGTGCGAGGCGTCTTCTTGGCTGCTGGGGGTTCTTCAGCGGCTTTTCGCTTGCTGGACTTGCCCACCGCAGATGGTGATACCGCTGTTGTTGTTTTGTTGCTTCCTCCCGCTGGCGTTGATGCAACTGACCGAGTAGCTGACCGTGTTACAGGCATGATAAATCTAAGCCTAGATCGTGTATAAAATCCAAGTGCAAATTTCATGCGCACAATTACAAGAGCCTGGTTAGTCACTTGAACCTTCTAATAAGCGAATACGTGACTCAGCGCGTCGCGTCATTACGGGTGACCGGACCCAGACCTATGTGTTTCCTTTTCAGGCATGATCAGGATCAGATGCCGGCACAGCTAGCAGGCCCCGCAGTCTTCAAGTTTATCGCAGCTGGCTCTCTCATATCCATACCAACCACTAAGCCATAACTTTTCACTGAACAATGCCGAGTGCGTACACAATTTTAATGAACGTCCATATTGGTGCTCATACCTATCATCAGAATTCATTGTCTCTCTTCAGTCTAACGCAGACTACGAGGCTGCCAAGCAAGACATCGAGAAGCAAGGTAGGCTTCTGAAGTCTTCATACCATCTTCATACCTTTGAAAAACACTGGACAGGTGGATCTATCGTCGATGACTCGATGAAAATTCTTGGGGTTTGTTGATTGGGCACCAGATTTCTCCAGTGACTGACACACTTCTCTCGTGTAGATGATCACTGTCCAGATGTCTGACCAAAGCGCTTCGTCACTGAAATCACTTAATAGCGGTATAATCTCAGTCGGTGCGTGCTGTCTGCTTTAATCACAGAACAGGACGGTGCTCACTGTTTCTCTCAGAACCTGACCAAGAAGTTACGATCCAGGTAGCCTGATAACATTGAATATGCGAGCATGGAGCAGGACACTAGGATATGGGTGGTGATAGTTTGTTGTACGATATGAATGAGTGGAGACAGACCTGCACAAGTCATTATTTGAGCATCTGGAATAACTACTAGGATGGTTGCAGCGGAGAGATGTGATCTGATAAGTTTCCCTGAATGATATAAGCGACTTCCCGGAGTCCCTTAGTGATAGCCCTGAGCCAGTGAGGCATTACTTTGTAAAATAATTGGGGATGGTAAAATAAGTTCTGCCGTGACGAGCGATGATGAAACGAGTGACAAATAGGTACGTAGTTAACGAGTGTGATGTGTAGAAGGGTATAGTAAGTCCAGACGATTATCGGTCGGAAATAGAAAAGTAGGCGGAAAGCGAGTAACTTCAAAGACAGCAGGAAAATCGTGACAGGTCGTAACGAGAAAGACGGCAAAAATGACTAAAGAGCAATGGAATCGGCATCCCTGGGGACATCCGCAGAAGGCTTGTGAACTTGAAGGTCGATGGAAGTTGTACCTTCGTTTGATGCAGGGGAACTGACTTTGAGCTCTGGGAGAACAGGAGGGTCACTCGATATCCCGTGTCGTGCCCCTTCCTCGCCAGTTTCGCTGGAGTACGCGGACGAGGCGCGCGGCACATCAACGGAAGGCTTAGGCGTAGCAGCAACTGTAGTGGGCCTCGATGCAGTTGGCGCAAGGTTTGCGCCTGGGCCGACTACGATTGTTGCAGGAGGCGGATCAGGGAAATCCCATGGTCGAGGAACCAGCGCTGCTGGCATGATCCTGATACACATTTAGTAATCAGATTTGTGCTAGATACTAAAACCTACCAGGTAGCACAGCAGACCACTCCCTTACCCTTATCAGCTGCCTCTATCATACGCCACTCGGTCTGCACGAACTGAGAGATATAGCGAACGAACGGCAATATCTCGCGGACGCCGGGGCTGACAATCGACAGTGCAGTCAGCAAATTGAGCAAGGTAGTACCTGGGGAGGCGGCTGCACGGAGGTGCTCAATCGTGGGAGGCGGCATGCAGACTTCAAATCCCCACCAGTCTGAAAATAATCAATGATAATTTGAATGATACCCTGTGAAATGAAAATACGTACACGTCAAAACAGAGAGGCGATCTGTGGGCACGACAACACCCTTGTGATCTGGCAAAATTGCTTTGCTCGTTGCAAAACCAAACGCAAGTAACTGCGGGGTTATTTGCTGGAGACCATCAATGATAGCTTCTGCGCTAGGAACGGCACCTGCCAGCAGTCCCGGCGATGATGCTGGCGCACCAAAACCCATGTCCGGAGCAGTAATAAGGCTGACGAGGTGCACGTTAGACAACGCGTCAGATAATGCAGTCGTTGTTGCAGTAGCAACCGAGCCAAGCTGTACAAAGTGCTGCTCGTGGGCTTCCTTGTCGATCGCGTCAAGACACACTGCATGGATTGGCCCAGTATTAGCAGATCCTGTATCTGCTGATGATGCAGACATTGTGTGCAGGTGGTCCATGATCTTTCTGGCGGATTTTGGCTCGAGGAGCTGGGCTTTGACACGAGCTAGGTCAGATTTGGAGAGTGATTTCGACCTCTTTGCTCCGCCGTCCACCATTTCATGATCTCCCACGATGACGGAACGAACCATGGCTGCGGTGTCCCTGGCACGCCTATCAGAGGCCTTGGACTGCAGTGCACGAACCGTGAATGTCTTGCTAACACGTAATTTCTTCTCTTTGTCATGAGCTTTGGATTGCTGTGTGTGAATAGGTTCGGAATGCTGGGAAGGCTTGCGCTCTGGCTGAGGAAGTTTTGACTCGGAGCGCAAGAAGGAAAATGAACGGAAGGAGAAACGACGAAAGTCCTTCCCAGGTTTAGCGTTGGGATAAGGATTTGTACTCGGTACCCCCAGGGTCGCATTGCCTACGGTTTCAGCACTAGGACCACGCCCTGGGGTAGGAGGTACTAAAAGTGACTGCTCAGATGACTGTGGCATGGTCATAGACGTGGGATGCACAGGCGTGAGCGACCGGCTGGCTGCTTGAGGAGAACCCATATTCGAGGGTGCTCCGTAGGCATCTGTGTGTGAGGATTTAGAAGCAGCTGAATGCAACGAAGAAGACGAGTTCGCTGAATGAATTGAAGAAACATCTGCGGCGGAAGATGCGTCTGGCACCGGATCCGTAGGGGGAACTTCAAGGACTGCCTTCTCGACCTTAGTTGGCTCTGCAGCGGTCGCGGCCGAAACATGAACACCAGCGGGCTTGAGGAAGGTCAACATCGCAATGAACTGACGCAGCAAGAGAAGGGGGAAGAGGGAGAAAAAAAACTCAATGAAAACCCGAGCTGAGAGTAAGAGCGGGACCCTAGGTCACGTAACTTAAGTAGCTGAACGGAGCATGGCCAAGCTTCTGCGTGAGAACGGGGGGTGAGGCCCTTGAGGCTTGAATTACCTTGCTCGCTCAGAATAGGACTCAATGGCTGCACACCGGAAGGCACTCGGCCAGCCTCCTTGCTGCAGAAGCGGTGATGCGGCCATGACAAGCTTGAGAGAAGTCTATTGTGGGGGAAGTTCTCAGGATGAACGCATTCCCATGCATGGCCACAACAAGAACAACAGGATCGACAGACGAGTAGCGCGTAAATGGAAATTCGACCTCTCAAAGGGGGGTCGACATCCGATACCTAATAGTACTACTAGTATAATGATACATTGATGATCCGCCCCTGCGCCGGGCCACAGGAAACCATCAAACTGCCTAACTTTGAAATGCATACCACCACCCGACATCGACAGCAGTGAGACAGCCAGCCTCTTGTTTAATCCATGCGATGGTTGGTTAAAGAAACTTCCGACCCAGAAATGGGTTTGATAAGGATGGTGGTGCAGTTGCGACCCTGATACGGCTTGAACGAGACTCGGACAACAATGGTCTAGGCCTAGGGTAAGATCTACCCGCTCAACTTCAAACGGACGACAAATTTGCACCGTGATTGAGAACTGCTGACGGCAACATCTCTGAATTTATTGTAAGCCCGATTCCGACATGCATAAACACCTGGCATGAGACATACTTAAAACCTCCCAAATCTGCCCAGGTTTCCTTTCCAGTACGGGGTGCTGTACCGAACAGCCTTCTGGGTACTTATTGATTTGAGATTCAGCGTCAACATGATTGTTGTACTGAAGTAACGATAATACGAAGAGGGCCTACTGGATATGGGACCGAATTAAAAACCCTAGAGACAGCAATGACAAGATACAGTCAGTGTCTTCGTTGATATCTCCAGAATATTGAGACTCGGAAGACCGCATTCTATGCTGTAGTTGGTGGGGCGTGGCTACCTAGTTTGACACCATGAGAGCGCGAGTGATTTTAAGTCTTGACACTCCGAGTCAACACCTCCCGTGACATTTTTTCGACTGTCATGTCAAATGTGCTGTACAGTGTCCATTTCGTCATCCCAAACGACTTGAAGAGATGCGCTTGACTTTGCATTCGAGTAACAGGGGAAGTCGTTCGGTACCTAGTGACAAGTGAGCAATGAACAAAATTTTATTGGCTGCCGAGGGTATATCTATGTGCTGAAGTAAGCATTCCGACCGTGGGAGCCAAATTCACTGCTGTCGCTGTTCGTTCCGCATCGTCGGAGCCAGCATAGAGCCCATTTTCTCCTTTGACCGTCATGTCGCTCGGCATTTTAAGAGCTCCAGGTGAATATACGTGTGCTTCCATAACCAAACGTAATTCATGAGTCTCTTATGCAGTTACCAGTGCCTATAAGGCAGCAGCACTCAGACCCGCTCTCGCGGTTTATGGTATGTTCCATCAATCAATTCCTCGCGAACGCTTTCTTTAGCCTTTTCTATAAAGCTGCTCGCTCCGTGCACACGTCGAAGTCCGCGCAAGCGCCCGAAACTACACCCACTTCGGTCTCCTCTGCTTCTGAGCCGATCACCACATTAGCCATGCACGGCTCAAATCAACTTAGCCTTGAGCAACCCCAGAACAAGGCTGGTGAGTATACCTCATGTACTTCCCACTGAGTAGGCTTAATTGGATTTTAGAATACGTCCTATCAACATTAGACAAAATTGTCAACTGGGGACGCCAAGGTTCGATATGGCCCATGACTTTCGGTCTTGCATGTTGTGCTGTCGAAATGATGCACATGGCTGCTGCTCGCTATGACCAAGATCGTCTCGGTGTCGTTTTTCGTGCCTCTCCGCGTCAATCTGACGTTATGATTGTCGCGGGTACGCTCACAAACAAAATGGCTCCCGCACTTCGTAAAGTCTATGACCAAATGCCCGAGCCAAGATGGGTTGTGTCCATGGGATCTTGCGCAAATGGCGGTGGCTACTACCACTACTCATACGCTGTTGTTCGTGGCTGTGATCGTAAGCATTCTTTCATTCTGGTCCAACAGTGGCCTAGTTAACATCTGTCTCATAGGGATTGTACCCGTGGATATCTATGTTCCTGGGTGCCCACCAACTGCTGAAGCATTACTTTATGGTATGTTACAACTTCAGCGTAAAATGAGAAGAAACAGGAAGAGTGTGCTTTGGTGAATTGTACTCTTATTTGTCAAGCATTACGCTAATGGCTGCATTCCAGGTACCGCAAATGATCTGCACGAGCCTGGCTTGGCGACAGCGTACATAAACTAGCATTTCCGTTGACATGTTTCGTATATCGCTTACGGCTGGCGTGCATCATTTCCTTTCCTTGTCCACACTCTTGTGAAGGAGACCCCGTAATATGCAGGTCTCATGTGTCACCTTCAGCGCAGTTCACTTCGTGCAAGGAAGTCAGAGTATCAACTCGTGATAAACGTAAGCCAAAGTACCGCGCTTTGTTTTTCCCTTTTTGGAGCGAGAAATACCATCTCTTCATCACCCGCGAAGAATTTGAGCATGTCGTTCAGTTTCTATTTCGGATGCAGATTATGTCGGTCATAATCCTCAAGGGCGACATCCACGACTGTGATGTTTGCATGGGGTGCACAACTGCGATCAAGCCTTTGCGTGTGCGCAAGTGCGCAACTGTGCAACTGTGGTTGATCTACTCACACCATCCCACCTCACCTCATTGGCTGCCTGATGCATCCTGGTTGGGAAACGGCGCCACTGTGACGGTGTCATGGCCAACACGAAGTGCTCCTCACCCCTTAAATGTGAAATGTGACGACTTCTCTCGCCTGCATAATTGAAAAGGCGCGCCGCACTATGCTAGCAGCATGCTATGATTGCAAATTGTTAGCATTATGTGTTTAAACGTTTACTTATCGCACTCAGCCCGTCAGATAACAGATCTCCCACCCCATTATCAGGCGCTCGCAGGTTTTTCCCTATCGATCAATACATCATCAATCGAAATTGATAGGCTCAGATCAGTGATCAGCAAGTGCTACTGGTGGGTGGTATCCGCAGCCTGAATTATGTGGGTGTATTCTCAAACCCGTGCTAACCTACCTCCATTAGTGACTATCATATATCTGCCGCAGCATGCACCTTTTGCACACTACAACCAAAAAACTAGAGGAATTTGTAAATCCTCCAGACTATGCGATCCTCTCGCATCGGTGGCGCGAGGAAGAAGTCCTATTCGCAGATATCCATCAGGAGCATGCGAAAGGCATGAAAGGCTATGCCAAAATAGAGGGATGCTGTGAACAGGCACGGCGTGATGGGTATCAGTACGCCTGGATTGATACCTGCTGCATCGACAAAAACAGCAGCGCAGCGCTTGCAGAAGGAATCAACTCCATGTTTGCGTGGTATGAGAACGCACAAGTGTGCTACGTCTACCTAGACGATGTTACCGACAACGGGGACTCGGAAACTGAGCCCGCATTTGCGAAAAGCGAGTGGTTCACCAGGGGGTGGACTCTGCAAGAGCTCATCGCGCCCACGAGCTTATTCTTCTTCGACAGCCGCTGGAGGGAGATTGGGAGTAAGAACAGCTTAGCTGGGCTTCTCTCGTCCATCACGAGAGTGCATGCCAACGTATTGACTCGCGTAAATGCCGGTTCAGACAAGCTGGTCGCGACTAGAGAATCCTTCAGTGTCGCAACCAAGATGTCATGGGCTGCTGGGAGGAAGACAACTAGAACAGAAGATAGAGCCTACTCCCTCATGGGAATATTCAAGGTCCACATGCCTGTCATCTACGGAGAGGGGGAGAAAAAGGCTTTCTTTAGACTGCAACTGGAGATCATTCGTACTTCGCATGACCAGAGCATTTTTGCATGGTGTGGTCCTGGCGTAGGTGGTTACAAAACAGGGACTTGGCCCTTCGCCCCATACCCTGATTACTTTGCCAAGTCAGGCAATATTGAAGACGTGCCCTCCGACCAATGGATAGGTTACAGTCAAAAATTCATTAGCCCAGATGCCCCCAGGCTTGACTTTTCCGCCACCAACGACGGCTTGGATATAAGCCTTCCCTTACGACCTCTCGTGGATGAACCTGACGAGTTCATTGCTCTCCTGAGCTGCCGACGTCGCGTTAGTGACGGAGAGTACCACAACGTCGGCATTCGTTTACGGCGCTCTGTGGCCAAGGCCGAACGTTACGAAAGGATAGATTATCATACCCTCGAAGACATCGTCGACACTCCCAAGGAATTCAGGGTCATACGAATACACATTTCGTTCCCGTTACCATCGGATTCAATCGATATAATACCATTCTTTAACACTTCAACGTCGCTCTTCATTCGACACGTCGGGGTAGAAGAGCACGGCTTCTCCGTGATCCATATGGAGACGGCTCCCTCATGTAACCTGCGGATGCAAGATAGTAATTTCGTCCTACTGATGAGAAGACCGACACCATCACCACAACCCCCACAAGATCTCGAATGTTTACATCATTTACCCTGGACTGCGGATTCTTCATGGTTAGCGTCGTTCATCTACCACAACTCAACAACGAAAGAACAGTTCATCGTCACTATGGGGGTATCTTGGGTACGAGATGGGGGCCGTGGCTCCGAATCACCTCAGAGAAGCCTCCTGCCAATCAACTCAGTCGACTCAAGATCGACTGGACTTCTTACCTGCTCAAAGCAGGCAAGAAGGTGACAGCGTCCGTGAAGAATGGTGGCCATGCTTCTGCCGGAAAGAAGCGCTCGATAATATTTGACCGGTATTCAGTCAACATCACAGTCTATGGTGATCTATGACTCGAAACCCGCGGGGAGGTTTGGAATGGTCGGTGAGATACAGTCACTCGTGCGAATCTCAGCACTGGGAACGAACGGGTGATGGGTTGTGAAGCGGTGAATCTAAGATCACCCTTGAGGGTAGCTTTAGTATGCGGGTCCTTAGACCTCATGTGCTCGCGTAGAAGATTCTTATGGGCTCCTACGTACTTATAGTCAGGAGGCTAGTAGCTGTATGTGATTCGATGACGTGGTAAGCACCACCATAGCAGTGGTATTAGGCAGCTCGATACCAGGAGCGAAGTTAGCTTCGGATGAAAAATTGATTTGTGACTAAGCTTGCTGCTTGCAAGGCGAAATGCAATAAATCATTTTTTTGATGTGAAATTGCAAAATCTGTCGGTCGATACGACTATACCAGTTGGTATGGATATTCACCAGTATAAAGTAAAACACTGCAAAATTACAGATTGAGTATGGTGTCCTTCATACGAGAACACAGGCTACACGACGCGGGGGAAAAATATTTCTATCGTGCGTGGTGCAATAGCGTGATAGAGAGAATAGCGTCTCAGGAATTAAACTGTGATGCACAGCCGTTAGCTTACTGAGAGGCGCGCAGCGAGCAAGACACGAACAGCGGTCAGATACGATTCGGCTACCGTGCGTGCGCGCGCATTGAGGCTGAGTTTCATCTCGCTTATTTCTCTGTCTACTTCCTCCATGAATCTAGTTACCGGGGATGAGAGAACGACGTAGTAGCATTTGGATGCCACGCACTGTATGATGAAATCGACGACCTTGTGTTTCAACATGGTCTCTGAATGGACGTTCGTAATAAGGAATGATATGTCGTATCCCTGTGCAAGAATTAGAGCACGATGACCGCTCATGTTCGAGCAGTTCACTCACGAGGACGGGCTTCCTGCGCAGCACTACAAAACTCTCCGCTCTCTGCATCAAGAATCGCGTGAACTTGTGACATAAGATACGCTCGATTTCATCAGCCTGCTTAATCTTAATACTCATGCGTATCGAGTTCACAGATGGCTCGATCAAGACGCGTTCATTCTCATTGCGTGATATAGTCAGTGGGTTCAGGAGAACCTCCTTGGAGCCCCTGCAACCGATCGCCATGAGTACACGCAATGATGACACGAGACATACGGTTATACCTAACTTCTACTTCTGGCTTGTTGTGTCGTTCAACGACCTAGGCCATTGTGAGCTCGTAAATGTGTCAGACAGCATGTTATCATGATTACTTGTGACGAAAAGTTCTCGAGCGTCAGAGCCGCTGTTAAAGTTGACTTGACAGCTGAGAGATACGGCCTGAGCGTGTTCGACTACGGTCAAGGGTCTCGTCAGTAGGCATCAGCCATATATTCTGATAATCGACCTACCATTGGTCTTGAAGCTTGAGAGAATCTAGAGAATGCGGAGTCTGAATTAATGTGCAAGTACATAATGACCAATCCGGTAAGAGCGCGTCTTTTTCAGGAAACGCGTCCTCGTCAAAAATTTTGAGCTTTGTCTCGTCTTAAGCACAACCACTACCACTAATGACTGCCGTTGCTGTTTGGCAAGTTTGCTTACGTTTTAACCTTTGCTGTATCTCATTTTTTGCAGGAGTATCTTGTTGACGCCAGGCCAAAAGGAGACAATCGTCCCTCAGGCAGACCTGCAGATCAAGAACGCCGCTCTTGGAGAAAAATTATCTGATGAGTCTGGCAGAACGACTGTCAAGTTAACCTACGCAAGTCCTGCAAAAATTGATGACGAAGATGAACTCGACGAAGAGTCTCCAGAAGATGAGATCACTGCTGTTCTCTGTTCGCTAACTGCTGGCAAGGTCAGTGGCTTGACACGTCCTGCTTCGTTCTAGTACGTGACTAACATGCCATTTTTGCGTAGATTGAGCAGTCAGCATGCGACCTCATCCTTGAGAGCGATGAGGAGTATACCTTTGAGCTCATTGGAAAAAAGTAAGCAGTGTTCAAACTATCATTGGCCAATACAATTCATGCGTATCCCTCATCCAGCACCGTCTACCTCTATGGAAACTACATTGGTAAGCCTCAAGTTGCCTCGTACCTATCAAACCTCAATAATAAGTGTCGCAATATAGACCAGAATACAAATCAACCACCTTACGATTCTGACATGGACTCTGACATGAGTGACGAGGGGGCCTACAACCTGGATGATGTCAGCTCGGACGTTGAGGTACATCCTGATGAGCTTCAAGGTCTCGAGGATGATTCTGAGTGAGTGCACCACTGTCAGTCGTTCCACGCCATATATTTAACCGCGCTAGTCGCTTCGAGGAATTGCCTGAGGACGAACCAAAGGCAGAAGAGCCCAAGCCGTCGAAACGTCCTCGTGATGACGCTATGGACACTGACACGCAACCTGCTGAGAAGGTCTCCAAAAAAAAGAAAGCAAAGAAGCAGAAGGGTGAAGATGGGAAGGCAATCCCTGTTGCCGTTGAGGAAAAAGCAGCCGAACCCAAGGGCGAGAAACAAGAAGAGAAAAAAGCCGACAAAAAGGAGAAGAAAAAGCAAAAGGCTGCTGAGGAGAAGAAGGGTGGGGCCTCCAAGGAACTCGCTGGCGGGGTTAAGATTCGAGACGTAAAAATCGGTGATGGCAAGACCGCCAAGCATGGCGCCAAAGTTTCTATGCGTTACATCGGAAAATTGCAGAACGGAAAGATCTTTGATCAAAACACCAAGAGCAAACCCGTAAGCAGGCATTAGGTTTCTTGCTTGTCGAACATGTATTCACTGTGCTACAGTTCAACTTCAAGCTTGGGTCAGGCGAGGTAATCAAAGGTTAGCTGCTTTGCTTCATGGCCTTGTCTTCATCATTAACGTCGTGTCAGGTTGGGACGTCGGAGTCGCTGGCATGCAAATTGGTGGGGAACGTGAGATTATTGTACCACCAGCAATGGGTTATGGCGCACGGAAGATGGCTGACATCCCTGCCAACTCCACTCTGATCTTTGGTGAGTGGTTCCGCTATGCGATGAAGGTCCGGTGGCTTATTAAAACGTAGAGGTGAAATGTCTGGAGATCAAGTAAAACTGTTGCACATTTTCGTACATGGTAGTATACTTGTGGTTGGTACCTGGTGACATCTGTTAACCGCGGTTATGACTTGCACTGCTTTGCGATCCACTGATCCGAACACGAACTCATCATTCTGCAGCACGGCGGTATTGCCTGCCCAAGACCAACGCCAATTGGGAAACTGACTTGGAACTTCACCCGTCACCCTACGCCCATGTCAGTGGCACCCACAAATGGGTTTGTAGGATGGAGATAAAGAACGCAAATGCATATCCGCATTCTCCTGGCAGTTTTTGGTTCCGTCCTGCTGTATCAGGCACAACCCGAGGAGACCGGGCACCTACAACCGGGTGCAATCCCGGGTCGTGGGATACCGGTATGATATGATGTTACGAAATACATCGCCTACCGAAATGCGCTGGATAACCTCCGAAGTAGCACAGCTACGTTAATCTGCACAAAACAATACGCGAACACTGCAAGATCTGGACTCGCTAGGATGACGATCTTCAATGCTGCATGTCGCACGTCCGAAGCCACAGATGGCCTGGGCAATTGCCGATGCGCTTGAGCTCCAACGCTTCGGTTATAACTGACTCAAATTTGAAGCCCGATACGCTTCCTGGCCACCCTGGCTGAGTGGACCGGAATGACGACGCGGCTAGTGATTGAAGCCCACGTTGACGTGATTTGGAACGCTCATGCTGCATGCGCTTAATAGGTTGTGTTGAGATAGACATCAAACTAGCTTGCAGTTTCCAACAGCGCTATGTCTCCTGGAGTGGTACATGTGATCCGTGTCACTGAGAGATGTGGAGTGCACAGAGATCTGCGACGTAAATATCTCGATCATGATCAGATAGCCTGTTCCTCGGACTCCTCATAGTACTGTGCATAATCGGTGTACAGCATTGCACACTTATGTCTGCTGGACAGGTAATGACATTGAACGCTGCGGACAGTCTGTACAAGCAATAATTCCTTGAAAGATCGAGTTGTGTCGACGCAAGTGGCAGGAAGCTTTCGAATCACATGTTGGCGGCGGCAGAATTACAATTCCAGAGGGTGATATGACGCAGAGACTGTTTATAGAACAGTCTCACGGCGTGAGTGGAGGCTGCATAGAGTGCGTGTGGGCGATTACCAGAAACCACTCCTGCCAAGTCGTTCAGCGGACGGAAGCCGCGAGGCTTTGGGCGAACTGAAACCTTTTCAAACGCGGTATAGAGAAAGGTTGGCGATAACAGTTACCGTCGTCACCGATCAGCACCCGAATTTTCCTCTTTCATTACCACCGTCGAGTGATACAATTTGACATAAGTTCCGGGTAATCCTGCCGTTCAAGTGGTAATTTCTCAGCTGTGGCAGGTCACGAAAGGGAGCAATCACTTTACTGTGACCCTCGCGATGGCCATGAGACTCCTGCGCACAACGCCGATATAGTGTTTGAAGAACGCCCAGAATATTAATGCTTCCGTGTGGTCAAACAACATGGGAGGCAAAATAATATTATGAGATTATAAATGGCATGTTTGTCGTACGGGAATCACTGAAAGCAGGTAGCTGATCAGTGTCCGCCAGTAGTACAAGATTAGTTGGCTCTGGACTCCGAAGCAAACCATGTAGATCTTCGCTGGAGCACATGATTGTTGTCATGATCCCTTTTTCAAAAATGAGGCTTGTTGAAGCGATGAGTGGTGACCAGGGTACGGAGTTCTTGCCACATATTTGGAGATAGATTAGAATGCGATCAGGGTCGATGTGGAATGTGTAGTGTCAGGATACCACCGGCGGTGGTTGGAATGGCAGAACCCCCAAAAGTCATGCACCTGGCAGCCAAGGCCCAAGTTATTGGAGTGACACAATCGATGGCGGAAAGGACCTATGGGAAAGATCTCAGATAAGAAATAAAAAAAAGATGTCGACTGTCGGACTGGGCTCTGTTTTGTTGGCTAAATTCGAAAAAGTCCTTAAACTAGCCCAAAGAAACTCACGCAATTTCACAGAAGGAGAAAGGAGACTGCCTGATCTTGCAACAGGTTACAGCATGTTGGACACGTTCCTATGCAGGCTAAGAATTCCGAGAAGATGGTTATCATACGTGCCGGATGAGCGACCTCGCACATGACTGGGCAACAGTGAAGATTCGAGATGACGATCGCGGAGTAAGCTATAACTTGATCAAAAATTGTAAGCACTCAAGTCTCAAACGTCACAAGCCTCGAGGTCCTTTGGACTCTCACCGTTTGTGATTCATTTGTTCATCAAATCGATTCATGATAACCTGATCGAATCCACTTCCCCGTGCTTCGACAAGTGGAGAGATGTCATTCCCCTGCGCAAGCCAGGCCACAATAGGCCACAATCAGCGGTCTATAAATTAGCCACAAGTTCGAGACAGAGTGAGCTGTACCCTCTTGCCCAACCTTACTGTTTCATCTTCCATATGTGTCTAGGATCTATACTTTGGATCCCTCTATCGACGAGTCCCTTCTTCACTGTTACAAGATGGAACGATTGGTGTGGCCTCCCTCCCGCTGCGTCCGCACTCTCAGCCTTGGCCAAGGCCAGAACTCGGGAGACCCACCCTGCGTGTGTTACATGCACTTCTTGCGATGCATATATGTGCTCGTCCATGGTCAGGGGCGCTTCTTTCCCATCTGTACTGCAGGCATATGCCCCGCATACAAAGGATACTGCCCTAGTACATACCATGGGAATGGAAGATGCCCAGGACCATGGTACAGTGGATAGCAGCATCGTCACAGTGATCGTATCGGCCACGTGAACCATCCTAATGGGCTGCGGACGCTCGCAGTACATCGTGCATGTATCAGTTATGCTCCGCGTTTTGGCGACGACAAGTTTTCCTACAACTAGTAAGACGAATTACCGATTAGCAAGCGGCAGTTCAGCGTAATTAGAAGGTGCATAACTCTGCCCATACTTTCAAACGAGCTGATAGCACAGCAGGGTTCAGGTTCAGGTTTCATCGATTGTTCCGATAGTACGATATCTGGTGCCAGTTGCAATTGGGCGCCACATTCAAATGAAGCCATGAAATTAATGATCCGTGACGGACTTGGTTAAGAAAGTTCCCAGTTTACTTCACTGCCGTCAGCAGCCGCCGGGAAAACTGATGCATCACAACAGAACAGAGTATTCTGTGCGTACTACCAGCCCAATATCTTTGCTTTGTCCAAGTCATTCGCACCTAGAACATGGACATATCTATCTGAAATGGATGGCAGAGAGGGAAGGAGAGGACAAGATTGCCTGGGAAACGACCTGAACAAAGGTGAGAAGGTTCTGTACGTCGGCTCTAGGACTAATACTAGTAGCAGGCATCCTTTAACTTGAAGGACGATCACTCCAGCTTTGACCGATGCCGCATTGTCTACAAGGTGTGCGGACAAAGGGCTGTTTCGGGCTGTCACCTTTGACTATGCAATAGTCGTCGGGCAGAATTCAATACTTTTGATGTTTTCCCCCCAATTTTACACCAACCATACATTTCATGCATTCTCCTGGCGCGAATGCTTTGGCGGTTCTGACTGCCATCTGTCACGACGCACCAACCTTCATGCACATGGCTTCAAGGTATGCCAAGCGAACACAACATACTGGAAGGAACATGATGTATTTCAGTTCATTCAACTAACGTAACACTCACCCAGATCGGCATCTGTGCAGGGACACGCACTTGCAGTTGAAAAACACTCAGAAGGCTATTAATGATACATAATCTTCCTGCCATCATAAGCATATCGGAGTAAAAGTCCTAAATCTCAGAGGTGTTAGCGGTGCGTTGAGCCATCATCGATGTCGATAAGTCACGGATCTCGCTACACATGGACGACAAGTTCGACATGGTAGTCGCCAATTGTGTATGACCAAAGCCCTGGCGGCGATGATAGCTGCTGACTGACAGTCCAGAAGGGGACGAGATGGTCAGTAACCCTCTGCATAGTGCTGAAATCGTATATTTCTTGCCAAATCATCCGTTCTCCTACCTCCTGGCAGTCACTGATAAGGAAGACAGACCACAGAAACCCAGAAACTCCGCGGCAGGAATCCCGCACGATTAAATAAGTCCGCTGTCGCGGAGACAGTGAGTTCTGACCGCATTCCCTTCCAAAGCTGCCCCAAGTACCAAACTTAAGTCGGTGATACTCGGACAGGGTTTGTTGCCCCGATGTCTACTAGTTCAGGAATAGCTGCTTCACCTCCTCGTGTACAGGTTATTCCCGAGAATTTAAACCAGAACTGGTAATCGTTGCGACCAGAGCTAACTTCATATTCAGATTGATTGATTTACTACATGTGAATCTGGGATAATCCCGGATGGATACAGATGCGTATGCATAGAACTAACATAATTGTGCATCGGAATGCTAGTTCCACGAAGGACTTTTCCTCCTTTCGTGCACTCGACTGAGTGCAAGGAAACCGTGAGGCATATATCTCACGATTTCTCCATGCGTATATGCCTCGTACATTGTAAGTTGTATCCCGTGCTTGATATCCCGGACGAAAGAACTTGAGAAGGGCCTAAAGAAAGTCAACACGTCACGAATTAGCTTCCAAGTCTCTCAAATAAACAATCCACCCCACCCTGACTCCACGACTCCTTATCAATATCTGCTTGGGCGTAGGGCGCTACGGGAGTAGTGTCAGACACATAGATGGCTCAACAGACGCCACTGCTAATCAATTTGCTCTTGTCTGTAAATCGAATGTTGCTTGTGGTTGGATGGACGAATCAATTTGCAGTGTTCGGGAGCACAAACTCGTGGAAGCATCGCGGGGCTTCTGAGGTCAGCAGTCCAGGCTACCCACGATCGCATGCTACGAGCCATCAGGAAGACAATTACAGAAGGGTCCCTGTAGAAGCGCACTTATACGCTTTCTTTGGCATGTTCGAGACAGCCAAAAACAAATTGCCGATATGGGGGATAAAAATTAGAGATCAGTGGCCTAAAAGACATCGGAGGTCGAGTAAGAGCTTCGGGGTTTCTGCGTAAATGTGATAATACTCCGCGAGCACGCAAAAACACAAAACAGAAACAAATACCTTCCAGGTCGAGTCGAGTCGAGAATAGATGCTAGAAGATCAGTGCTGCCTTGAAACTAAACATGGGAGGTGTCCACCGCGGGAGCAAAGGCTCCATTTCCGTCGACTTCCAGGCCATCTCCAAGGCCTGGTGCAAAGTTTGCACTCGTGTTACGCAAGGTCAAAGTACCACGCCCCATCACCAAGTGCATGAGTCGGCAGACTTCTGGAGGACACGGAGGAACGCGACCTTCGGTGATAATTTACGAATGGATCAATCACTGCGGAAACCCACGCGAATAAGGAGAACGCAAGACATTCTTCACGTTGCTTACCCATACAAGATAAGTGACCCTGCTCTAAATAGTGGCAGTCGAGACCCAGCATCCCTTCTGATTAGAAATCACGTTCGAATGGATCGTCGCTTGTACATCGTTCTCCGAGAGGGGAGCTAACACCCCGAAATTGTGATTGCATGGCATCTTTGGAGCCATTCAATTTGTTAGATGATAGAAGACACGAGCATTCCTACCCTCTTTCGTTCGGTATCATGGAGCAGAGGGATATTTCCGGGGTGCATGCACATGAGTATGCCCGTGAGTGACTGGCTTAGATCGGATGAAACTCACTCATATAAAAGCAGGAGCCCTCCATCTTCTTGTATGTCGCAACCCACTCTTTGGCGAAGCGATATCCTGTGCTATGGTCAGACTCCCTTCCCTCCCATATGTATTCTTGTGCTTAAGCCTCTTTCTTTACGGCTGCAGCTAGTTTTACATACCATGGGAATGGAAGGGAGTTTGGACCAGTGTTCAGGGATCCACCACCAGCCCTAGTCCCCATATCTTCTACAAAATCGTGTTACGTTGAAGACACTGATTATGATTACGCACAGCATAGATTATATTCGGATGGTTGTCTGTATGAATCGACCATGCAACGCAGTGGTTGTATTTAATTGGGGGAGCTGCGCTCAGAAGAATGGGCAGTAAAGCCTTGGCAGATGTGTATGAAAAGTGGTGCGTCTGCGCTACATTGCGCCGCTTCGAGTACGCGGGGTCTTTTGCAGTAAGTTAAGTTTTTGAGTTTCTATCAGCGAGACAGCATCACGTATTGTTTGATTAAAGGTACCATACCTGGTCTACTGGAATGTGCCACATGTTCTCAAGATCATATGTCAGCAAATTGCTTCCCGCCTACTAGTACGGGGTGCGTATCCTTCCAAGTTTCGCAGAAGTTGTTGTCGGTGGTAGAGGGGTATTGGATTTGCATTATAGATTTATCATGTCTCGCACGCTAGCTTGTCCAATTCATCGACCAGAGTCGTCTTTGTATCTGAATCCTTGAACGCGGCTCGCTTCAGCACTGCTACTCCACCCAGTTTGCGGAGTCGGTCGACAAGTACCAGATCAAGGTCCGAAGACGATGGTCCTTCGATCGATTAACAAGAAAGTCGGGTCCGACTAGCAGTGACTCATGCGCGCTTGAAGATCACCGGGCTGCGGTTAATGACAAGAGACGATGGGAAATCATGGTGCTTTGGTCAATGATCTACTGCATCACGTCATGAATTTGTTGGTCATCCCGGTAAAGTCTTGACAGCCTGAAAGGGAAACCTAATAGAGCCATCCATCCGCGCTACATGGGCTAGAGCTGGCTTGAAGAAAAGTATGTGTCGCTTAAAAACAGAACAGACCAAAGTCTTCAAGTTGATGCGGGATGCCGGTCAGTCTTGCGAGATATCTGGGCTTTTTCAACTAACTGGTCTGTAGCAGAAATGCCACGGCAGTGTGAGATACGCGTACGTGCATGAGCATCAGGAAATTCAACATGTCATAATGCGCAATCATCGACATCCGCGATAGATCAGAGGTGTCTCCGTGAACCGTCTATTGAACTTGCTCAAAATTGTCATCAAATGTTATTCAGAAAAATTAACCACGAGGCGCGTAACTGCATTTCAATCGAGGATCTTGAAGAACCAGATACCCTTACCCTTACGATACCATTCAAGAAATCGTCCAATTCAATACAGTCTTTTAGTCGCAATGAAGATTAACATTTTGGGGTACTAAGACCTCGAGGACATACAACGAGAAGCCTAAATCGGAGACTTCATATGACGGAATTAAAAAGTATTATCAGACACTGAGCAGCCATGAACTGCCGCTGTTGCACGAGTATGGGTGGCTATGCAGGTTTCGAGTGCCCTACAGGTTTCTTGGGCGCTCTAACGTTCGTGGTGCAGAGTAAGCTGTATATTGCGCATGCACCGATTATCTTGACTCTGCTGCATGTCCGGGAACGAAAAGAGCCCAAGAGGCTCCAAGGTGAGCACGTCCCCCATACCATCGCTGTCCCGCTTACAGAGCCTGTGGCAAGAACCACCAAGTTCCAAGCAAGCGCAGTCACGGCACTCTCTTCGTGAGCTTCGAATCGATCGTCCTATGTTTCGCGCACTGCCGCATCACTCAAAAACAGTGACTTCAAAAGAGTGACTATAGTTGGGAGCAAACTCCGCGAGCGCCCTCGCGGAGTCGCCATTCCAAAACACATCGCCTGATTAGTAGCCCCAAAACTTCTTAAAAAGCATTGATTCAATCAGTATTAAGTACAAAGGCAACACTGTGACAAAGATACGGGAGATCCCTGGAAGATGCGGTTTGAGATAGTGCGACGGCCCATCAGGCCCACCGTCCTGGGACTACAGGATGCGATGACGAAAGCCCCCCATCAACCGCAATGTTCTGTCCATTGACATAACTCGATTCATCTTTGTCAGGGTATAGATCAGATCTGACTCGCTTTTAACGGAGGGACGTGTTCTTACCCGAAGCCAAAAACAAGCTCATGTGAGCAATCTCTGCAAGACGTGATTAACTGAGTGCACATGGTCACAGCACGAGGTCCATACCTTGAGCGACTCCAAAGCGGCCCATCGGGTTTAATTGACCAATCTTGCTCTCCCTGCCTCGTTGGCGAGCAGAATCGAACATGTCCTTGGTCATATTGGTCTCGATCAGGCCCGGGCAGATTGTGTTCACGCGAATGTCAGTCTTCTGAAGTTGATATACGCTTGTCTTCGCGATCGAGTTCACGCTGTGATCCGAAATGAGTTTCTCCGCTGACAACAATGATCGAAACATTACGCCGCTTTACTTGCGCTATCTGATCGTAGGGTCAGCCACAGCAGGTCGAGTATGGGAAGGAGCAGGACTCACAGTCTATGGTCCCTGCCCCGGACCGTAGCCCTGCCACTGTGGTGTTTGGTTAGAAACATATGTAGTAGTGCGAAGGGGATAAAGAAACGTACCAGATGCAGTCAAAATGATACTTCCTCCACTAATATCTTTCCCTCTCGACGAATTAGTCCTCATCATCGCGTCGGAACCGTACTTGACGGCAAGGAAGCAGCTGTTAGTTTATCGTTTCTGATTAAACCAAATATTATGAAAAACGACACGGCGGACTGACGACAATGCATTGACTCGCATGCTTTCCATGAAACCTTCTGCGGTCAAATCGGAAAGCGTCTTATCATTCGCGAAACCAGCCTTTTGAGCATATTTGAGTGCGAGATCAGGTTTCGTCTATTGAATCTGACACGTACGTTGGCAAAGAATACGTCCAATCGGCCCTCATCTTGTAATGCTTGTTCACAGACAGCTGCTATGGCGGTCTCATTTGCTGCGTCGGCTTGAATGGTGGTTACCTGTGATACATTTAATCATTAGACGCAAGGAATGTCAAGGTCCCACCTTCACATCCGGATATGAGTTCTCAATCGTTGACTTGAGTTCAGGAAGGTTCTCTTGTGAGAAATCGAGCAAGTATAGATGAGTCGCTCCTGTGAATATCAGGATAGAAATTGTGACGGGCGCTGCTTCCAGAAGGTGATAGTCCACGGACCTTCATGTGCGAACAAGAGCGCAGAAGCACGGCTGGTGCAAATTACAGGTCAATTTCATTGCATAAATCAACGACTGAGTATTCACCCTATGCCATGCAGCGATCCAACACCGGTAATAACGCAAGTTTTACCTTTGAGTCGCTGCCCGCGCGGAGAGTTCGAGAGGTGCGATTGAATTTGCTTAATGCGGACAAGAGTACGTTGATGATGTTCTTCTGCGCTAGGCTTTCCTCCCTTGAGCAGCGTTCGAATAAGGCATGTCGAGTTAGGTGAGACTTGCTAGATTTCGCTCTTCATACAACTTTGGCGCGCATTTTACCGAGCTCTTATTGTAACCGAAAACCACTAACAATATTCATGGGAATTGCAATTAGATTCTGAGAAGGTGAAGACAAGATACGCAGAAATTTCGGTATAGACAAATAAAATGGGACGCACAACGCATCTAGGTAAAAGGGTCAAGATATACAGCTCTGAAAAACATCCACCGATATCACTACACTCGGTCAAACTAGTTTACTCTTGTCCAATGAACATCAACCAGTGACGCAGTCAAGGGAGACTATGAGTGTCTAAGGCTGCTGATCGCGATACACATTGTTATAATAGTTAGGGCAGTGGGACCAGACACCCTCTTGAGGCGGGAGGTAGCTAGGGTCCCGGTAGACATCTCTACGTGGTGGCGCGTAATCTGCAGCATTTTGTCCCGTCATCTCCTGATGAAAAGGCTGATATTCACCCTCCGGTCCATAAGTGTGATGCACTGGAGACGAGCCGAAGGAGTTAGTTGAAGAAGAACTTCCTCCAGACAATGGAGAATCTTGATGATCCGCTGTATCCGGAGTCCTGAAATTGTAGTACGTGGCGGGATAACCGGGGACCTGCGGTGAACCGTCGCCACCACTCGAGGTGCGAGGGCGTTTAAAAGCGGTGGAGTGAGGATACACGGAGGTATCAGAGGGCAGCTGGTCACCAACTTCATCAGACACCCAACTAGGGCATTCGTTGGTAGATGAAATAGGTGTAGTCTGCGACACTGGTGTCTGTGGAGGCTCCTGTCGCCCTGTCGGTATCATTCTCTGGGAAGGATTGAAGGTCAAAGCGGGGGTTTCCGGGATTACTTGCCTCCTGCGCTTGCGCGGAGGTGGAGAAGGCTTCTTCTCCCGATCTGAAAAAGACAGGGGTTTCTGTGTGAACAACGGCTTTAGCTCCTTCTGATTTTAAACGTTAGCCTTCGTCGAAGAAAACGATGTACAGCGATGAGACGTACTGATTCTGGACGAATTGCGGTCGGCTGAAGAGCATGACTTCCTGGAGGAGTGGATGAAGGTGATGAATCCGAAGACGACGAAGCCTTTTGAGCGCGCTGCATGTCCTATCGAATAGAGAAGAGAAACTATATGAACAAGAAGCTCAGCTGTAAGACCTGCAGCTGGCTGAAGGTTTTGGTTTTCTGAGAAAGATGCATTTTCAGCTGAGGATATATATCAGTTCGTTTGGTGGAGCATCATGATCAGTATTAAGACTTAGCCACGTTTGCTGATAAAAACGCGACTGCCTTGTGCCCCTGCGTAGCGCAAAAACAATGAGCGCAAGCTTGAGCGAAATGAGTTGTGCGGTTCATTGAACAAATTTCAAGGCAAAGATAGTTTGGTACTCCGCTATCCGTCGGAGGCTCGTTTACCAACTTCCAAATCTGTTTGACTTTACTGGGTTCGCGTAATTCCATTGCTCTTTCCATCATGTCCTCCTCGATAGAATTGATCAATCCAAAGGCAGAGAGCGTCAGACGCGCTGCTGCCTTGCAGGTAAGTCGCGTGTCCTGGTTTTCGCTGTTCCAATTTCATGCATCGCTTTACTAGGTCAACACCAATGGTGCGATGGGTCTTGCTAACGTAGTGAAGGGTAATCTCGGTAAGGATTAGTATCACTTCTTGAGCGACCGTTCTGTTCCGATCGGATACCATTTCAGGTCCAAGAGGTACTCTAAAAATGCTTGTGGACGGCTCTGGTCAGATCAAAATGACCAAGGATGGTAAAGTGTTGTTATCCGAGATGCAAATACAAAACCCGACAGCCGCTATGATCGCTCGAACTGCGGTCGCTCAAGATGATCAAGTTGGTGACGGAACTACTTCAGTAGTTCTACTGGTCGGAGAGTTGCTGAAGCAAGCCGATCGTTACATATCTGAAGGCGTACACCCAACCGTCATAGGGGAAGGATTCGATCTCGCGAAGAAAGAGGCTTTAGTGGTTGGTTTCCGCATTTGCATGTATCTACACTCCTGATGGACGCGTCTAGTTCCTTGACACGTTCAAGCTGCCATCCAAATTGGATAGGCCAACTCTGATCAACGTCGCACACACTTCGCTTGCCACTAAGCTGCATGCCTCGTTAGCGAAGCAACTCGCTGCAGATGTGGTGGATGCTGTGCTCACCATCAGGCCACCAGCACCCCCAAAAGGCACGCCTTTCATGTAAACAAAAGGGTCCTCTTGCTAAATTCTCATACAGAAGCAAAAGATCAGTATCGCGACCCAATAGATCTGCACATGGTGGAAATTATGAAGATGCAACACCGCACAGCGTCAGAAACTCAGCTTGTGCGTGGCTTGGTCATGGATCACGGTGCCAGGCATCCGGACATGCCCAAACGCGTCGAGAATGCATTCATTCTAACATTGAACGTCAGCTTAGAGTACGAAAAGACGTACGTTCTTCAGCACTGCATTTCAACTCTAAACTCACAAAAGCTTAGAGAGGTTAATTCTGGCTTCTTCTATTCGTCTGCCGAGCAACGTGAAAAGCTCATTGAATCTGAGCGGCGTTTCGTAGACGCCAAAGTGAAGAAGATCGTAGAACTTAAGAATCTCGTGTGCGATCAAGCTGTTGGCGGCAGCGAAAGGCCCAAAAACTTTGTCGTTATCAATCAAAAAGGCATTGATCCACTTAGTCTCGATATTCTTGCAAAGAATGGCATTTTCGCTTTACGTCGTGCTAAGCGACGTAATATGGAACGGTAATGTCTTCAGCGCTGCGTAAAGATATTACTCTGATTGCGGTCATATCTTAGCCTGCAGCTCATTTGCGGAGGTGTTGCGCAAAATTCCGTAGACGATCTAACCCCAGATATTCTCGGCTGGGCGGGTCTAGTTTATGAGCACACTCTAGGCGAAGAGAAGTACACTTTCGTGGAAGAGGTTAAGGAACCCAAGAGCGTCACGCTCCTTGTCAAGGGTCCAAATGCGCACACGATCCAACAAATTCAGGATGCTTTACGGGACGGTCTTCGCGCCGTCAAAAATGCACTCGAGGACGAGGTTCTCATTCCCGGTGCGGGAGCCTTCGAGGTTGCATGCGCAGGTCATTTGAGTGGTCCTGTAAAGAAAGCTGCCAAAGGCCGCGTTAAAATGGGCGTGCAAGCGTATGCAGACGCATTATTGATCATTCCAAAGACTCTTGCGCAAAACGGAGGCTTTGACGTCCAGGATGTGGTGGTGGCACTGCAGGTTCGCGATATCATTCCGTTTGTATTTGATTTGCTTACGTTGATCGAAATAGGACGAACAAGCGGAGGGAAATACGGTTGGTATCGATTTACAATCAGGGGAGCCGTTTGATCCGACTGTGGAAGGCATCTGGGATAACTACAGGGTAAAGAGGCAGATGTTACATTCATGGTAAGTGGATATACTTTTCCATCAGAAGAATGGCTGCTGAGACCGAAATCTTAGTTCTGTGATCGCAGTGAACCTCCTTTCTACAGACGAAATCTTGCGGGCGGGCCGGAGTTCATTGAAGCCAGATGGGCAGTCGTGAAGTGCTGTGAATTGTGGGTACAACGTGCCTTACTGTACCGTTAGAATACGCACTCGATACGTGGTGGCAGAGAATGGCGTTTGTATGAGGCGTATGGACGAGAATTACAAAATGCTACTGTAGTTGATACAAGTAACGAGCTAACCGATTTCGGGGGTGGACGGGACCACATAATTTAGTTTAATATTAAGTTTAACAGTGTCCGCACAACCCAGACTCCGCCCTAGCAATTAGTGAAGCTGTTGTTGAGTGAGAGCAGTCAGACTCCCAACCTGCATCAATGAAACGAGTGGGAGAGGATGGTTCGTCGTCGGCGTGAAATGAAGCGGATTTGCGTAAATAATGAGACATGGGTGTTCCACGAGCGTTCTTCCAGGGTACTGGGGCAGGAAGTTTAGCCGTATATGTGACACGGAGATGAGAGAATTGCTCCTCATTTACAACGCCAGTATGAGCCTCCTTGCTTTCAGAAAGAAGCCCTTCGACAACTCGATCGTCGTCAGAATTGGCCGAGTCAACTGTACCATCATCCGGAAAAGAAGTGCGGCGGTGCACATCTAAGATCGGAAACTGCTCGCCCAGCTGTAAATTGTTCATGTGCAATTCTAAGTATAAGAAGTAGATGTACGTACGTCGTCAAATGATGGTGTGTAGGACCCAGCACGAGGAATTGCACCACCTTCTATATACATATTCTCCGACATGGACGAAACGCGAGCGCTTGATCGTGAACCAACAGTGGGAATCGCATGCAGTCCATCTACGCTAGAAACTTTCGTAGAACTGTCTTCTCCACAGAATGAAGCCTTTGGGTTCAGCCGCTCGCTGCGACGAGTCCCTGGACCAGAGTCAAGGGGCAACTTGGATATTGAGGACCAACGACGTCTGGCAAAATTGACTGGAGATGGCCGGAAGGTTAGAACGCTATTGTGTACAGGCCCTCGCCAACTAGCTCGCTGGGCTAATTTTTCCGCGACTGTATGCTCAAGCTGCGACGGACCAGCTATAGGTAACGGCGTCTGATCATCAGGCGTGACAGGACCAACACTGTCACTTTCCAGCGTTGGAAGAGAGGGACCACTGTCCTCTTCATCCTGGGACATATCATCAGGGCATGGTGCCCACTTCCGGCGAGCGTAATTTGTCGGGTTGGGATGATATAGAAGACTACTACCCACCCCTTTGAACTTATAAGCCGAGGGCCCGGAGGGTACAGAAGGGCTGTAATCCAATACTTCATCATCTCCCCCGAATGGACTGGGGAGCTGTCGGGGCTTCTTCGTTAGCGGTGCCGAGCCTTCAGGTGGAAATGATGCCGCTCGTTTGGCAGTACGAAGGGTCTCTGGATCATTCGCTTGATCCCAGTCTTGTGAGTCTGCTTCTTCGTCGTCCGTCTCATCTTCTTCATGCCTGCCAGCGAGCCACTGCGTGACCTTAATATTTCTGCGGAAAAGCCTTTCTGTGCGTGTCAGATTCTGAAAATGACCAAACTTCTTTCGGACAAATCTTCCGTTTGTCGTGGATTTCTTGCCAAAACGGCCGTTCGAGTCTCGAGGTTGTGATTGCACCGCCAAAGCCTTTGGCCTGGTATGACTGCGTGATGAAGAAGGGGAATGATCGCTATTTTTGACGCTTGATGGAGGAGCAGAAAGCTTGATCACGGGTGCAGACGGAGTCAATGGAGGCTTAGGAGGTGAGGAAGGCTGAGATCGGAGTGGCACCTCAGGAACAGGATATTTACGGGGTCGACCTCTTTTCCGTTTCGGTAGCTCTTCTTCAGGAAGAGGGTACTTGCGTGGTCGCCCTCTTTTTCTCTTTGGTAGCCCGAACAGCTCCTTTGCCTTGGCTAATATCTCTCCGCGAGGTCCGTCATCGACTTTGCGCTTCTTCAGAGGCCGCTCGACGACGGGAGGCACATGTTTGCGTTCCACAGCAGGGGTAGTCTTCTGAGGAGGGCGCCGCGAGGAGCTGGCTTCGACGTCATCGCGAGATGGAGCAACAACAGCTTGACTTGGAAGGCGAGCTGGCCATGGCTGACCATATATGGCGACGTGACGCATACATCTGGTGCAAAAGAACCCCGTCAGCACAAATAAACCATAGGATATCAGCAGAATCACCTTGGACACTCTTGTTTTTGTTTGGACTTCTTGCCTTTCCGCGGGGAGTCTAAATTCAGGCCCCAAACCACTTTGGAATCCACGGAAATCACAGGCAAGACATTCAAGCACGTCACGCACGTTGGCAGCGGACGTCCATCTGAACCACGAGGAATCTCGCGCTTCGGGGGCCCAATCAGATCTAATTTTTCCCCGACTGCGGAAGGGCGCGCTCGGAGAACTCTTGCCTCAGACTCTTCCTTGACTTGAGTCTTCTCCGCCTCCTTTCCTTTGCTCCTACGAGGCGTGATAGACACGCTATCAAGAAGATTTTGACTCCTGAGGCGAGACGAGAGATTGTGCAAAGTATCATGGGGGGCGGGAGTAGAATATTTGCTAGACGATTCCCGTGTCTGTCGTCGAGTGGAAATAACGGGCTTTTCCTGCGCTTTCCCTTTATTGGAACATGCTGATCCTTCGGCGCTCAACGATGTCATACGTGATGGGTGAACGTTCGGATCAGGCGTGGCAACTATTGCATCATGGACCGGTAAGAGAGAAGCTTCCCCACCTAGCTCCATATCCACTTCATCTTCCCCAGAAGCATCAGGGGCGTTTGCAAGTGGTTTTTCGCCCTCCTTATCGTCGTCGTCGCTCTCCTCAGAGTCTGAATCTTCTTCTTGAATGATGGCGTAAACGCCACGTCGCGTCCTACGCTCGTTGACATCAGCAACTGTCACGGCATCCACCTCAGCGTCGTCTTCCGATACTTCGGCATCTTGTTCACCGCCCGAATCAACATCGCCATCGAAATGATCCGGAGCGTAGCCACCCCTGCCGTTCTTCTCGCAAGTTTCACAGAGGCAGTGTCGATTCCTGCCTCCAACTGTGGCGTATGTGAGCCATGGAGACTGACCGAATAACGGATACGCACAATAACCATCGCCGTAATGCGCAGTAATCTCTTCGCCCACGGAGATAGCCCGAAGAGTGCGAAATGTGATATACTTGCCTTCGCGAAAAAGCTCGCAATTGTTATCACAATCATGCTGCATAAGTCAATATCAATGTGAATAACCAAACAGAAGTAGTAAAAGGCATAGACCGTCACAACTTACGTTCACGAATCGGGCGGGCCCCAAAAATAGATGGTTCTTCTTCATTTGACGTGAATGGATGACACTAAAGTCCCTCCTGATATCGATATTTCTCAGGTCGGTGCGCTTGAGTTCTTTGTCTTCCTCCTTCGAAAGATGTGCCATTGATCCCTTCAGCTCAATAATTACCACTCCAGGGGCTAAGGAGCGCGTAGCGAGGATGCATAACTCTGACTTTCCTGTCCTGTGAGAGTATCTAGACGTGTGAGCAATTTCTATGCACCCTGCAGGGTTGTAGAGCTCAAAGTATCGCGAGGCGTGTCTGTGGTAAAATGGAGTTTCAGGAGCAAGACATTGATACGAAACCTGATTGCACACACGTGGCGAAAGCATTAATCTGTTTCTGCGTGTAGGGCTTGAGGTAGTAACGAACAGAAGGCAGACTAAAGAATGATCGTCCCTGAATGTCTGGTAAACATATACAACACAGAGAAATTAGACGAACGCGAGGAGGTCGTCTACGGCTTGTCGGACAGCATTCTGAGCACCAAGCTTACTTGCAACCAACTACGACACGATGATGTATGACACCATACGCGCGTCCAGGGAATAATTAGTTGCGTGCATACGAAGCGAGCTAAGGGTATACTCACGCGTCTAACGATTTGCATGAGATCCTCGGCATTGGTCTTTGGGAGTCTTCGAGATGGATCCATCTTATGAACGAGCAATGGGACTGTGCCTGTTCCAAGTTTCTCGACTAGCAGATGGCTAAGGAAGTCATCATCCTTGGAAAGGTCACCCATGTTCATGATTTTGGTAGGACGCCATATGAGAACTGTCCCTCTGGCTCGTGTGGAAGAGCCATTGGCGGTCGCAGTCGCGGACGCTGGCGCCATTGAACGGTAACCGAAAATTTACGCGTTCGGGACACAAAAAGAAAAAAAGCACAGACTGGACGAGGACAGCAATGACGCGAACGGAAGGGAAAAGGAACAAGGCGAAAGCACTGCAATTGCTGGCGCGATAATTACGGCACTAACCTCACTGTGATTATGTCAGCTTAAACCCACTTCTCGGGAACAATTTAATATGCTTTAGGACAGAAGTTAGAACGTGGTTATCTTTCGAGAAGCATATAGTGAGGACATGGATTGCGTCGATTGGACAGAGCATATGATAAGATGGCATGGTCGTCATACACTATAATACTAAGGATTTCCCATATTTTCGCCATGTCCTCGTGATCTTATGTATGCTCAGAGACAAATCAAGGGGTAAATCCCTGAGGAAATGAAGGAGATAGCATTTATGCGTTGTGCGCGTGCTTCTGTTTGCCTGACCGGAGCTTCCTGACGTAGAACTATTTATGAAGGTGAGTAAGCGATACATAATTCCTTCGAGTAGCAAGACAAACCTCTAACTCCTTGCCCTCCAGAATGTAGCCGTCACTACGACCGGACTGTCCAGGTCTGCTTGAAATGCAAGCATAGAGACGGCCAGCAGCAAACTGAGACTCGAGAAGGGGGTCAATTTTAGCATCTGAGATGGGCAATGAATTATACAATGCGAAAGATCAAGCGGTATTCTTACTCTGCTTCCTCTCCGCAATGATACGTTGAAGATGGTTGGATTTTTTTTCCTCCTCCGCGGTGGCAGTCTTTGCGGCGGCACCCTTCTTGCTGATGGGTTGGGCGTACTGTTATTTACATAAATGAGTAGGGTACAAGAGATGGACTTCTGGTAGGCACGCACGTGGGACTCATACCACTGCCTGAAAGGGGTAGCGTCGATCTGAATGATGGCGCCCTTCACCAAGGTGTTGGTGCGGACGAGCTCATTGTTGGATGCGTTGTAAACCTAAATTGAGTATCAGTCATACATGCAATTTGTATTATATTAAACTGTATGCGGTATCAAGGGTACTTACAACACTGATAAGCCTAGTCTTTCTTGTGACATGCTCAGATGCCCATGCGAAGTTACCTGTGTCAAGACGGAGGGCACGGTACTTGGTGTTACCACCACGGACGCGCACAGTGTGAACACGCTTGGCACCAAGCTTGGTGCTAGCAGGCTGACGACCGAGCTCGAATTTTCTCTTCTTGCGATAGTAGGCGCGCTGGGCACCGGTTGCCGAACGTTTGTGCCGGGACGAACGAGAAATACCTGCATAAATGGTAGTTTGATATCATTAGCATAGGATAAAAACATTTGTGTGTTAGTGTATCGGAAGACCAGCACTAACCCATGTCGGATAGCCTTGAGGATGGGAGTCGTGTAGTCGAGTCGATGTTTTGATGATAGTACTGAAAATTAAGGTTTGATTATTCGTACTCAGATCGGCAAATGCCGAACTTGAATTTGGCTTTGCTTACGTCAAGTTTGTACGCTTTGTACTGCTACCAGCTACTGACACACCAGCAGTAGGTTGCTAGCCCACCATGCATTTGCGATTATGATACGGCATGTCTGGACATGAACTCCCCGTGGCGTTGATTCACCCCTCCAGCGCGAACGTGATGTGATCTCTGCCACCTTTTTTGCAGGCCTGAATGGCACTATCAAATTGGAAGGCGTACTCCTAGATATTCCATCAGCAGGCCCGGTTAGCAGCCAGTCGCATAATCAGCTAGGTGCGTGCCATAATATATTAGACTGATCCGTGCATTTTAATAGGCGTCGCTTATTTCACTCGGTGGGTCCTAGTAAATTCTTGTTCATCTATATTGTTTGTCGTGAAACCGATTTGCTTATGACGTGTAAATACAATTGAGATGCTAGACATACGCTGCCCTTACTACTAGGCTGGCGCTCGCACGCCCCGTACCCATGTCCAACTCGTTCTCAGGGTAAGTATTTTGTGGATCCCCGATATGAAATAACGTTCATCAACGGGCATATGCAGCGAGCCCCTTTTTTGCCCGTCGCCCAATCCGTCATTTTGTGCAAACCCGAGCAATCATAGGCTCGTAGGACGGCTGAATGACGCATACCACGCGCTTATCTCGAGGCCTCATTGAACAGGCGTGTCCATCTCGGCGTGTATATCTATGTGCTCGTACTCCATGTTTATGGCCCCCGTTTCCCCTCTCGTTGTTCTGTGTCCGTTTTTATATGACTTTATTCAAGACAGCCAGCTTCCGACGATTTCGTCACCGTAAGGCTGTTCGACCGAATGAACGATCTGCGTTGGCCAAAAGCACTCAAAATGACCTTAGCCGACTAGTTCGCACTGCGGATCCTGCAGTTAGGAAGGTGAAACCTGTTCTATTTTTCTGATCCCGCCTGTATTCTGACGTATGATCATAGGCATTTGATGTCGAAATGCAGTCATTTTCGAAGCTGCATGCCCGTTATCTCGCAGAAAAGGAAAACCGAGAGCAACTGTAAGCCCTGCAGCATTATTTTCTTTTCCCCTTTTCGTGTAATTAATGCAGTGGCAATAAGTAACTGGGATCGCATTAAATCGCCCAATGACAAGCAGGTCATTCCTTACAGTCACCTTCCACAGATTACTGGTCCAGAAGGCCTGTCCAAGTTGGCCGTTCTAAAAGTCAATGGGGGTCTCGGGACCTCTATGGGTATGATCCTTGAATTGCCCCCACATTTATGCTTACGTATTTTAAAGGCATCAGTGGTGCGAAAAGTGCTCTTGAAGTCAAGGACGGGCTGACTTTCTTGGACCTCATCGTGCAACAGGTCGAGCACTTGAATACAACACACAAGGTCGACGTGCCGCTCATCCTTATGACATCCTTCAATACGCATGATGATACATTACGTATCATTAAAAAATACGTGTCCCAACGCATCAGCATAACTACGTTCAATCAGTCACGGTATCCCAGGATATGGAAGGAGACGTTGCAGCCTTGTCCCAAGTATGCATCGGACGACAAGAAACACTGGTATCCTCCAGGCCATGGTGATTTGTATGAGTCGCTGGTGCATACTGGCGTGCTCGATCGTCTTCTTGCTGAAGGCAAAGAGTATTTGTTCGTCTCAAACTCCGACAATCTTGGGGCTGTGTAAGTCTTCGCATCGCTGATGAGTCACATGAGTAGCTCAATATTTTTACAGGGTCGACCAACGTATCCTCCAGCATATGATTGATAGCGATGCCGAATTCTTAATGGAGGTCACTGATAAGACCAAGGCAGATGTTAAGGTTCGGTCGATATCTAAAGCTCCTCGAACTGGTTGTTGATGTGTTGATGTTTCATTTATAGGGCGGTACTCTCATCGAGTACGATTCTTCCATAAGACTTCTGGAAATTGCCCAGGTACCTGCAGACCATGTTGACGACTTCAAATCAGGTAGTATACATCTTCCTTGACTTATCATTCAGCTTATCATGCGCAAGTCCGCAAATTCAAAATATTCAACACGAATAACCTATGGATCAATCTCAGAGGTATTTATTAGAGATTTATTCATTCAAGTGGAACGATCGTATTGATGGCCTATTTTCCAGCATTGAAGCGGATCATGGATGGAGGTGGCATAGACCTGGACATCATCATCAATCCGAAGATGACTGACAACGGACAAGCAGTGATCCAGGTTTGTTGCCCGTTTGGAATGCGATACGCGATCTGACTACTAGCAGCTGGAGACCGCTGCAGGTGCAGCTATCAAACATTTCAATAACGCCCACGGCATCAACGTTCCCCGTTCACGCTTCCTGCCCGTTAAATCCTGCTCTGATCTGTTGCTCATCAAGAGCGATATATACTCATTGCAAAATGGCCGCCTGCATATGAGCGAGAGTAGGATGTTCGGCAGCGTCCCGGTCATCAAGCTGGGTGACCACTTCAAAAAGGTCGGAGCATCCTTGAAGCTGGAATCGTTGCTTTGCTAATGGGCGCGATGCATGGTCAGATAACTGATTTCCAGCCACGATTTAAGAAGATCCCAAATATCATCGACTTGGATCATCTTACGGTAACGGGCGACGTTCATTTTGGCCGAGGGATTACGCTCCGTGGTACTGTGATAGGTAGGCACCCGTATTTTCTCTGCATTTGTTGAATATGGCTAGAAATTTTGTCATAGTGGTGGCGAACGAGGGTCAGAGGATTGATATTCCGGATGGTTGCGTGCTAGAGAATCGTAAGCACAGAGTCAGATTACTTAGTAATGTCATAGAGGCTGATGACACTTTACAGGTCTAGTTTCTGGGAATCTCAATATGACGGTGAGGCCATTCAAGTCTTCGCACTTCAACTTGACTCACTGTCAATTTCTGTGTAGGAACTTTGATCCAGTATCCAAATTACATTGTATGTTACCTTGACAAGGTTTCTGGGAGGAACTCTTGATTCGATGACGTACGGACTCTCAACCCTAACGTAGAATGATGTATCCGCGTATCTCGGATGCGAAGACCAAACTATTCGCATCGATAAAACACGAGGACAACTTGCGCTTGGTGGGAAGTCGTCGGCGCGTAGAGGATATCATATCCTTAGACTTTTTCCCCTCGTATTCTCACATCTATCTTTCATCTGCCAGCAGCTTGAGACAAGACAAGTGTCACGAATTCAAACTCCATTTTGTTCTCTAAGGTTTATGCCGATACAGGCGGCACATCTCAAGTTGTAAACTCGCTCGAATGCTATTCATAACCATTGTTGACGTCAGATAGCGTAACGGTGCCAAGTTGCGCCCCGACACACATTGCATTGTGCCTCGTGCGATTTACTCCAAGCGGTCCAATCGTGCACCGCTAGCCCACGTTCCAATCCGCAACACCCAACTTTAAACATATCGGCTCAGCCCCGTCCTCCGCCAATCGATGTGTGCTCGCCACAATAAACAGTTCAGTGCTAGTACTGAACGTTGTCTTCAAACCTTCAATTAGCGCACCCCACATCAGCTCGGCCCCGACGTGCTCCCCTACTAGTGCTTTTTTGTCTTCATCAATCGGCATGCCCCAACATCGAGCATATCAACTCGGGCCCATTCTTCAGTTAGCCGACGTGCTCTTCTAGTTTTCAGCTGGTGAGTCGGACCTCGGTCAAATGAAAGTACCGAGCCAGGGAAAAAATAGCACAGCTTTGCGGCATGTAATAGGTTTGGGGCTCCACTAATGTTGGGTATCAAGGAAAACACTAGTCAGATTGCTGCAAAAGTAAAAGTAGTTGGGTAAACACTACACTATCATGGAGCCAAAAGCCATCGCGAGCTCGTTGTCCACGATAGAGAGACAGTACAAAGACATGTTGAACAACAAAATCATGCGAGAGCGAGAAAAGAACAAACAGAAAAAACAGTAAGATAAACAAGAATATGCTATCTATGTATTGGTCCGTGCGTTGTTGTGAAGTTTCGAATTACAACTCCTGCAAAAGAAAAGAGCCATCAGCAGCAACTCGGGAAACCTAGTACATCACTAACGATCATGTTCAAGTTTCCAGACAGTAACCCTGCAAGCAAGCAGAAATGTGAGGTCAGGAGGTACGGAACGCAGAAAGACATACTGTTCTCGAGAATACAGCCATCAGGGATATCGATGCGCTGTCCCTCATTGGCAACGACTACGAGATTTTATCAGCAACTCCTATCAGATCAGCCAGCCTAGACTTACTAATTACAGTACCGCGAAGTGTCACATTTCGACCGAAATTCACATCACCCGTGACAGTCAAGTGATCGAGCTCGATAATCTTGGGGATCTTCTTAAAGCGTTTTTGGAACTGCTGGATCTTCTTGAAGTGGTCACCGAGCTTGATCACAGGTGTGGTCTCGAACATTCGGCTCTCATTGAGAACGAGCTGTCCGTGTTGCAGCGAATAAATGTCGCTCTTGATGAGAAGCAAATCGGAACATGATTTAACCGGCAAGAAGCGCGATCGTGGGACGTTGATGCCGTGGCCGTTCTTGAAGTGCTTAATAGCGGCACCGGCGGCAGTCTCGAGCTGGACGACTGGTTGACCATCTTCGTTCATCTTCGGATTAATGATGATCTCGAGCTCCATGCCCTCAGTCTCCATGATGCGCTTGAGCGCTGAAAAGAAATTAATAATGTACGAAAATGAATGACTAAACGCCGGTACCTTTGAGGTTGATCCACAAGTTGTTGGTGTTGAAGATCTTGAATTTGCGCACTAAATATCACGTCAGAAGTGGAAGTATAGGGGAAAGCTCGTGAACCAACCAGACTTGAAGTCCTCGACATGTTCTGATGGAACTTGCGCGATCTCAAGAAGGCGAATTGATCCCTCGTAGTCAATGAGAGTACCACCCTGTTGGAGAATGAGAGACCCATAAATGTATCGATCCAGGTACGTACCTTGATGTCGGCCTTTGTCTTGTCAGTGACTTCCATCAAGAATTCTGCTTGGGAGTCGATCATGTGCTGAAGAATCTTTTCATCGACACTAGAACCAAGCATCAGTTAAACACGGCGCAACGCGAACACCTCTTTGGTACTGACACTGCGCCCAAGTTGTCTGAGTTGGAGACGAAAAGGTATTCCTTGCCCTCAGCAAGCAATTGATCCAATACACCAGAGTACAGCAACGCATTATACAAGTCACCATGGCCGGGAGGATACCAGTGCTTCTTGTCATCGTCGGCACGCTTTGGGCAGGGAAGCAAGCTTTCCTTAAAGATCCGGGGGTAACGGGACTGATTGAATGTCGTGATGCGGAGTTGTTGATTTGCGTACTTCTTAATGATACGCAAGGTGTCCTCGTGGGTGTTGAAAGACGTCATGAGAATAAGTGGAACATCGACGCGGTTGCTCGTATTGAGGTGCTCGATCTGGCGCACGGTGAGGTCGAGGAAAGTCATGTCATCCTTGACTTCCAGCGCGCTCTTCGCACCAGTCATGCCTATTGACCATCAAAAGGACGCGTTGGAACCCACAACATGGAACATACCCATGGAAGTGCCAAGACCACCGTTTACTTTGAGCACAGCAAGTTTATTAAGGTTGTTGTGGTTATGGGGCTGAGATAAACTGTCATAGGCCACAATCTGGTCATCGGCGGGGGACTTGATGCGATCCCAGTCTCTGATAAGAAGAAATTGTTTGAATATGATATGTTTGGCCAAAAAGGAAGTGACGGACAAATCCACGCTTTTTGCGCGTTCTGAAAGATAGCGAGTAAAAAGATAGAAGAATGATTGCATTTCGGTGTCAAATGCCTGCTGCGCATCAGAGATGGCGGACACGTGTAGGGTATGTGGAGCTTACCTTCTTGGCATGTTCATCGCAAGTGCTCACCAAATGGCTGATTTCATTCCGCATTGACTTTGCTGCAACACCGGTCGTGGCTGTTTTGAAGTCGATATGACTGCTGCCTTTGACGCGAGCGTTGAGATTGTCACGGGGAGATAAAGTCGCCATCGTTCTAGGATGCGTGTTTAAGATATGGATGGATGGGACGTAAAATAAGAGAACGTACTTTGAACTTGGGATGATGTGTATCGGCCTTGTGATTGTTGTGGACAAGTAGGGTTCTGTTTGAGCTCGTATGAGGAGACTCCTTGGTTTGTGGTGCCGTTTATAAAGTTCTGAACTGAGGTCAAGATTGTTGTGGAGACGGGGCGCGGACAAGTCCGAACCGAGAACGTTCTGCTCTTCTGGTATGAGCTCACACAGCGATTTTCTGTGACTAGGTCGTCGTTCGTTGAACTCTCTACTAGTAATAGAAAATTTTGCTAAGGGTGAGGAAGGCGTTGGAGGGGAAGTTGAATGATGGATTGGCTGTAGACCAAGCAATTTCAGAGGACGGTAGAGGTCGTTATATGAAGTTGGGGACGAACGTGCTTGCATAAAATCGATAAAGGGACCCCGCGTCTCGCCGCAAAATGGATACTCCCAAGTTGCTGGGACAACCTCCCGAACCTGGCTTTTATAACGAACACAACTAACTTTTCAGATAACTTTTACATATCGGGGGGGGGGGGCTAAGTGGCAAAGCTCTAGAACGTATATAGCCACCTGTCGGATCATCAGATCCCTTCTCCGGTGTTTGTGCTAGTGGCACCTACTACGTATCCCTTATCCATCCAGGCAGTGTCATCACAGCGCTAAACCCGAGCTCATCCGACCAAAAGGCGCGAATAATATGTGTCAAGATTCTCTTTGCTAGACAAGCCTGAGGCCTGAGGAACAACCGAGCTCACCTGTCAAATCAACTTGAAGCAGTTGACTGCCCACTTTGCGGATCAATTCTCACAACGTCAGTGTATACGTATATGCATCACGGAAGCCAAGTGGCAAGGTAAATACTTTTCAACACAATGCCGACGTCCCTTAAAGCGTGCATACGCCATCTTATCAACGACTACTAGGGTGCCTTGTCGGGACCTTCTTTGCCTGCCTCCATATATTTCATTGCCGTAACTAATTATCGTCCCTTGTTGCGTGTCCGTGCCTTATGCAAGCCAAGCCAATTGTGTCCCATTTCTGGGTTGGCCGCCGTTCCAGGCGGTCTCGGACGCCTTCAGGACGGTCAAAAACCTTTTGTCAGGTACATGACTATCTTCGGGGCGCGCATGTTCTGTCATTCAAAATGGAAGCCTGGCTTGCTTGCCGCATCCTGTCCCTTTCATGCATGCTCGTCATTCGTAGGAATGACCACGCCTGTCAGTTCGGAGATTACGGTACCATTTGAATATTGCAGGGTAAAGTTTGCCTCAAGTTGGCACTGAGAAATAAGACCGACGTCTATAGTTCGAAAGTAATCAGTTGCTCAAATTTTACACATAAGTCGTAAAACCACGCTTCATTATCAGGGTATCACCTAGCGACGAGCATCATCCCACCTCAGACGTGCGTTGTACACCATGCTGCAATGCAAAACGCCAGAAGAGGAGGCCACGCCACGTCTACCATATCACTGAAAAAGCCGCGAAGGAGCCCTACCTCGTGCACTCTGCGGTTTGCCTTTGAGCACGGCAGGGACAATGATATGCGTCTTCGCCGCCCTGGAAGATAGAAGACCCACGAAGACGAGAATCTGCCGCGGAATTTGCTGGAGTACGCCGGCCCTGCAGGCTTAGTCACAGGAAGAGGTAGCATTGGATCCTCGTCACTATCTTCGCTGACACTTTGCCCGAGCGAACGTTGATATAACTCATAATCATTATTTGTACGACTGGGCCTGCGTTCGGAATGCTTGGGCCGAGGAGAAACCCCGGGCTGGCGGTGTGTGTGTGTCTTGCCCCCGGCGAGAGTTCGGTGAGCATTAAATGCGAGAAGGCTAAGCGCCGAGAGTAAAATGAAAGGGAGGTAGATATTGAGATAGATACCGAGCTGGTCCGGGAGGAAACAAGGTGTATCCAGAAGCGAAGGCGGTGAATTTGGCAATTGTGTCAGGGTCTCCATTACAGGGACTCTTGAAATCAATGAGAGAAGTTGAAATCCTGGTCGGTGTATTCCCATTGCCATTGAAAACGATTTCACTGTGATTTCTCGGGCTGCGGTCGACCCAGAAGCAGATGGAAAAGGCAAGGGGTGTGAATATTCACAGTAGTCGTGATCATCACCACTGGATATGTAACTATCTTCAGTAATCGGTCTGCGTGCGAAACAGGGGGACAGCGAACCTGAATATAAGGGATGGTCCGAGCGAGCGAAGCAGGAATTGCGATGCTTCATTAGATAGGGTGTTCTGGTACCCAAGGCCATGCCCCTGGCGGATGGTACCCCGTTCTCGCAGCGGACCGCAATCTGCATCAAAGGGTCGAGCAAGAGGGATGTGCGTGAATAGCACAATCGGGCTGGCATGCTCATGCCCTGAAAACCGCTTCACGAACTCGACGGATCCGCCTGCTACGGCAGGCCAGTTGTCATATGAATACCCTCGGTCCGCGCGGACTACGTCTTCTTCGACCAAGCCGACTGCATCGATGAACAAAACAGTATGATTGCCAATAGTAGTCTTGTGGTTCAATGGTCCAAAATGGGAGGTGTACCTCGTTGCAGCTTCAAGAGAAAAGGAAAACTCTTCTCCGAGTCTGGAGATCCAAAAGATTTACAAGATTGCTCTAAACATGGAGAATTCATGACGCACCCTAGGTCATGATTACCGGGAAGAAAAAATGTCGGTATAGACAAATCCCTTAAATTGAAGATATCGAAGAATCGCGCAGCATATGCATTGTACCTTGTGAGTAAATGAGCAACCTCAGTCGCAAGCTGAAGTTCCGCCGCTTGAATGCAGCAATGAATTAGAGAAAACATACTCGCTATTCGACATGGTCGCGCGACCGTTGTCCATGAGGTCACCCAGGAAAACAAGGGCATGGGGTTGCATTCTATTTATCGTCGAGTGCCAACTCCTCCGGAGGTTGAGATCAATGATGAACTGGCCCAAGGCTTTCATCAGGAAGTTGCGGTTAGGATACGAGCGGTGGTCAGCGATTTGAGGGTCTGCTACCACTAATACGCGTGCGATACGAGTGTTTGGTGCGTCAAGCTGACAATTGACGCATAAGCATTAACTTGAGACCATTATGACATTACTTCACCTGATGGATGTCGGGCCACTGACAATCATGCAAGACATGGTCGAACGTACAAACCTCATACCAAAGAACGACTAATATCCAGGTTGCCCGAAGGCCGTTCACAACCATGTTGTGTGATGGAGGCCATGGCTTCAAGTTACGTAGATAACCTGGCATGGCGAGCGATAGATCGAGCTAGCAGGCACTAGCGCCGATTGAGAGCAAAAGCTGTTCCTTGTTGTTTCTTCGTTATAATATGCACTGCATTCATAGACGGGAAATTTTGTGAGAGACTTCCGAGTTCGACGACCAATAAGAACGGGCCGTACAACCAATTGCAATTGAAAGTGCGATTTAAGCTTGTGAGCCCAGTTACTGAAGGAATCACTCAGTGGCGCCTATTATTATAAGAGCGACTAATGTATTATGTCATTAATATTACGTAGTACCAGCGACTTGCCAGCGACTACATAGTTACAAACGCTGCAGCGCTGAACAGCTGGTACTTAATCGATGGTAAGATCCCGGTGGGAACAGACAAAAGTCATAAAGTGAAGTCTGAAATCATAAAATAGCATCTCGCAACCTCTCGTTTCCTCGGAAAATAACATGACCGAGGTCTCGAGTGAAGTGGGGAGCTAGATGGGCCACGCACGGCCTCTTTGGTCTACGATGTACTGATCGGGGAATTGAGGTACTTCCAGTCGTTGCACCGGGAACTGGTTGGCCCATCGTGGTGGATCTGGATTCAAAATCATTCACATGGATCGCATCCAATACTGGAGGCGCAGGTATTCGCCGTGATGTTCTGCACGAGTTACAAGTGTGGATAACAAGGTGCCCGTGCGATTTGGAATCTAGATATCACCGCGACTCGATAAGCAGGTACGAAAACGATGTTTACTCGACGCTCACTCTTCACCCGTAAGATCGAGGAGGCGCCAGGTATCAACACGATATGACACCCCTTGCATATAACGCGTTTTACTGTTGGATCACTGCCTTCTATGAGTTCTACGATGAAAAGTGCGAAATGCATGTGCTCACATCTTGACATTCGTTTTTTGCCCCACAACTTTCATCGTGTCTATGTAACTCCTAGACAGGTCCGCAGTGGACACGACCCTCTTTTGGCGGTTTTTCGGTGGGTTTTGGGTATTGCTAGTCTCGCAATTGCTAGACGGAACCTGCGAGGGGCCAGCTGTCATGACATTGAGGAGAACGCTAGCTTGGTAGAGGAAGTTGAGACGTTGGATAATATCGCGATTGCCAACCCTGCTTGGGTTGGGGATATCGTCTTTGTTCTGTTTGCCCATCTGACAAGTTGGCAGTTGGGTAGTTTTGAAGCGCCAAAATATTTGGCTTAACGAGTGTCTGCCGTCACTTCATTATAGCTAAAACAACGCGAAGGCTATCAACCGACCTTAGCTCAGTTGGAAGAGCGCGAGACTGTAATGGATAAACAAATCATCTTGAGGTCGCCTGTTCGAGCCAGGCAGGTCGGACTGTCGCGTCTTGTGTCTTTTTCTCACTTCAAGCTGTTATTTTGCCAAACGCAAGTACGTAGACCAGGGACAAACTTACTACGTATACGATAATTAATGTTTGCGGCATCGTGGATGGGGACTCTAGGTGTGAGGCACGAACACCACAGAGCCGGGTCTCGGGCCGAGTCGGCATCTGATTTTCTCCGTGTCATCAACAACGCGCTTCTCCTTGCCCAGATGACCTCCTCTCTCCGTACCTGCATTCCCCCACCTAGTAGATCTCTGAGACTCATCTGCAAGTGCTCCTTGTGCTCACACAGCTTCTGGGGTTCTTCACTCTGCTTCTGCTTCTCTCTCTCATTCTCTCTTGCTTATGAGCAGCCCTTGTTGCAATCCTCCTTGTTCCTCTTGTTCTTGCCCAAATCCCCCTCACTCCTCTTGCCCTTCCTCACTCTCCTTCCCTTCTCCAGCTGCAAACATGGCCTGCTCTCGCTCTTCTCGCTCTCCATCTCCCACTCCTTCCTCAGATCCAGAGTGATTGGAGCCAGGATCTCCGACGGGTCTTCTGCAAGAGGACCTAGAGGCTGCCTTTCTTGCAGCCTGCCCTGTGCCAAAACTGGTCCTGGACCCTCCAACTTCTCCGGAGACTGGTACTTGCCACTCTTGCTTGCCCACATCCCCTCCACAGGCTCTGAATCCAGCCTCACCTCCTCGCCCTGCTGCAAAATGCCCTTGTGGGGCTGGCATGGCTGTGAAGAAAGGTAAAGGGAAGGAAAAAGTCCCAGAGCCCCTTGTGCCATCACTCCCTGCCCAGAAACTCTTCCCATTAACTCACCTTCCAAAGCCAACTCCAAGTTTTTGGGCTTCCTTAGCAGCCTCCTCGTTGGCTTCAGCTGCATCAGCCTCCACTCCTGCTCCATCACCAGTTCCTCCCACCTCCTTGCATCAGCAAAACCCTCCTGGGCTAAATTTCATGTAATCTTGAAAGTTCGTATAATTTTTCCTAATTACTCGTGTTTAGAAACAAAGTTGATAACAACGTAGCGGCAATATGAAATTGTTTCACAACAGAAGAGAATTAGTAAGGATTATCTGAATATTGAAAAAGTATGTCTATCAATGTATGAGTTGACCCAAAATGTGTTACAGTCCTCAAGAACAGTCTTGCTCGCCCATTCTCACGGAGCTGAGTCTCCAAACTTCAGTATAAGGTGGATACTGCGCACAATATCACCCACTGGCACGATACTAGCCACTCTGTCACTACCTCGCATCAATCTTGACAGTTTATAAAGTCCATTGTTTCGGTCCAGAGCAGGTGGGAAGGGAGTGAACCATTCAATATATGTGAGGTGAGGAGGAATGTTGACAGTGGGTGGAAAGAGCAATTGTAAAGACTTTGGGGGCAAGGAGAATATAACTCAAACTTGACCCACACTGAAACCTAATGAGTCAGTGAGCAGCGTAACAATCAGATGGCCGGCACCGAATCACGCACCTTTGAGATCATTTGTAACCGAGTCTTCGCAATAGCTAGAAGACGATAATGTGGGATGCAAATATCACAAAATGTCAAGAATTACTTGAATATACAAGAAGTATATCTATCTAAATACGAATTCAATCAAAAATTGTTACAATCATTCAGAACAGTAGGACACCCCACCCAATCCCAGCAGCCACCAGTGCTTAGTGCACATGCCTGGTGCATGTCAGCGAATGCTGACGTGGCTTGAATGTGTGCAGAGGACACTGGAGAGCACCAGAAGAGTGGAAAGAGGGCCAAGACAGGAAGCACGAGATGGAGGGTAGGATGTAGTGTAGGGCATGAGTGGTGGTCATAGTAGCACACTGCAAGGTTAAAGATAGTAGTAAACGAGAAAAAAAAACATGCACACCTACTACTGACTAGAACAAGCGGCGAACGACTGAGTAAAATTTCATTGAAGTTCATCATTTGCACATATTTGTTTCGCTCACGTGACTGTTTGTTGATATTGAACCATTTGCGTGTATTTGTTTGGCTCGCATGACTTTGGTTTGGAAACTTTTTGAACTTCTGACGTCGATCCCTCATGCCTCAATGTTCAATGTCGTCAGCCTCAATCATCAAGCTGATAGGTATGTCTTAGGTTTTTTTAAAAGTTCTATCTAACATTTGCAATTACAAAATAGGTATCAAGTTCATATCAACTTTGCTTGGATCCGTTTGAAGTGAGTGTGTCGGTCCTTGTTCCAGCCAGAGCCATGCTGATCCAAGTCGTTGTCTGTTGTTTGCAGGTAGTGAGTGCGTCAATTGTCGTTTGAGCAACCACCCAACTGCCACACTGATCCAACTCATTGTCTGCTGTTCGCAGCGGGTGAGTGTGTTGATTCTCCTTCGAGCTCAAACCATGCTGATCATCGTTGTCCGCCATTCGCAGTGTGTTGATCCTCCTTCCAGGGGTCACCATATGTCCTTTCTATAAATCCACTCGTGCGTCTTACTAATGTAGCTTTATTAGCTTATGCTCATCCACACATTCACACCTGTATGTGCTTGTCCGCACTCATTCTTGCTGGAACAGGTATGGCTTTGCTTTATCTAAGCCAGGGATTAGGTATTTGCGGTCAATTGTAGCTATACAGTAATTACTTTTGTGTCTATATTCTACAAGTGTCCATGTCGGTCATTACTAGCTGTGTTGCTACTTTACATACCATTTTCTAAATAAAAAAACTAATTCTTTTGTGTAATGTTGTCTGATGGTGTTTAGATTTGTGAATGATGCTCTTCTAAGTTTGAATGGATGGTCTCTCAAATGCACAACAAATTTTTCAAATAACTAATGATTGTAACCAATTCTGTCAAAGTTATTTGGGGTAACATAATCCATACGATCCTTCTAACCAGACATTTTTTTGAGAAATTATGAGAAATTAGCGAATAATTTTTGATAATCATATATATTTAGCCCAGGAGGGTTTTGCTGATGTGACCTCACCAGCACCCACCCTGTTCTTGATCTTGGCACCCACTCTGTTCCTGTCCACTTCCTCAACCTCTCCAGCACCCACCCTGTTGCCTCCATTCCTGCTCTCATCCACTCCAGCACCTGCTCTGCAGCACTCGTTGTCGACCGACCAAGTACTGGTGCTCCTCCAATTAGTCAACACAGCATCATCTCCTGGTAAGCTGCCTCCTTGCTCATCTTTGTGGGTTCCTCCTTTGAGGCCCCACCTTTCATTGCAGCATTTGCTGTTCTTGTCTTGTGACATTGCTTTCTGTACCTCCGAGGGTTTCATCCCTCTCATTGTCTTGTGACTTTGCCTTCTGCACCTCCTGCACCCTTCATACATGCTTTCTAACTCTTTCGGTTCAGTGCATACACCTGGCCTGCTTCCTGCAGTAGGTCTTATTCCTGCAGCGGGTCTCAAGACCCAGATTCATGGCCTTCCTCCTGCAGACCCTTCCCTGTAGCTGGATTCAAATGACCTGATTGACTACGGTCTTGTGGTTCACATTTTGAAGGAGGGATGGCAGACATATTTTTTGATAAACAGTCTCTCTGCTGATTTGACTTGTGCTACATTATATTATGCCAAAGCCCCATCAGAATTTGATATTGTGAATGAGCCTTCTATTTCTTATCCTGATTTCTGTGAAGTGGCTCGCATGCTCCCCATTCTTATTGGGTGCCATCTAAACTCTCCCTTCAAGTCCGATGTAGAGACTCATGCCTCTCATGGTGTGATATGGCACTTTTCCCTAGGGAGTACATGGAATGAACTTGTAATGTCACTCTGTGTACTACTCGCAACTATCCCTATATGAGGCATAGCTTTCCCGTGCAACACGCGCCATGCACACACACTTCCCATGCTTCATGATGTATATGCGCATGCGCTTTCCCGTACTTGAGCACCCTATAGTGCCAGCCATCTGGAAGCATCCATCCACTGTCCACCAAGCTATCTAGTGCGTATATTCCATTTCCCTTATTTGCATATCATTCCACCTTTATTTTTATCATGGACCCTTACTTACATATATTTTTACTTACCTTACTCAGAAGTGCTTCAGCTCCGAGTGACAGTGCTTAGGTGCCATATATAAGCGCCAGCAGTAGATACTATGACGGGGGGACTTTACCTAACTTTCGACCACTTATTACTTAGCAGAACATAGTTGAAATCTATTCTCTGACATTCACCTCACATCTCTCATCCCTATCTAATCATTACTTAAGCAAACTCACTCTTACTCTCTCTCATTTCTGCATACACACTAGGGAACTGCATGGGTATGGGTAGCCCATGGCGGGTGGTGGATATGGGTACTGCCGGATATGGGTATGGGTCAGGATTTTGTGACCCGCGCAAATACCCGTACCCGTGATGTACCTGTCACAGTCGCAGTGTAGCCATTCTACGCTTGGGTGCATTCACAGCGCATGCACACGGCGCATGTAGAGTCGACTCTAGATGGGGAGTTGGTGGTATTAGGGCTGCAAGGTGCATTTTTTAATGCTACTTCATCACACTAATTATTGTCAAGTCCCACAGCTGAATTCTATTGTCATGTGAGTTGTCCTTTATCATTCTTTCTTGTCTTTACTCCTTGCTCGTTTTCTCAGACCTCTGCTGCACCCTCTCATACATTGTGTGCACCCTCTCGTATCCCATGCACCCTCTTGTACATCCGGCACACCCTCTTGCACCTCTCAGACCTCCACCCTCTCATAAATTGCGCACACCCTCTTGTACATCCTGCGCACCTCTCTAATGGCTCCAATCCACCCTCTCATGCATCCAGTGCACGCTCTCATGAGTCCGAGTCCGTAGATCCTCATTCAAGCAAAAGCCATGCTGATCTGAGTCATTGCCCACCATTCGCAGTTGGTCAGTCCGTCAATCCTCATTTGGGCAAGAGCCATGCTGATCTGAGTTGTTGCCCACTGTTCGCAGTTCCCAACGTTCCCGACATGACGGACGCCATGTACGAATGCCCAGCACGCACCAGCAAATTTGCCTGTGCCTCCACTCCTTGTGCCATCCACATATGTTCGAGTCACGTCAGCATTTGCTGACGTGTGCTGGACATATGTGCTAAGCACTGGTGGTGAATACCTATGGTACCTGCGGGTAAACCCTGCACGGGTGCGGGTAAGGGTCTGAGCTTGTTGTACCTGCCAAAAACCTGTACCCGTCAGAGCGGGTATGGGTTTTTGCTGGGTGCAGGTGCGGGTATGGCCTCCAATACCCGGGGATTTACCTGTGCAGTTCCCTAATACACACATGCGCTTTCCTGCGCTTCGCGCAATACACATGTGCATTCCCGTGCCTTGCGCGCACCTGCACTTTCTCGCACTTCACATTGGCCAACCAGTAGTGCTTTCAGCGCATACCTCTAGATCCTTGCTGCACTTGCTTCTCCTTTAGGGTTGAATGCACTTGTTGTCTCAAGTATAGCAGACTAGGCAATGTGTGACCTTACAACATTTATAGATACAGTCTGGAGCCTTGTTCGTGCCTCAGTGTATTATTGTTTCTACACTGAGATTGCAGCCTCATTCTGAAAGCACTATGAGGGCATTCTGTCTGCTCACGACTTTCAACACAATTTTGCTGCATATGTTCGCTATGACATCATGATTTGTCAACACTGGGTGAACAACTCTTCAGACTTCAATCCAGCTGTCTTCCAGCTATGAATTTTCTCTCGCTGCTTGGAGCATGTCAAGGCCGAGTCAAATTCTGCTCTTGCCTCTCGCATTGCTTCCCTGGAAGCCCAAGTGACTCGCAGCCAGTCCTTTTGTGCCTCTGCGAAACCTGCTAATGCCACCATGTCATCTGTCTCTATGTCTGCCTCCATGCCCATCTCAGAGTGACCAGTCACTAGAGCCACCTCTGAAGTCATTGGCATCTGCTGGTTCTGCACAGGAAAGCACTCCCCTCGCGATTGCAAGTCCTCCTCCAACACTTTCATCACAAAACACTCTGATGGGAAATGGTGCTCATCTGCAAACAAGCTGCTTTGCTTCCTGTTCAATGAGGTCAAAGGCTGCTCAAAGAACCCCTGCCCATTCGCCCACAAGTGCTCCATCTATGGCAATGGATCAGCGGGTCACAACACCCAGTTGCATGCCCCCTCTTGATCTCCTTCCCATTGCCACCCACCTCCTATGGGACAAATGAGAGGAGCTTCTTGATGCTGTGGGTGTTCTTGATGTTTTTTGGGATGTTCCTCTTGGCCTCCATAATGGGTTCTGTCTTGGTGTCTCCTCGTCAATTTCTTCTACTTTCTCCCTCCCAACAATAACTTGGCTCTTGAACATGCTGATTTCATTAATTCTCAGATTGATAAAGAGCTTGCAGCTGGCAGATATTCAATTGGTTATGATCTGGCAGAATTTTAATGCTGTAGAGACTCGTGCCTCTCAATGCTGGATATACGGCCTTATTATCCACTAAAATTCCTACATGCACCAGCTCTTGTCTGAAGGACCAGTCATTTGCGCTCTTGCATGCACGCCCCACGTATGTGCCTCACTCGTGCCTTTTGCGCGCGTCCCTTTAGGCTTCCGCGCCCCTATCATCCATCCATCCATTCCATGTCCTTGTTGATTTACTGGTGCACTATTCTTATCTTCTCCATTGAATTAACGAACCTTTGGTCCGATGTCCGCGCCTACATATATAGAGTTATTTAAACTTAGGATATATTTAGATTTGATATGGTTACTTAGTTCGGGTCTGCGCTTGGAAGCGCGCTGTAGAGACTCATGCCTCTCATGGCGTGATATGGCAGTTTCCACTAAGGGAGTATACAGCACCAACTCGCAGCACCACTCTGTGTACTGTCCACAGCAATTCCTATATGAGGCGCAGCTTTCCCACGCAACGCGCGCCATGCGCGCACCATTCCCACGCTTCACGATGTATACGCGCGCGCGCATTCCCGCGCTTGCGCGCCCTATAGCGCCAGCCATCCAGATGCATCCATCCACTGTCCACCAAGCTCCCTAGTGCGTATATTTCCATTTCCTTTATTAGCATAGTGTTCCACCTTTATTTTTATCATGGACTCTCACCCATATATATCCTTACATACCTACTCGGTAGCGCTTCGGCTCCGCATGACCGCGCTTAGGCGCGCTATATAAGCGCCAGCAGTACATACTATTACTCACTTACTTTTCACCCAACTTTACTTTTGACTTGAGTACCACCCACTATTTACCTAGCTGAACATAGTAGAAATCTATTTGTCTGCACTTTGCACCTCTCTTCACTTGTCTTACATCTTATCCTCACTTAAGCTTACTCTTTCTCATTTCCACACACGCGCACGTGCTTTCCCACGCCTTCGTACCTTGCGCGCACCTGCACTTTCTCGCGCCTCGCTTCAGCGCATACCTCTAGAACTTTGTTGTACTCGCTTCCCCTTTAGGGTCGAACGCACTTGTCTCCTCAAGTAATGCAGACTAGGCAACGCACGACCTTTCAACATTTATAGATACTGTCAGGAGCATCATTTGTTCCTAGCAGTATTGTTGTTTCTACAGCGCCACATAGCATAATCTCTATTCTTAAATAGAGGGAGAGCTCTTTTGGTTCTGGTACTTACTTCTCCCCTTATCTCAGTATACTGCAAAGGTGTATAGTGCACCTCCTTGCTTGAAATCAGTTTATAATTTTCCATTGACCAATGCTCACGCATCTACTACTCCTTAAGGAGCCCTTTTCTTATTGCTCGGAACGCGCCTTCGCTATGCGCGCATGCCCCTCAAACCTCCTGCTCACGCATGCCTTCACGCGCGTTACCTTCTCGTGCCTGCTAGCGCCCGCCTAGCTTGTAGAGTTTCCCTCTATTTTATCACCAAGGAACTTCTCTCAGTAGTTGTCCTTTGGGTTGAGTTGTTGTCTCGCATCCTGGTCTTGCTGTAGAGCACCCTTTAGCTTTTAGAGCTTTCACCTATAGTCAAGATTCCTCACCTTCAACGCCTTTTCGGCCCCTACCATATGGCTCCTTTGGGTGTTGTGGTAACTCTGAAGAAGAAGTGCCTCATTCAGGACCACTCCCTCCCTTGTTGTGACCCACTCATCCACTCCATAAACTCAGAAATCAATTTTGACACATTCAAATGTGATTGGGGCACCTTTGCACAATGCTACCTTCTTATTGCCCTTGCCCCTCCAGGTTCACAGGCTGTGGTCTTTGATGTGGATGCTGCCCATTGCTACATGCCTGTAGCTCCAGAGGATTGTTGTCACGTCTGTATTTCTTGGAACAGCAAAGTCCATGTGGATCACTGCTGCTGCTTTGGTTGCTGAAGCTCCTCCGGCATTTTTGGCCGTTGCGCAGATGCCATTGTTGCCATCTTTTGGTTCAAGTCCATTAAGGACATTCTCAAGTGGGCAGACGACTTCCTTTTCCTTTGTTATCCTGATGGACACCTTCCTTCAGGCGAGTATACTTTCCCATACAACACCTCTCTTATTTGGTCAATTGCAAAATATCTTGGCTGGCTGTGGTCTCCAGAAAAGTTTCATGATTTTCTTGCCATCTTCATTTATGTACATCGGCTTTGAATGGGACCTTGCTTCCAAGACTGTCTGCATCCCCCAAGAAAAGAAAGTAAAATATCTTGAACACCTCTCTGGTTGGGCTGCCAGTGTGAAGGTATCTGCCCATGAGTGTGCAGTCCTCATTGGCACCCTCAACCATTGCTCCACAGATGTCATTGCTGGCCACTCACACCTTGCCTCCCTGTACCACTTTGCCTCAAAGTTCTCGGTCTCTTCCTCATGCTTCAAACTCTGCACTGTTCCTGCCTCTGTTGCCAGTGATATCATCTAGTGGCAAGACCATCTCTCATCCGCCTGGTGTGGCTGTCTATTATGACTCCCCCGTCTCCTCATCCAGCTCCCATCTTTGTAGATGCCTGTCTTTTGGAGGGTTGGCATAGTGAGGGCTGGGATATTGGTTGGGCAGAAATGGTTGCCATTGAGCTGGGCCTCTGCTGTGTCATTTCGGCTGGTTTTCATAATGCTTACTTTATTCTTCGTTCAGACAACCAAGGAGTGGTGGGGGCTTTCAAGGCAGGCATATCCCATAATTCAGAACAGAACTCCATCCTTTGTTGCATCATCTTCTTGTTCCAAGAGTTTTCAATGTGGTTTTCCATTATTTGGGTTCCTTCAGCAGAAAATCTAGCAGATGCTCCTTCTCATGGGGTTCACAGTACTGCTAAGCGGTTTGCCTTCACACCCCGTATTCCTCACCATTTACGCAAATTTTTCTGCTTGCACCCATAGTAGTACATAATTTTCATATATGTCATTGTTCATATTTGTCATGTGGCGATGATATATTCCTCTCTCTCTGATCTCATCTAAGCTTCACCCATAATGGACTTATTCATTGTGCTGCATGCCTTAATCAATGCAGTGACTTGCCAGGCCTGGAAACATGAGACCCTCAAAGGATATCAAGGTGGTGTGAATTGTTTTTTGGCCTTCTGCTCCTCCATCAACCTTCCTGCATCCCTGCCCGTCCCCGAATGGATTCTGTGCGTCTTTGCAGCCCATCGTGCGGGTACTTGCTCAGGCTCTGCCATTGCAAATGACATCTTCAGTCTTCATGCTTGGCACATCTCAAACGGGGCTCCTTGGCTTGGTGGCACTTGCTTGAAATATGATCTCCACTTGGCAAAGTGTCTCAGACCTGACTCTTCAAGACACCCTTCATGCCCTCCAGTCACCTCTGAAATGCTCGACATTCTGCATGCCTCCCTTGATATCTCCACCCCTCTCCATGCTTGTGTGCTTGCATGTGCAGACTCAGTCTTCTGGGGGCAGAGCCACCTGGGCGAGTTTCTCCCCACCTCTCAATCTTGTTTCTCTCTCAACTTCTTTCCCACTTGCATGGTCTTTCATCCTCAGGGGTAGTGCTGCCATGGTCTGGTTCTACCAGACTCAATGAACTCTGAACTGGACCTTTGCAAATGGTTTGGTCAGGTCCGGTCCAGTTATTTTGAGGTTCGAACATGAACCAAACCTGATGTAGAGACTCATGCCTCTCATGGTATGATATGGCACTTTTCACTAGGAAGTACATTGCACAAACTTACAGCATCACTCTGTGCTATCCACAGCTATCCATATATGAGGCACAGCTTTCCTGCACAATGCACGCCATGCGCACACACTTCCCACACTTCATGATGTATATGCACGCATGCTTTCCTGTGTTTGAGCACCCTATAGTGCCAGCCATCCAGACACATCCATCCACTGTCCACCAAGCCCTCTAGTGCGTATATTTCCATTTGCCCTTATTTGCATATTGTTCCACCTTTATTTTTACTATGGGCCCTTACTTATATATATCTTCACATATCTTACTCAGTAGTGCTTCGGCTCCGCATGACAGCACTTAGGTGCCACATATAAGTGCCAGCAGTACATATTAGAAACTAACCTCACCTCACCTAACTTTCTACCACTTACTACCTAGCAGAACATAGTTGAAATCTATTTGTATTCACCTCGCACTCGCATCTCTTGTCTAGTGTCTAATCATCACTTAAAAAAACTCACTCTTATTCTCTCTCATTTCCGCATACACACACACATTCCTGCGCTACGCATGCACCTGTGCTTTCTCATGCTTCACATTGGCCGACCAGTAGCACCTACTACTAGATCCTTGCTGCACTCACTTCCCCTTGGCTGAATGCACTTGTTGTCTCAAGTACAGCAGACTAGGCAACATGCAACCTTACAACATTTATCGATACAGTCTGGAGCCTCATTCACAGCTCACTGTATTGTAGTTTCTACACCGAAATTTTTTTACAGTGAGCAAAAAAAAACATATTGTGCTTGTGGAAAAAACATATAGTACTTGTACTTGTAGCTACACATTCAACACAGCTGCTTCTGCCTCAACCATTGCAGAAACATGGCCATTCCTATATGCTGCCTTCAACAACTGCAGCAAGCTGAACATCAATGCTGCAAGTCCATTGCGTCTCACAGTAGAAGTGATTCCTCCACTCGAGAAAGCCTGTTCAGAGGGGACAGAGCTGCCTTGAATAGGCAGATAGTCCCGTGTGATGCGTGTGAGTGTAGGGTATTGTAGTGAGTGAAGCTAGTAAATAGATTTAGTAGCAAGAAAATGAATCAAAAACATTAGCTACTCCCCACCACTCGACAATATCATCAGCTTCCTCCAGTGGTGAAACAGGTACATGGCGAGTTCTTGATGAGGATTATGAGCGAGTTGGTCTGCAGCTTGACATACCTTGATGGTCTTGCGCATCCATGCACCACCATACTGGTTTTCATGTGAGGGTCTTGTTGGTAGAGCAGACTCTTTGGTAGGTGCCTGAGCTGGTGGTTTATAATACTTGTCAAAATATAAATGTAAGTATGAGAAGGATAACGGAACAAGTACTACTTACCACAGCCTCAAGGTGAACCCTCCCATCCATAACATCTTGAGTGTCCCATTGTTCTTCAACATAGGCAAGCTTGTAGTTAGGGATTTGCACGGGTATGGGTAACCTGCATGGGTCATGGGTACAGGTACTACTGGGGTATGGGTATGGGTCAGGATTCTAAGACCTGTGCTCTTACCCATACCCCAGCTATACCTGTGCCTTCCACAACTGTCATCAATGTCTTCACTCACCATGCCACTACCAACATCTTCATGCCCAGCACTTTCGCACCCAGCAACAATTTCTGCACCTCCTGCATCAGTAATAGCAGACACCATACTTCCTGCTGAAGGTACAACAATTCAGATGGTGAGTCTGAACAATGTTGGGTCTTGCAGAACCTAGCTGCTATTCGACCCTAAAGGGTTTCTGGGCCAGGCTCAAGGCTCAGAGGAGAGGAAATATCATGAAAACTTGCTGATCTCTCAGACTTATACTGGTAACTAGTGAAAAGATAACTTGCTTATGTAAGCTACAAAAGTGCCAACATAAGGTAAGGTAAAAACAGTCTCTACCAGCCCAGCCAGAAATGAATCCCTACACCACGTGCATGCTACAACTGGCACCTAACATGCCTTCCCAAGTCCACCAACTCCACATTCACAGCACACACGCCCAAAACGGTGTAGGACTGGAAGTCCTTGTAGCCTCATAGAGGCTATTTTTGCAGTATCCCTCAGCATCCTATTGCTTTACTATGTGAAGTGCAGCTTTCCTGTGCGTGCGCACAGCTGCGCTTTCTCGTGCTTCATCAGCTGACGTTTCGCACCATCTGTCCATGTCCAACCAACCCAATGATATGTTATTCTATGATTATATTTACATATCAGACCATTTCTGCATTGCACCACCTTTATTTACATATAGCTTTACATACCTTACTCAGTAGCGCATCAGCTCGGTTCCGCATGACAGTGCTTAGTGCCCTACTTAAGTGGCAGTAGTACATATCCTTCAGTAGCTGGTTTTCTGGATGTTCCAGTAGCAACTCCCATTAGCCTACAGTTGGTAGCTATTGGCAATCCATATCCATTTACCGCCCGCACCATGTCTGTTACTGTTCCGCTGTATAAACAACAATACTGAGAGGAACAAAAGATGCTCCTAACTGTATCTAAAAATGTCATAGGTCAAGTGTTGCCTAGTCTGCATTACTTGAGGAGACAAGTGCGTTCGACCCTAAAGGGGAAGTGAGTGCAGCAAAGATCTAGAGGTATGCGCTGAAGCGCAGCGCGAGAAAGCGCAGGTGCGCTGTAGAAACAACAATACAGAGAGGAACAAATAATGCTCCTAGCTGTATCTATAATAGTTGAAGGTCGTGCGTTGCCTAGCCTGCATTACTTGAGGAGACAAGTGCGTTCGACCCTAAAGGGGAAGCGAGTGCAGCCAAGATCTAGAGGTACGCGCTTCAGCGAAGCATGAGAAAGCGCAGGTGCGCGCAAGGCGCGGGAACACGCGCGTATGCGGAAAATGATAAAGACTAGACTCAAGTGATAATATAATGCAAGAAAAGAGAAGGGAGATGCGAAGTATAGACAAATAGACTTCTACTATATTCTGCTAAGTAGTAAGTAAGTGATAACTAGTAATTGGGAGATAAAAGTCCCTTCCTAATAGTATGTACTGCTGGCGCTTATATAGCGCACCTAAGCGCGGTCATGCGGAGCCGAAGCGCTACCAAGTAGGTATGTAAAGATATATATGAGTGAGAATCCATGATAAAAATAAAGGTGGAACTATGCTAATAAAGGAAATGGAAATATACGTACTAGGGAGCTTGGTGGACAGTGGATGGATGCTTCTGGATGGCTGGCGCCATAGGGCGCGCAAGCGCAGGAACGCGCGCGCGTATACATCACGAAGCGCGGGAATGGTGCGCGGGAAAGCTGCGCGTCATATAGAGATAGCTGTGGGTAGTGCACAGAGTGACGCTACAAGTTCATGCTATGTACTTCCTAGTGTAAAGCGCCATATCAGACCATGAGACGCACGAGTCTCTACAGCGCGCAAGGTACGAAGGCGTGGGAACGCGCGCGCGTATTAGCGCGAAGCGCGGGAAAGCACACGTGTGTGTGCAGAAATGAGAAAGAGTAAGCTTAAGTGAGGATAAGATGTAAGACAAGTGAAGAGAGGTGCAAAGTGCAGACAAATAGATTTCTACTATGTTCAGCTAGGTAAATAGTGGGTGGTACTCAAGTCAAAAGTAAAGTTGGGTGAAAAGTGTAAGTAAAGTAATAGTATGTACTGCTGGCACTTATATAGCGCGCCTAAGCGCAGTCATGCGGAGCTGAAGCGCTACCAAGTAGGTATGTAAAAATATATATATGTATGTGAGAGTCCATGATAAAAATAAAGATGGAATAATATGCAATGAGAGAAATAGAAATATACGCACTAGAGAACATGGTGGACAGTGGATGGATGCATCTGGATGGCTGGCGCTAAAGGGCGCGCAAGCGCAGGAAAGCGCACGTGCGTATACATCGCGAAGCACGGGAATGGTGCGCGCATGGCGCGCATTGCGTGGGAAAGCTGCGCATCATATAGGAATCACTGTGGATAGTACACAGAGTGATGCTATGAGTTCGTGCTATGTACTTCTTAGTGAAAACTACCATATCACACCATGAGAGGCATGATTCTCTACACCGCTTTATGTCTATTTCTATTATCTATCATCTCTATTATCATCCAAACCACCTGTGCTGCAGCTGCTTTGCAGCCGCACCTTCCCATGCCTTTGGCTATCAGCCACCGTTTTGTTCCTGCATGCGCACCCGCTGCTTTCCTGCACTTCACATTGGCTGCTAAGCAGCACCTTTGGCACTCATTTCTTGACCTTTGCTGCACTAGCTTCCCCTAGGGTCAAATGCACTTGTTCCGCAAGTATAGCAGACTAGGTGTTGGACGACCTACAACATAATGATATCAGTTTGGAGCATATAGCACCACACTGAGTTGTAAACCTACAACGGCAACTTACACTGGCTGAAAGATTCGCAGTGGCTATGAAGCATGTAGGGAAACAAATGAAACAGGATGAACATGCATCACTACCCAATGTGGTTGAGCTGGCAGTGGGCATGAAGGTGATGGTCACCTTAAACATCGAAACTGATCTGGATGTTGCAAATGGGGCAAGAGGAGAAGTAGTGGAAATTGTGTTGGACAAGCGCAAGTCGAACTTTTCATCGAGAAATGCTGTCATGGAGCTGTGTTATCCTCCAGCATATGTTCTCATCAAGTTGAACCGTACCAAAGCCAAAGTTCTGGAGAATCTGGATTCTGGTATTCTGCCATTGGTCTCCATGCAATAGACATTTTGTACTATGATTGGTGGCCGTGAAGAAGTTGTGATGCAGATGCAACTGCCATTAACACCAGCATATGCATTTACAGACTACCAATCACAGGGTCAAACAATCAGCAACACAATTATTGATATCGCACAACCACCAAGTGGAGAACTTACACCATTCAATGTATATGTTGCACTGTCACGAGGTCATGGACGAGAAAACATCTGCTTTCCTCGAGACTTCAATGAAAAGCTTGTCACCACTCATCCTAATGAGTACCTCAGGCTTGAAGATAAGTGTTTATTGGAACTGAATGAAGTAACAGAGAGGTGGTGGGAACAAAGGAGGAAGCTAATTTTGTAAGAAATGTTATTACTGATCACGAGTGGGGCAATTGGCAATTTAGCAATAATGTAATGGCATAGAGAAATAGGCCCTTGAGAGAAAGCATCTCCTGTAGTGCTGGCTTCACCTAATTATACTTTTCGCCCTCCAGCACACCAAAGAAAGTTACTAGTAAGGTAGGTAGAGCTCAAACACAGACAATACAATGTTTTGCAAAATGAAACAGAGTTTCTCTTCACTGTGTGGTGTAGCACAATAATGTGGCTGTGATTTGTTTGGTTTTTTCCCATGGGTTCAATGTTTGGGTACACTTCAGCCACAATTATGGGGTGATAGTGACCTTGTGGTACAGTCATAGACAGGCAAACTCCACAAATCTGGATGGTGCCAAAGATTGATTTTTCCTGCTGCCACAAATAACCAGAAATTTATTTTTAGTGCAGAACCCATTCATTGAGGACCAAAGCAACTGATTTGCATGAGTAGATTCTTATAAAACCACCATATAAGGGTTTTGGAGGCCAAAAATTTGGCCAACACCTGAAAAAATTCCTAAATTCATGAAAAATATGCCAATCGCTTCCTTTAGAGGTCCTGCACATGATTCCATTAAAATGTCAACAAAATCTTGAGTAATTTCAGCACTAAAAAGTCAGTAAGTATTGATATCATTGCCTCCACTATGCCCCAAAATGTCATAATTATTCCTTTTTATGACTTACTTTCAACTACAAAGAGGTGAAATAAAGCTGTACACAAATGATTCCGACCAAATTCTGGTGCAGAGGGTACCTTGGGCCACTCTCACAGTCCTCGCAGACCCCCAAAGGGGTACACAACATCGCTCAAATTGCTCAAAATTTTGGCCAACCCAAAACCTCATGGGAAATTTTTCAAAGGAGTGTTTTTAGATGTATTTTGGCTTCCTGAGTTCAAATCTGGCCTCAGTTTGGCCCAAAAAAATTATCTTGAGCAGCTGCGAAAATTGTCGAGTTTACTTGTCCATGACTGTACAAGGTGACCATGGTGGAACCTGACCAATCACTACATTTAGCCTTTGGTTAATATTAGTGTTAGTAGGCCTGATTAGGTGAAGTAATCATGTGTACAAAGACTTAGTCACACACTACAACTACACCAGGTTTCTTCTTCATCAATCACTTGTCAGTATGCAGGCTCTCCAGATCGTCGAGTATGCTGCCTCATTTCAGCATCATGTAGCCTCATGTAGCTGCTATCTACTGCAAATAGACCACACTGCCCCCATTCTACTTGGTGTGCTAACTTAAGGGAACCACTAACCAACTTTAGGTCAGATATGCACCAAGCTGACCAGATGACTTACCATGAGGCAAAGGGACTTAAGCTCGTTGCTCGTGGCACAAGTTGCTTTACGTGCCTCCCTCTTTCTTACTACCATCTCCATGATCCTGCAACATGTCGGTAAGTTGCACACTTTTTCTGTTTGATAGCTGTCATCTAATGCAAGTTCAAACTATTTAGACCATAAATCCAAGCACACTCTTAAGCCAACATCTTGTTTGGTGCAATTGCACCGTTTGTAAGGGTGCAACATCCGCTGAAGGTGACCAGTACACCCCGAGTTATCTATGCAACAATCACCGCTGAACCTAGAACCTCAGCCAGTCTGCTATTGCACAGAGAGGCCGTGCTAGAGGTCCAGCTCCCCCCCCCTATTGTTCAATGTGGACGTGCGATGCCACGACTCCCTCGTGGGGTGGTATCAACTGCTCATACCCATGTTGGCACTTCAACTCATGTCTCCTCATTCTGAATGAGTGGTTCATGTGGTGCTATTCTTCCTGGTAATGCACAGGTATCGCCTTTAGGATCAGCTATATCACACAGTGAAGAGTCCGATATTCAGAAAAATTTCACCTATACACCGTCACCCTTGTGAATTGTGATATATGTACATATATACCTGTAGCATCATACTAACTTCAAGTTTTTAAGCATGGATAGCTACAAATCTATGTAGATCAACACTGAATATCCCCAGCGAGAATCACCTACACCAACACTATCTTCTCATGACCCCATACCATTATCATCCCAACATCTTCAGCACTCAACCTCGTCGGAAGCCACACAATCTCTACCATCTAAATATCTTCGGGTTTCCCCTGAAGCCCACACTGTGACACTCTTAGTGACACATACCACACCTGTTCTACTTGCCAGCAGTCACCAGATCTCTCTTGCACAATCTCGTCCTACCCTTGTCCCTTGCCAAACTCAGTTACCTGCCGCGAAGCCCCCACGGCAGAAGGCCAGCAGTATGCATATGATGGTTCAATGTGAAGAAGATGAAGTGATCCGTAATACCCTACAGTCTGAGTCCCAGCCTCCCCAAGAAGACTCTCTTGAGTTATATGATGACCCTGACACAGGTGATGAGGTCCACTGTGACCCACTTCTCCATACAGAACGACACGATGAAGATTTGGATGCAGAGGTCATCCCCAATGTATAGGTTGCCCCCTCCAACAGTCAGCATGCACCTGTGGATCAGGTGCAGATCACGCCAAGAAGCGAGTTCAAAGTGCCACTCAATCCACATCAGGTATATCAAGATGCTCATCCAGACTGGTTCGGATGTATCATTATCATCATGGTGGCTATTCTACATGTGAAGCATCATGTTTCTTTTTGTGCTTGTGCTCTGATTCTTCATTGTGTTACCACCATTCTCTTCTCTCTAGGCATTCTTCATCCCACACAGCCTCTTCCTACAACTCTCAACACTGTTATTCACCGCCTTGATCTCCATGACTGTTATGATGATGAGTTGTGTGCGGACTGGGATGATCTAACAGTGATGATCACGACAGTGATACCTCATGCTGAGAGTCCAAGGTTGGCTCTTACAGACAAGCAAGAGTTGCATATGCTAGCGGAGGTGAGCGATGGTAGCAGTTACAGGCAGAAGGGGTCTCAAGTCCTTCTGAAGGTACAGATCGAATGTCGAGCAAGTAGCTTTAGCAAGACAAGGAGTTCAAGGTAAAACCCAGTAAGATTGAAGTGAGGAACATCTACTTTAATCGTTGACCTTATATAAGGCTACTCTATCATATCTAAGCTCAGCTTGAAGCTGGGTTCTAATCTGCTTATCTATCGAGTCAGAGATACCATGCATGAGGCAGGCTTCTATCTATGATAAGGACCGCGAGGCGTCCTTCTATCAGTGCATGAGGCAACCATGAGGCTTGCCTTCTATCTTGATATCATAAATAGGTCTTCTAGACCTATGTCATCATATGCGGTCCAGACCACTTATCTAAGCCAGCATCTTCCAGGCTTCTATCTATCATCATCTGTCATCAAGGCCTAAAGGCCCGGGTATCGTGTCATTGCCGTGCAAGGTGGCAGAGGGCATATCGGTAGCTGGAGGCTCACGCCATGTTACTGTGACAATAACTGTTTTACTATTTATCCAGTCTGCAGTCATTGTCACTGTATTTTCCCTACAGATATACCCACTAACACACTGTGTTCCAACTGTGATAGCTGGCTATTCAAACCAGTCTCCAATAGGCTCTTCCGGATGGTAACAGGCTGCAAAGCTCAGCATAGTGATGTCTCAGCTCCAAGCTGCATTTTTCAGAAAATAAGCATAACATGCTGAATAAAATTCCTAAATTCATGAAAATATTTATGGACATAGATTGAGCCAAAAGCCGGGAGGCATCTAAGGGGAATTTGTACTGTGATGCATCATTGTCTTGCTATAAAGCAGCTCAGCAAATGGCTTAAATTTTGAGCCATTTTCTGAGCTGCTTCATAGCAAGACAATGATGCATCACAGTACAAATTCCCCTTAGATGCCTCCCGGCTTTTGGCTCAATCTATGTCCATAAATATTTTCATGAATTTAGGAATTTTATTCAGCATGTTATGCTTATTTTCTGAAAAATGCAGCTTGGAGCTGAGACATCACTAGCTCAGTGCCCTCCTCCAGTGTGTGCAGCACCTATCCAGGTACCATCTTCCTTACTTGTGAATTTTCTTGCACATGGAGGTAATGAGGTGGCATGTGAATCCTGGCAATCATGCACGGTCAAACCAGGGGAGCTTCATGATATCTCAGATGGTGAGGTATGGTGCACCATCCAGGGCCCAGATCAAGCACCCTTCTTTTCTGGGATGGAAACCTCACAGGAGCTTCGCATTGGTGTCACCATAAGCCTTGACTGGTATGTAATTACCCACACAATATTCTTGATGTGACAACTGATTAAATTTTATTCCAAGATTTGGATGTAAGACCAGCATCTATGGGCCAAGCCATTCCTCTGGTGTCTTATCATTATGTGTTTCAAACCTTCCTAGGGCACTAAGGTGAGTTGCCACTAACTTGTTTCATATCTTATATTCATGTCTTTAGATATCATGCCAAGAACCTTTTGGTATCGTTCATGACACTTGGACCTACCGAACCAACCGGCACTCAGCTCCAAAACTATCTGCGACTTGTTGTCGACAATTTGCTCCAGCTCTACAAGGAAGGTGTCATCTATCATACCCCAGGGCACCCAGAAGGTTAGTCCTAACAGTGTTTGACCATTTGGCACACTAACATATATTTTCTAGGTCGAAGAGTTCGTGTTGTACTCCTAGGTGTTGTATGCGACCATCCAGCCATGTGTAAGATGTGTGGCTTTGCCGATCACAGTCACAAGAATTCTCCGTGCCCTAAGTGCAAAATAACCCAGGATGAACTTTTCTCTGATGAGTCTCTACATAATGGTATGTGCCTTCGATTTCACTGGTAGCTTACAGTTTTGAACTAACCATAAAATAGAATTTGATTCATGCAACGGTGAAGAACATTGACGTCGATGTTTCCAAGAGAAAGCCCTCAAAACACAAGATGAACATAACACCTTCTTTGACAAACATGGTGTCCGTTGGACCAAACTTGCACAGCTCCCATATTTTGATCTTGTGCGACAGACAATCATTGATCCAATGCACAATTTATTACTTGGTGTGTCATCATATTTACTTTAACAATGAATGAGCTAATATGGACCTTGCAGGAATTATTAAGACTCAGTGGTACACGCAATCGATCTTGACTCTAGCCCTTTGCACCTCTACTTAGACAAAAACTCGCGAGCTTGATTTAATGCACATCTTTCTCAGTACATTCAAAGCCCCACTCTGGGCTGGAAAGCTGCTGCTTCATGTTGGAGAGCCTGCAGGTGGGTCCTTGACGGCTGATGAATACAAGTTTGCTGCGACGACAGCCTGGCCCATCACTGTAAGTTGTTTTATTCTATATTTCATTCATTGTATTCATCCCACAATCCAGATACCTATTATTTGGGACATGTTCATGGAAGAAGCAGAGTTGGATCAAAAAACTTCAATTAAATCATTTGCTAAACGTCAGAATCAGTTTATCAAGGACTACGAGGCTTGGAAGGTGCACTGAGAAGCACCACAAGGGTCTGCTGGTGCAAAACAAGGCCACGGTGTAGAAACAACAATACAGAGAGGAACAAATGATGCTCCAAACTGTATCTAAAAAAATGTTGTAGGTCGTGCGTTGCCTAGTCTGCGTTACTTGAGGAGACAAGCGCGTTCGACCCTAAAGGGAAGCGAGTGCAGTGAAGATCTAGAGGTACGCGCTGAAGCAAGGCGCGAGAAAGCGCAGGTGCGCGCAAGGCACGAAGGCGCGGGAATGCGCGCGCGTATTAGCGCGAAGCGCGGGAAAGCGCGTGTGCGCGTGTGGAAAATGATAGAGAGACTAAGCTTAAGTGATAATATGATGTAAGACAAGTGAAGAGAGGTGCAAAGTGCAGACAAAATGGATTTCTACTATGTTCTTCCAGGTAGATAGTGGGTGGAAAGTATAGTAAAGTGGAAAGTTCAGTAAGGTAAAAGTAGGTTCGAAAGTTAGTTGAAAAGTAAGTAATAGTATGTACTGCTGGTGCTTATATAGCGCGCCTAAGCGCGGTGTAGAGACTCATGCCTCTCATGGCGTGATATGGCAGTTTCCACTAAGGGAGTATACAGCACCAACTCGCAGCACCACTCTGTGTACTGTCCACAGCAATTCCTATATGAGGCGCAGCTTTCCCACGCAACGCGCGCCATGCGCGCACCATTCCCGTGCTTCGTGATGTATACGCGCGCGCGCGTTCCCGCGCTTGCGCGCCCTATAGCACCAGCCATTCAGATGCATCCATCCACTGTCCACCAAGCTCCCTAGTACGTATATTTCCATTTCCTTTATTAGCATAGTTCCACCTTTATTTTTATCATAGTTTCTCACTCATATATATTTTTACATACCTACTCGGTAGCGCTTCGGCTCCGCATGACCGCGCTTAGGCGCGCTATATAAGCGCCAGCAGTACATACTACACTTTACCTTACTTTACCTCCCATTTACTTATTACTACTTACTTACTACTTAGCAGAACATAGTAGAACTCTATCTGTTTACACCTCGCATCTCTCTTCTCTTATCTAGTATCATATCATCACTTAAGTCTAACCTCTCTGTTGTTTCTGCATATGCACGCGCACTTTCTCGCGCTTCGCGCTAATACGCGCGTGTGTTCCCGCGCCTTGCGCGCACCTGCGCTTTCTCGCGCTTCGCTGAAGCGCGTACCTCTAGATCTTCGCAGCACTCGCTTCCCCTAGGGTCGAACGCACTTGTCTCCTCAAGTAACGCAGACTAGGCAACGCGCGACCTCACAACTTTTTATAGATACTGTCAGAAGCATCATTTGTTCCACTCAGTATTGTTGTTTCTACAACTGGAGCCCACCGCGAGGGGAGCAGTCAGCAAGATCTAGTTCCGCGCATTTCGCGCATACAGGTCAATATCTTTGCATTTCAAAAGCTAATCATTTTCTAGTCACGCATTCTCGCGCCTTGCGCGCGCGCAATATTCCCACGCCTGTGCGCCTCGCGCGCGCACCTTTCTCGCACTTCACACTATTTAACACATAAAGGTCAATCTCTTTGCATATTCAAAAGCTAACCAGTTTCTAGTCACGCATTCTCGCGCCTTGCACGCGCGCTTTCCCACGCCTCTGCGCCTTACGCACGCACCTGTTATACGCCTCGCGCGCACCTGCGCCTTTTCACGCCTCAATGCCTTATAGATTGCCCATCCGTGGCACAGCAAACGCGCCCAAGTTCAATGGCACTACAGACAACCTCGCCGAGTTTATTGACACCTATGAGCAGCTAGCTGATGAAGCAGGACTCCAAGGACTCGACCGCATCAAAGGTATTATCCGCTACCTTGCGCGCGATGATCGAGAACTATGGGGAGGCATGCCAGAAGCGGCAGTAGATAATTACAGCGCCTTTTTAGATGAGGTGAAGGTAATGTATCCTGGATGGGATGGTAAAAGACGCTACGCTGTAGAGAATCATGCCTCTCATGGCGTGATATGGTAGTTTTCACCAAGGAGTATACAGCACGAACTCATAGCATTACTCTGTGCGCTACCCGCAGCTATCTCTATATGAGGCGCAGCTTTCCCACGCAACGCGCGCCATGCGCGCACCATTCCCACGCTTCACGATGTATACGCGCGCGCGCGTTCCCGCGCTTGCGCGCCCTATAGCGCCAGCCATCCAGATGCATCCATCCACTGTCCACCAAGCTCCCTAGTGCGTATATTCCATTTCCTTTATTAGCATAGTTCCACCTTTATTTTTATCATAGTTTCTCACTCATATATATTTTTACATACCTACTCGGTAGCGCTTCGGCTCCGCATGAGCGCGCTTAGGCGCGCTATATAAGCGCCAGCAGTACATACTATTATTTACCTTACTTTTCACCCAACTTTACCTAGTACTTACTACTTAGAAAGTCGCAGTAGCAATCTATTCATTAGCACAACACATCTCACATCCTTTATCTTGCTTATATCTTCACATAAGTTTAGTCTCTCTTATTTCCGCTTACACGCGCGCGCTTTCCCGCGCTTCGCGCTAATACGCGCGCGCGTTCCCGCGCCTTCGTACCTTGCGTGCACCTGCGCTTTCTCGCGCTTCGCTGAAGCGCGTACCTCTAGATCTCCGCTGCACCTGCTTCCCCTTTAGTAGTGATGCCGCAGTCCGGTTCTGAACTTCGGTTCGGACCTGAACCCTCCCGGACCGGACCGTGGGTTCGGTCCTGGGTTCGAAATAGTATAAGGACCGAACTGATTATTAAGTTCAGCGTTCGGCTGCTGCCTGAATACTGTGAACCCGTTCGAACCCGTTCGAACCCGTCTGAACGTGTTCTCATATTCTTTGCATGATCCACCAATATATCTGCTCTGATCTTCTGGCAACCGGCATGTCGATCGATCTCGGGACAATCAATAGCGGATCGGACTTCGCAGCCAAAACACCCAACACATTTCCATTGGCGAGATCTGACTTCCCTGGTAATCTACTCGATGTTCTGGTAAGCCTAATGTTAAACAAATGTTAATCTTTATTCAGACTTCAATGGTCTTTATTTTCAGAACATATTCTCAGGTTTCTCGTTCTGGTACTTCAAGCTTCAACACCAAGTAATTGCATGGCAACAGGATGTTCAAGGTGCGTCATTTTTTTGATCTCTTATCATAAAATTTGGAATAAATGAGCTACTTACTACAGGTTCAATCTTCACCCTCCTTGCTGCACAAATGTCGTGCGCACTTGGATCTGACGGCCAACTCAAGGATGCTAGTGCCATCGATTGGTACAATGATCCTGACGATGACACGCCCATGCTTCCTCCACCTCCACCTCCTGCATCCAATGGCAAGCTAACTGCCTTTGTGTCTCGCTCAGGCCGAGCTGTTAAACCGACAGAAAAAATCCGCGATGCTGGCAACACGACTCCAGCCAAACGAGTGGCTCCAGCGCCTCCCCAAGGACAGCCTGCACCCAAGCGAGTGCAACGTGGGTCCCGTCTGGTCCGTCACCATGATGACGATGACGACGAACCTCCTGCACTAGAGGATTGTTCAGATGATGAAGAAGAGGCCGAAGACAATGACGGGGAGGAAGCTTACGAGCGGACCAAGGTATTTGGAGACAAGGACCGTGAGGATCGCAAGCATAAGAAGAAAGAGGAGCGCAGTGGGGATTTGAAGGTAGTATTTACTCAGGAGAAGGGACGCATCAATCCGCACACCCAAGAACCCGAAGATGGCTGGTGGTGCGAGATATGCAGGTATGTTTTTACTTTTACTTTGAACGTCACACACATAACTAACTTTGTCAATTCAAGAGCCAATGATGTACCCACCAATCAGTGCTTTTTCAAAGGCAGTGTTTCGACTCACCGCACCCATATCGCTCGAAATGCGAAGTGTCACTTTCCAATATACTGCGACCGCTGCAAAGAACGAGGTATCAAGATGCATGATCGGGCGATACCTCCTAACTGCAAAGCAACCGACGACTTGCAGAAAACGTTAGATGCCTCCCTCACGCCTAAAATTCCTGAATTCACCAAGACCGGTCTAATGGATTACATTGTTGAGCTTATCGTGTCTGAGGACGAGGTGAGTGTTTTTTTTTGTAATCGTGA